ACTCCACTTTATAGTCCTAATTTGCTGCTGAACCTGTCATGTTTCACTTCTGAGGCCACTGCTTGTTACTCTCTTCTGGCTCCAGCACAGGGAGAATCTAAAGCCTTTTCTTTACCACAACTTCTGCCTTTTTTGCTGTATCTCCTCACTGTGGAACATAATTGTTCTTACAGACAGATAGGTGAGCACCTGCCTGACAAGCCCTGAAGCCTTGAACGATTAAAAATTTGAGGGATTTTAATTAAACATGATCAGCATGTTTTGCTTCATTCTGCAACAGCCCCTCAATTAAATCAGTTTTTCCTGCTGATAGGACCTTTGCTGGTATTTTTTATGGCAGTGCCTATGCTGTGCTTGTTCTCAGCATTTGCAAGGAACCATTGGGACACATTGGTGTATCCTATTTGGGGAAAGGACCGTAGCTGGAAGCCCAACTTTTAAAGCCCGAGTGCTGAAAGGCCACCTGTGCAAGGCAGGGCATTCTCAGCAATTGTGCAAAGCTGTAAAAGCAGTGGAAGTTTGAGCAATACACAGGTGAAGAGAGGCAAAAATAGTTTATATAATAATTTTTACTGTATTATTACTATTATTTTTGCACATAGAAGTATTCGTTCTTTTCCCATAATAATTAGACCTGGATTAATAACAATTCTTGGATTAGGCTAAGATTTCAATTATGCTAGTACACTTTTGCCTTTAAACATACATAGGTTTCCTCTTTTCCCATAAACAAGGTTTTCATGTAGGGGCAGTGACTTTAGGTTCTGAAGGATGAGCCACAGAGTTCCAGGGGAGTAAGACCAGTCAGGACACTAGGGAAAAAAAGGCCTGGATTTCTTCATAGTTATAATTGTTTTTTAGAGTGGTTTGGAAACCACTTTAAAGTTGGTATTCTCCCATTTGGTAGTGGAATCATAGGAATGCAACAGAGCTAATTAATGCACTGCACATTGTATGATGGTAAAATATATACAGTAATTTGACAGGATAGACAGAATCTTGACTTTCTCTGCTAGCTCTACTGTATAGTAGCTTTAGGATGCCAGAATTCACAGGGAATGAAGCAAGTGTCACTGCCAAGAAGCAAGGAGCTTTGCCTAGGGTGGCTGCTGAAATGTACTTTTCAACTCTGAATGTCTGGCCAGGAGCTCAGCCAGCCCTGTAGGTGCTCTGTGTTTTCACAGACTCACCCTCCACGCAGCACTATAGGGCTGGCTCAGTCAGCTCGTCATTATTCCTTAGGTGGTGTATTCTGGTTCCACACAGAGGTTTGCTGCCATTTGCTTCTGCACAGTCTTTTTTTTTTTCTTTGCACATTAAGTAGAATCCTAAATCATGCTGAGATGGTAGACAAATGAGAATAATTTTAATTATCTCTGGGGTTTCAAAGTGGAAAATTAAATTGCAGTGGTAAATATTTGACTTCAGCATTTGCCTCTGGACCCTTTCACCCACTCTGTTTTAAAGATTAACCTATGCTTCATATTTTCACTTCTCTCATTTAATGATGTTCTCAGTATCTTTAACTCAAAGAAAACCTTTGGCAAGCATAAATGGATCTCTCTGCTGGCTTAATTAGTTCAGCATATTAACCAATAATTAATTCTAACTCCATAATTATTCTTTTAAAGAATCTTCCTTCTTGGATTTCACTGAAAATGGACTGGAAACAAATGACTGTTCCCTTTACAGTGTGTCTCAATTGAATAATAACATAAATAGCCTTACTCTTTCATTCAAGGATCTGAAAATATTTTCCAAATGTTGATGCAGAAAACTTAAAATCCCTCACTGATGAGGGGATTACTGTTATCTTCAGATAAAGAAACTGAGGCATAGTGAGTGTAATTACTAGGATTATTTTGTTAGATTGATGTCATCCAGAAAATTAATATATACGTTGAACAACAAAAAATTATTGTGAATTGGAGTGGTAATGGAATTTAAAATCCAGTCACATACAATTGGACAAATCTGTGTGAAATTACTGATTTCCACATCTTAAAATTAATTTAACCAGAAATAATTTCAAGCTACTATATATTTGTAAGCATGAGAAATCCTGTGAATGCCTTGAATACAGAACATCTTTCAAGGCACCAATATAACTTAAAACTATATTGAAACAGTATTTGAAAACTGAAATTCTAAAATCCATTCAGACCTTTCACTGTTAAGCTCCCCGTTCAAATTCAATTTGAGCTCTAGCATGTTCTTGATGATACAATTTTTAACTGCAGGACCAGAAACTGGGGTTTTTTTCATCATTTTTGCTTCATTTAGTTCATATAACGGAAAATACTGGAATAATTTAAAAACCTCGAACACTTCTTTTTACTGTCTTTAGTTTTGCATAGGTCTTTCTTGTCCTCATCCCAGGGGGATGAACTGAAGTGAAAATGTCATTCTTTTCAGAATCTTCCAATTTCTCCCCACAGTGCACTCTACCTCCCTCTCTCTCTCTCTCTTCATCTACTTGCCCCATCCCACGATTTATCAGATAGGGAAGCACTCCTTCCACAGATGTTGAATGGAGAAATATTTCAGTTAAAATTTGAAAATAATTGGTAAACATGCCAGGGGTTGAAAGCTGTCAGCATGGTAAGCAGCTCTTTGGCATTGTTGTATGGGGCAGATCACAGGGAAGAACTTCCTGCAGCAGAAGATCCTCCCTTACACAGCGAAATCCTCCTTCCTCCTCTTCCTTTTTAATTATGGAGACAGTGACACAGACAAGTATTCTATGCAAATCTAATTCAGCATGGTGCTGACACAAATCTGTTCTGGTTTCACATATTGAAGGCTTTCGTCTCCATTTACTGGTAAGGAAAAAAAACCAACCAACTACTGCAATACATAACCAAGAAACAATTTGCTTTGCAATTACTTTTTTTTCTTTCCCTTGTGTGATTACTGGAGACATTCAGATACGAGCTTCCCTCCACACAAGCAGATTTTAAATAAAGAGTTTAATTTTATGCTAAAAGAAAAAATTCTCCAATGTTTCTCCTGAAACCTGCATTGAATACTTTATCCTGTGTTTATGAGAATAAAACCTGCTGCTATGGATACAGTGAGGTCAATGTTTTAATATTATTATTTCACTGTGCTGTGTTAAAGGACAATATTTTTCCTCCAAAAAAAATCTTAGAAAGTATGTATTATAGGGAAGTAACTATAGTTATGTATTTTAAATGAATAGGTAAAGGCTTTTATTTAATATTTCTCTTTCAAGTATAGGAAATATAACAAGGTCCAGACAGGCAGCACTGAAGAAACAGCTTGTCTGTAACAGAACTTCACTTCCATTTTTACTTGATGCTATAGCATGTTCTACAAGTATTAATTAAGCTGCATAAAATTCCTATGATAATCCTCAAGGTGACCCCAAACAGAAAAAGATAGGGTTTTACTTTTTACAAAGCACAACAAAAGACAGAACACTTTGGTTTTTTGTTTGTTAAAAAAAAAAAAAGCTGCAATTTCTTACTTGTTCCTTGTAAAAGAAAAATGAGTAATGTCAATTTTTATCTTTCCAGCTTTTTGAACAACTGCAGAACATTAAATTCTTTTAATGAAAGAATAATGCTAAGGAGTGTCTCCTCCAAACTGGCTGTTAGGCAGTCGAATTAAATAATAATACTAACTCACTTTTTAAATTGTCTTTCAAAAATAACTGCCCTATCAATTTTTCCTTTCACTTTTTTCTTTCTTTTTATCATTGTATCATTATCTGTCTAATTTTCCTGGTACCTACAGCATTCCAGAAAAGTGTACACAAAAAACAGCACAACTTTTAAATAGGTACACCAAACCCAAATAACATATATAACCCAAATACATCCAGTCTTCTTTCTTTCATAGGAATGAAGAAAAATAGAAGAAAACTTTATTCCCTTTCTTCCTGTACTGATCACATTTAAGATACTCATTATTCAGAATGTTACCTCTTTCTCCCTCTTCCTCCTTAAAAGAAACTCAACTAAGCAACATTTTTCTGAAAAGCACAAGCCAAGGTAAATCTGCAATTTCCAAATAGCTCAAAAAGTTTATTGTTTTGTCACTGGGCTACAGTACAGGGAATGCCTGACTGCAGTGAAAGGGACTGGCATCTTTCACAGGAAATGAACCCCAGACTGGTAACCATTAATGCTGAATTTTCCTGGAAATACAAAACAATAACTAGTTATAGGACAAGTCTCACAGGATTCCTGCCAATTTCCTGGGATTTTTTGCTGTTTGTAGCTCTCTGGTTAGCTAACTCACTTGTTCATGACAAATTCTCCATCTCAATCACTAGAACATTTGAGATGCTCCACCCATTGAGATGGAGAATATGCTCAAGGATATTGCTTCAGGTAGCTTTTGTTAGGACTTGTTTGTGTTTCTCAAGCACTTTAAAATAATACTTAGAGCAACATTCAGAAAGGTTCCCCTAGCTTTTTAGAATGATATAAAACATATTCTGTATTGTACCATTTTATTCTTTGCACTGCCTTGTTGGGGGAGAGTTGTTTATTTGTTTTGGAGGTTTTGTTCTTTTAAAAAATGCTATGAAATTATGAAGACATCTGAACGATCACTTGCAACCTCAATAACCTGAAATGCTATTTTCCAAACAGATGAATGAAAGAACAAACTCGGTGATGATTTTAGCCCCTCCAAAAATTCTCAACTTCAGAAATCATACCAACTTCTGATAACTTCAAAAGCAATTTTTAAATTGCTGATGAGCATACAACTTCAGGGAAAAAAGGACTATCTATTAGCAAGAGCTAGAAGGCTACAAACTATTCAGCTTTTCTGAACAATAAGACATTATTGAAAAGCTACAAAATCTCTTATAAAGAAACTACTTACAAAATATTAAATTCCTTAAAAATTATTTCCATTTTAAAAACTATTAATGCTTAATTAATTAGAAATAAGCTAAAAGTGAAAATTATAAAACATAACAGGAGCCAAATCCTGGTGTGATTAATGAAAATTTTACATTAACACTAGAACTCAAGTCTAAGTCTGTAGCATTCAGCTAATAACTGATTAAGTTTTTGCAAAATAGCATTTAGTGAAGCAGAGAAATGATCCAATCTAAAAGATTTCCTTCAGTTATTATGCATCCATTGGCAAGATCAAACATATCTTCCAAATTTGTTATTGATTTCCAAGTAATATCAAATGGGATCTGAAAGGGAAAAAAAAGAAAAAAGAAAAAAGAAAAAACCCAAATGAATAACTTTATTAAGCTTAGAGGTACCAAAAAGTACATATATACCTATATGTATATATATATTTTATATATATTTGTATATTGGTGTATATATATATATATATATATATATACAGGTATATACCAACATACATACACATATATACCAATAGTTCCATATAAAGCCAGATTTCTGAACTACAACCAATGAGTAAGTTAGAAATATTTATTGGCTTGGTATAAATTTGTGGTTCATGACATCTCTTGCAGGAAACTAGTAAAATAGGATTCAAGGGAGGAAACCTTTATGAACAGTCTTGCTCACAAAATTTATTATGATCACCTGTAGGTAAAATGAAGAGCAGCAAGAATGGTCAGTAATTTGGAAGACTTTTCCTAAGATAAGAAATTGAAGGAATTGAGCTAACAGTAAAAGGTGAAATAGAGGGCGATGATGAACTGGGTTGAGTGTTCATTGAATACAGAGAACTATTTAACTGATTTAGGTATCAACAAAAAATAATTGAAGGAAGAGTTGCTTGGAACAAGCTACCTAGGGAGGTTAATTTTTAATGCAATTATTTTATTTATAAATTTGCTTCTAACATTTAAGATTGGAGCTTCCAAACATTACACTTTATCTCCCTCAAGGACATAGCTACTCATTAAATAGCATTAAAAACAAGCAGGCTGATAATTTTTTATTCTTAAAACATGAGGAGTCAAAGAATTTTAAATGAATAATTCAATGAAAATGCACTTTTTCCATTTATAAATATAATTCAGGGCTGAATCAAAAGCACTGTAAGACACATAGACAGAAAAAACAGAATCAAAGTAGAGACAGTAGAAACACTATGGATGTGTGACAGTTCAGACAATGAGAAAACAAAGACTACAAATTAGAACTGACTTTGTCCAATTAATTCAGCAGATGATGCGCAACAGAAAAGTGTTTGGTGGGGGAAAATGATGAAAAACTACATATGAGAAATCTATCTGCTGCCTTCTCCTGCATGCTTGAAAACAAAGGGATTGTTCTATTCTATGATGTACATAGTCCCTCTCTGAGCTTTCTCTCTCTGGCTGAGACAGGATAAGCACACATACAAGTTATATGAAAGTTTGGAAATGCTACTTTGAAATATGCTATACATAATGAAGTGCTAAGCACCCTACAAGTTCTGTTGGCTTCAGAGAAGAATGAAGATTCTCAGCGTTTTGAAGGATTAGGCTTCAGCTGTTCAACAAAAACTCCCATATCTCCAAGCATCTTAGTTTAAAGTTTATATTTGAAACTTCATGATGAAAAGCTTTGTGATGTTCCACTTGTTGAAACATTTTCGTTTGTTGTGGAATTTAGTGAGAATAAAACAGTGCCGTAAAAATCATATTCTTAATAGGAGAACACCAGTAAATTTGCTCCCTCACTTCTGTTGTAGATTCACAAACAAAAGCAGACAAAGTGAAAGGAATTCACAAACATTTAAACAGTTCCAGAAAGTTTCCATGATTCTGTGAAAGTTTGTCTATATCTTTTCCTAGGAATATATCAAATCTTGTTACCACAGAAGAAACTTCAGTGGGCTCTGAAAAGTGCAGCTTTGCCGAAGGGATGTGGGTGTATTCTGATGCACTGAGAAAGCCAGATTGAGTGATATGAAGGCCTGGGAATCGTTTTAAGAGAGAACTTTCAGGATGGATAATGAGGGGTGGCAAGAGTGGTGCAATGTGTGTCGAAGGGAATTGTGTACTCTCAGGTACGGGACTGCAGGACACACAGGACAGCACGAGATTCTCCCTGCTGTAACAGGCATTAGCCCAACTACTCTCAGATAAAACTCAGATTCTGTTCTGGTAGGAAGAGCTCTCTGACTGGAAGAGTACAGTGGATGCCCTTTCCATTATCATTCCATTGTGAACAATTACTGACAAGATATTTGAGGATTAGTTGAGGGAGGGATATGTTACAGTGGATTCCAGAATCTCCCGTGGAGTCCCTTGAGCCCTGGCAGCTGTGATCCTTCCCTGATGTCCCCAAGGTGGCTGAGAACACTGGACAGCACTGCTCCCCACCACAGGCCAGTTCCCACAGTCTCTTCTGGGATACTGGCTGCACTGGGTAACAGGATGAATAAGATGTTTTGTGTAATGGTGTGCTCTCAAAATATGTCATGGGCAAGGCAGAGAAAGCTAACAAAAATTAAATAATCAAGCCTGAATAACTGCAAAAATGCAAGAATGGAAAGAAATTGCATTTGGCGATTGCATCATGGAAATTCACTGGAGTCTGTGTAAACAATGACCAGAGAGTGGTGGATAATCTGTATTAACCATTGTGAGCAAAAATCCCCTTGTAATACATTTTTGTGTATGAAAATTGACTCTAATGAACAGTGAAGATATTCACAGTTTGTAATCATAAACATTGTATTTTATTTGTAAAGAAGATAAAATAAAACCAAAACAGAAAGTCCAACAATGAGGAAAAAAATGGGAAGATGCTTAGTGGAAGATGCTTAATGCCGTGTTTCAGTTAATTCGAACAACTGTTTTATTTTAGGAAGCATATTTTTACTCTTAACGAGAACAACATACCTCAGTTAATGGAGAGGACAGGGCTGGACCAACAGACAGCAGTGCTTTGACTTCAGATAAACACCTTTTAGCAATGTCCTAATGGTATAAAACAAGAAAAAACTTGTACTATCTGTGTAGTACAAACATATGCTGTACTACCAGTCTCCTCTGATAAGCTAACAGATGGCTCAACCTTACAAAATTTTTCAGAATATTCAAGTTTTATGTTATTCTAATTGAATTCACAGCAAAATAAACCTTAGCTATTAATATAAATTTTCTGCAACACAAATAGTTGTGTTTCCTGTACAAACACAATGCCCAAATCTTGCAGTTTCTACTGAGGCAAAATTGCTCCTGATTCAGGTTTTAAATCCAGTGACTGAGCATAATTTTGCTATGTGTTTACTGAAGATATGATAAGCAAACACCCTGACAAGATGATATTTATACATGTATAATGCATGGCATGTTAATCTTATTAGTATTCTAAACATTGTTTTACCAATTACTGAAGTATATTAATGAAAGTTTGAGCAAACACCTTCAGGTAATCAGAAACACCCACTAAAGGACAGCTCTGTCTTCCCTCCTGAAAACAGTGATTGGCCAAAATATCATTTGTTCTCCAAGCTAGTCAAAATACAGCCTCGTAATAATAGCACAGTGCACAATTGTCACTGTTTCACAGCATCCATCAGACAAAATGACAGCCTCTACATCATTAATCATTTCACATAATAGATATAAAGAGAATCCTGTCACATGATAAATGTCTCCCACTTTGAAAATAAACGTCTGTTTTGCCTTGGCATTTATCAAGCAGCACTTAGGCTGTGGCAACATTGTATTCCAATGACATTATCTCAAACAGAGCACATGGAAAATTCTGAAATTACCTTTTGTGTGTGTGTATGTGGGGAGAGTTATTTTCTTGTGGACCATATTCAGCCTTGCTAATAAAGGAAAAGAGGAAGATGGCATAGAGAAAATGAAATTAAATTCAGTGCCAATTTTAGTCATCTCTCAATAACGTTATTAGAAGGTTCTTATTTCAGAAACCACTACTGCCCATTATACATTGAAGATGTGTAACTGATGTTTAAAAAGCACTTTTGGGTTGATCACCAAGCTAATTTAACACACTGCCGAGGATTTTCAGATGTAGATTACTATAAATTAAGTATCAGTTTCCAAATCTATGTACCTGAAGACATAGCCTTTATTTTCAAGTAAAAGGTTGAAAATGCCTGGGTTTTTTTCCTAAAGTGACAAGCAATATTTAAGGAAAAGTTAAATATTAAATGAAGAGTGAAAGTACTTCAACTTTTCTTTAAAGTGGTGAGGAAAGCTTACGTCTGCCTTTATTTCTGCCTTCCAAGCTGCCTGTTATTTATTTCCCCAAAATAGACATTTTAAATCAAGTCAAACACAAGAAGAGCTGAACTATTCTCACTTACTTCTGTTTTTTCATCAAGATACACTTTTGCATCACTCAGTTTGGGTTTATTTGAAGGAATTATTTTCAAAGTTTCACTTTGCTCAAGAAAGTTTGTAGGTACTGAAATTGAAAAGCTTGTAGGACCTTGCATCAATACTTCAACTTGCTTCCTCAGATCAGACAATTTCTCCCTTAAAGAAATAATGCTAAAAGAAGACAAAGATTTTCATTATTACTGTTATAAAAGAACAATATTTGTTGTTTCCAGGTTATAATTAAGCTGACCTAGCTTTTATTACATATTGATTAGGTTTTATATTTTCTTTCATTTCAGGACTGATCTCATAATTTTACAAAAATAAGTTTTACATTTAATAAAGTGGAGATATAGAATGCATTAGCTTTTTACATTAAAAATGGGAGGTTGTGTTTTAGGAATGCCTCTCTAAGAAAAGGTTTTTTCATCCAACCAGCACAAGGGTGGCAGAGGCTGCCCATTATTTCTTTCCTTCCACCCACTAAGCAGTTCTAATAACTTTCAAACTAGACGAATGACAAGGAAGAAATGCAAAATGCCATAGGATGTAAAATTAAGGGCAGAGTCTGGTGCTACAACTGAGAAAAATTCTTGCATTCTCAGAGTTGTAATATGGGATGGAGAAAGTAGGTGATCTCTGAGAGAATGGGAATAACTGCTGGGAGTGCTTCCTAGATCTGCTACATTGCTATGCCAGTGTAATATAATTAGCATATGTTACTTGGTTCTTTAAGAATCAAAATTAAAATGCTAATGAATGCATTGAAAGAGCAACTGTTTAGCTGGTTTTAACACTGTGTACAACATCTTACAGTTTTTACAGTGAAAAATCTTTGAAAAGCAGAAATGAATGCTTTTAAAGATTTACAGCTCTTTGATATTTTGTACTTTATTTTCTCTCATCCTAAATGGCTGATTGATCTTTAATACAGCATGAAATAACAGGACAGAGTCAGTGATTATTTACCTAGCCAATGGAATCCACAACTGGCCTGAAAACACAGATGTACTAAAAATCGCAATGTCGCCAATCTTGACAGGGTTTGTATTATAAGCATAAAGCAACAAAACCTATAAAAGAGAGGGAATGGGTAAACTGTAATGCAGTAGACCTGAACTATTTCAGTGATACAAGAGTACAATAAATATCAAATACAGTACTGATGAAGCCTTAGATAACTGACCTTCAAAAAAGAGAGGAGTGTGATTTCATATAAATTTATATTACACTCAGTTTTTATAGGTTTTAAATTAATTTAATTAAGTAAACTGGATATAGTTACTATGAGTTTAAAAATTAGGTAAATCCCATGGTGTCACTATCAAAATCCCAGCGTTGTCCTGATCCTGGTCAATCATATGCATGGCTGTCATCATGCTAGGTTTAAATCCATGCAGTATGCATAAGTTACCAATCTAATATAGCCATACCATTATAAGAAAATTAAATATAATGTTCTCATCTTTCAATGCAAGAATTTACTAATGTGGTTGAAAATATGCTTCCTAATGGTAGCTGAACATTTTGACTATGTGGAAAATAGAATATGGCATTCATGCATTATTTGCTTTTAAAAGTTGTTCCTGGTTTTCTGATGATCTGTAGGGCCATGCTAAAGTTACCTGCAAAACCATATTAAAAGGTATATTATTTACATTACCTTCACAGGGTTTCTATCAGTTTCTTAATTAAGATAAATAGGTCTAATAGAAATTCAGAAACGTATCTGCTATGCTAAAAGTTTTGAAATCATAGATTTTTATTGCTGTAGCAGAAATTTTACCTACTCTTTGTTCCCTTGTGTAAAGATAAAACAAATTCCATGTCATAGTCACTCACATTCCTGCAACTCTCCCATCTCTTTCATGTTCAGTCTGATATTTTAGGAAAATGAGGCTTCAAAATCCTATTTTCCCTGTATAAGCTTTGTATATCCTTGCTTTTCCAAGAGTCTCACACCAAACTATTATTCAAATGTATCAGTCAGGTCTACCCAAACTTAGAGTGGAAGTCTTAAAGACATCAGGGATTTACAACTGGCAGGAATACAGCCTGGCCTGGAAGCTCTGTATGGGAAAAAAAAGTGGTTTTTTGGCCTGCCAACAAAAGACTGTCAGGGCATTCTGTTTTTCTAAAGAGCAGGTTTGCAGCAGAGTAAATAAATTCTTCCTATCAGCATAATTCGATTAAAAAGCTGATAACTCCTGGCACAAATATTCATTGGAAATGAGATTTAATTTGCTCCACTACCTAAGGAACTGCTTTGCTCTAGTTATACCTTAGTTTCTGAATCGTTTGATGACTTTGCCACAGAAGGAATATACCACTGAATGCTGATTTCCTTATCTGGAGCTCTTGCTGCCTTACTCTCTGTCCGCTCACATTCTTCTGCAATGACAGAAACTGGAGAAGCTGTTCTCACATGTGACACTATTGATGTAATGTCAGAAAATTCAAGAGACATCTGAAACACAAAATAAAGGTTTAAATTATATTTTTTGTAGTGAAACAGGAAAAATCTGTTATAATCTAGCATCTACTGGAATTGGTATGACTTTCATCCCAGCATAAATATATGTTTATTTTGGTAAATGGATAGTTCTTTAAAGTGCCCTTTTTACCAAGACTTTTCATAGCTCATGTGATGACACACTTCTAAAGGTAAAACAAAGGATTTGTAGGCTGACTTAGAAACACCTACAGTCACAATGATTGTTGCCTTTGACTTAAAATCATTATGGCATTATGAGCTTGGCTCAAATCTGTTATTTGTCACACTGATGATACAAAATTTAGTGATGAAAAAGTAATTTGTCAAATATACATATTGATAATTAAAATAGGATTCTGAATGTTAAAATAATGCTTTATTTATGCTTACCTATCTGTTTTCTCAGCTGTGCAACTAACAAAGGGTGACACCTGCTGAAAATTTGATCACTTAATTTGTGAGGATTTGTTGTATTTTATAAAATACATATGGAATATTATGAGAGGTTTCATCAAATAGCTACTGTTGGCTGTCATTCACCAGGGAATTAATGCAGCAATATTGTGAGCCAACATTCATTCATGAACAAAATCTTTTCTAAAAATTGTGAAATATTCAATTTAAAGGCTGAACAGTAACACACCATCTCTATTTTTTAGTGTTACACAGATGTGCAAAGAACACTGGCCAAACTGTTGCATTTTCAGGGAATGTGGAAGCTATTTGGAAGGGTGCTAATGTGTCCATCATTGATTCCAAAATGTGGACTCTGAAAACAGCTCCCTGGGAAGTTTCAAATTTTGAATGTTTATTGCTGAAAAAAAGGAGAAATTTACCTACTTTCTCTACAGAAAATTCAGCATATGACAACGACAAGACAGTAAATCCAAATGAGCAGAAGATGGATTTTTCACAATAACCTAATTTTACACCATTAAGCAGTTACCATCCCACATGAAACCTCAGTAGAAGTGAAGGTAACGATGAATCCAGGCATGTGGATGTCATAAATTCGAGCACATGGATGTGCCTTCAGTGGCCATAACCCGTGGCAAGCCATGAGGTGAGCATGGAGGACCCACCCACTACAGCCTGCATCACCCACCATCCTGCTAGCATGGACTGTGAACAAAACTAGGAGAAAACACATATATGGACATGGGAAGAGCCTAGTTTATGCTGTTCCCCTGAACTAGAGCTCTTAAAATTCTATTTTATGCTATATATTGCTTTCTAAAATGTGTGTTATGGGTTTTTTTCACTAAACTGCATCCTTTGCGTTCCTATTCATGTTGAATCTTTTGGAAGAAGGACATTACAACTGCTCATGTCAAACTGGTGGGTTGCTGAATAATATACATAAATATTTGTCTATTCAATTTTCTCAAAAGCCTGAAAACAAACTGTCTTAGTTAAGTATTTCTAGTCCTACTTACTGTCATGGACTAGAATGAAAAACAAGCATGAAAAATGTAACAAGGCCCAGAATTTTAATTACAGACCTAACGTAATTTGGATTCTTTGGTCAGAAGACCCGAAAAAACCTTCAAGAGTCAAAAATAGAATACAGAGATAGATGTAAGTGAAACAACTTCTTACCTAAAAAATTATTATTTGAAAAAGTATGTCTATTTGTACTGTTAAAACTCACAGTAATAAATTACAGTTACAATTTTAAAATAACATCTATAACCTTCTGGATGGTTAAAGCTTCTAAAAATGTTGTGATAAAAATCAATGAATCTTAGAATTAAAAAAAGTATAAGCTTTATGCTTGTTAGCTGTCTACAACAGTGAAGTTAACACATGATTATGCAGCTTGCACCCGTCATGAACATGACAGTGAGCTCTGAAGCTTATTATTCTAGGATACTGTAATACTAATTATGTCAAAAAAAGAGCAGACAGAGTAAAATAATTTTTGATATATGATGGCTGTTATAAATGTCACATACCATATATTTACAATTTATTCAGTGGCACAGTCAGCTCTTTGTTAGGAAATGAGTAATGATATGCTGTCCAACACTGCAGAAAGTTCACCAGCTCTAGACAAGCTACTTTCACAGAAGTACTTTTATTCATTTTTATAATATACCAAGTACTCCCTCCTCAAGGCTCCCCTGTCTCCATTTAATACTGATTATAATAACTAAAAAATAAGCCACAGAGAGTGATCTGTCATTTTAAGTTTTAGTATTAGGATAATTATTAATGTGAGAAGTGGGATTGAGAAACTTTGAAGACAATTATTTTTACAGTGAGTCTTCGAAGACAAATTTCAATCGATGTTCCATGACGATGTGCCATGGTCAGTGCAGAGTCCAGAATTCTAATTCAAGATTCATCTGAGTAATGTATTCTGAGCTGCCTGCATTTGAAAGCTCAAATAGACTGCTCATAAGCCAGAGATCTAAAAAGGCTTATTTTCTAGCCAGATGATAATCAGTGAAAAAAAATTGGCATAAGAGACCTTAAAAAATTTTTGAGAAAATATGATGTACAGATTTTTTGAAAATGTTTTTATTATAGACTAAATTAATAATATAGAGAGTCGTATATACTAATTAAAAAACTAACATCAGGACATTTTTGGTATGAAAGATGAAGATCTAAAAGATTTAAAACTTCAGTCCTTATTGAGTAACAGCCAACTTTATTAACCAACACCTTTTTAAATATCATTCTGCTTAATCTCCTAGAGTCTAAATACAATGACTATGGGATGGAGGTTATTTTTGCAGGAATGAATAACACAAGGATATTTACATTTGTTAACTACAAAATTCACTGCTTGCACAGGATTTTGGTTTTGTACTGATCCTCTGCATAAATAATTTCATTCTCCTATAGTGCTCCCAGAAATATAACCATTGAAATTACTGAGAATCTGAATGAGATACCAGTATTGTATTTCTGAAGTGTTAGAAAAAACATAAGTACCTCTGAAGAATCAGTTTGACTACTGAGTGATTCTTCTGCATCATGTAGTTCTACTGGAAAATTCTCAAGACAACACACTGAATATTCAAACAAATTCTTTTCCAGGAAGGAATGCATTTCTGCTATGCGTAGAACAATTCCCGTGTCAGAAATCAAACCAAGGTGTCCATATCTTGCAAAAAGTGATCCAGGTGCTGCGTTAGGGACAGTTTTAAAAGAGATTTTTAAAAATTACATCATTAGTTTTCATTAAAATGTCAAGTTACTATAGCTACTGTATATTCATAAATTTTGGAAGCATAATAAAATATGTAAATAGATTCAATATCAAATAAATGCATTTCCAAAAGTTATACTGACTGTCCTTAAATATTGCTAGCTTATGCCGTTTGTAATTTTTCACCAGTGATTAGATAATGAAACAAACTCTCTCCAGACATTATAAAGTAATATCAAATGGGACATATATTTTGAGGTGTAGGTACTTAAATTCAGAGTGCAAGCAGCAGTAGGCTCACTAGATGCCTAAGCACGCACTAGAATAAACAAGTATTTATTCAATACAGTCAAAATAAGCTTTAAGAGCTCTTAACACCCCTAGGTCTTAAGACTGTTTAGACAGCTAGGGGCTGATGAGCTGAGTTTCTCCCAGGCTCCCCAACACGTAAGTAAAGCTGAGATTTATATGCAGGTTTTGACACCTGCTTGTAGATACCTTCCTGTCCTTACAATTCTGTGGTGAGCCAGAATACTTTCATTTGGTGCTGCAAAGAGAAAACTCAGCCCTCTCTGGAATTGTTATTTGCAGAGTTGTTAGGTTTCTCTCTGAACAACACCTCCATGTACAATGCGGTATTGTTGTCACCTATTAGGTCATCACTTGTATATCCAAAAGCTGGTCATCACATGTAGCTGCACAGCATTAGGGCCTTGCAATTAATGGATTCTTACTCTCTTTGAAAGGTCCTATCTATTACTATGTTGTGTTTACAGTGAAATAACCCAAGCATGCAAATCATACCTGGTGTTTTATTCAAAATACACTCAGTAATGCTCAGCATTCCCATTTACCCTACACTCAGGTCTCTAAAATGGATTTGTTTATGATGTGACTTAAGCTTGATTTTTGTAGAACTAAAAATAAATAGAGATTATTAATTTTTTATAAATGCTTCAGATAAAGTAATAACAATTAAGTTTTGAGGGAGGCCTTCCTGGTATTGTGGAGGCTTATGAATATCTATGATTGCAGCATTTGTAAACTGACATAAATCTGGATTTCCATGAAGATTTTTTTTGCATTTATGCAATTGAAAGGAACTCAAAATTAGGCTATTTCAGATTCTAGCCTTTGAATCTGACACTGTTGGCCCTCAAGAACAGTATCTCATCTGTAGCAGTTTTCTAGAAGGAAATAAAAATATATACCAGATAGGTTTGTGTTATAAATTCTTTTTAAATGATTGTGGTAACGAATCATGAGAAACCATGTAATTGTATGTTTCTTCGGGGTGGCCTTGGCGGCAAGATTCTCTGTTCCTTCTCTTTCACTCTGACAGTCTTCTGGGATTTGTTTGTTTTCAGTAGAAGATACTTCAGGAGTTTCAGGGACAACATTGTATCCATCTGCAATTCCATAAGAGTTCAAAAACATGAAGTGCTTGGAATTCAAGAGCTATTTCTACATTGTGTTAGAATTGACTAATCTGTAACTAGAAGTATAATTTGTGGAACTGCTTATATTTTTCATACAAGAAAAATTATTTCTATTCTGTTTTAATGTGAGTTGAAATAGTAAATAGCCTTAAAATTAGTTGAAAACTCTTTCTCAGATCATGGGCAGGAACCTTACTAATCCTTATTCAAAACGAGTAGAGACCAAGGTGCATTCTCTCTGAATTTGATTATAAAACCATTATTTCTACACTTTGTTCAATAGAAAGTATTTACTAAATGGAAACAACACAAGAAGTCATGAATCATAACTGCAGCAGCTGAACTTTCCACTTATGTTGATGCAAACTCAGAAGTATTCATTGTTAGTTTTAATCCTTCATCCCTTTTAGATATTAAGCACATTTTCAACGAACTATACTTTTAACTGTGAAATAAAACAAAAGATAGTATTTTCTTTTGCACTGCCTAAAAGTTGTATTTATGCAGAAAGAGGAAAAAATTGTAAGTACAGACACCAGTACAGCGCTGCTTATATTTAATACTGCTTTTTACTGTATTAGTACATGGCTCTTTCAAAAGCACAATTCTTCACCTCTGTTTCTCACTCCAAATCAAACAAACGTTATGTTATAGTGATTCCTAACAGTAATCTTTCAGGAAATAACTATGAATGCTTCTACAAAAGCTGAATGTCTCTATTGCTCCTGATATTTCACTGTCGATGCCAAAAGTTTAAATGGCCATATTGTCTTTCAGATGAAAACTTAAATATGTGTTTCACTAAGAGTTTTACAGAAAATATTTAGTGTGCTATGCTAAGAATTTACATTTCAATTTACATTTTTGTGTTTTGGTCTACTATTGCTTTTCTACACTTTCTATTATTCTTTGTATTCGCTAACAGAACTATCAGGAGAAACACCTGCTGCATTTGCTAAAAGAAAAAAATGATCTGCAATTATAAGCAAATGGAGCTAGTACAAAACAATCAGATTGAAAGTCTTAGCATACAACACTTGTTTTCATAAACCAATCAAAACACATATGTTTAAACACTGTACAGTGTGCAGACATGGCTCAGATTTGCCAGCACCTATCAAACAGAGCAATTTAGTCTTTGTTAGTCACTTGGGATAATTGAAATTAAGTCACTGAACCCAAATTTTATCACTAAATTAATGGTTTCTAGTTTAAAAACAAACATGAATATTTTGCCTTGGTGTTTATATAACATCTAGCAGTCATTATCTCAGAATTCCTAGTTTCACTGTTGGGGGGGGTTTAAGATCAAAACCTTTCATTTCATCCACTCCTTTAGCTGAAAAATAAAGGCAGAATTTAGAAATAAAGCAGGCAAAGTTCTACCAAGCTAGTGGAAACATATCTAAATAATGATCCATTGGATTGGAAAGACAGTGACAATTTTATTACACTGGCTTTGACTTTTAGAATACAGTACCCAGGCAGAAAACTTTGCAAGAGTTTGGGCTCGTTAGTTTTGGTGGGTTTTGTTGTTTGTAGTTTTGTTTTTATTTTGTTGGTTTGGTTGGGTTTTTGGGGGGATGATGCAGGGAGAGAAGCTAGTCAACACCAACATCTCCTTGCAAAATCAAGAGTAAAACTGAAACTCTCCAAGGGAAAGCTGATATACCTACGGAAAAAAGAGTTATAAGTCAATATTTGAAGAAAAAAAAAGAAAATAAGCAGTGATGACTGATAGGGAGACCAATATCTACTTTATATGTCTGGGGAAGTCCTGTACCAAAGGACCACCTGCTTTTCCAAAATTATGGCAGTATTTGCACCTTGACTTTCAGAGCCACAGTATGAAAACAAGGAATTTTTCTTAACGTAATGAACACATGCACAGGCTGATATTTAAAGACCTATGAAGTCTCTATTTAATATTTTGTATTGCTGTGCATGATGAGGCTTTTGGTTTTACTTTCCAAAACTGCTATATAATTTTTAATAAATTATAAATAAATAAATAAAATACTAAATTTATTACTAGATTACATGGCATATATCACTTATTATTTATTTAATTTTCTGATATTACTAGGTATAAAGGAATACCAGATATGAAATCTCTGTACGAAGAAAAAAGATCCATAGAAGCAAACTCTGGGATTTGTTGTTGCACTTCATCCTTCATGTTCTGTTCTTTAACACTCTTCATTCCAATTACCAGCTGAGAAGCAAGCATAGCTTCACTGACCTAAAAATGACAATTATTTTATTCGGGACTTGTTCACTACAGAATTTATATAGATTTTAAAATCTTCGAGTAGCAAGATCAGGACAAAAAATTTATTATTAAACATACTACATCTTTAAAAATTAAGAAAATATTCTATTTCTTTCTGACATAAGGTACACATTATATTTAAATAAATCATTACTGCTGACAGCTTAATTACTACATAGTGATTTCAAACCAGGTATCCTCATCTGGCTGCCAGTAATGTCTGCCCACACATCAAATACATGTGCACACATATCAGGTCATGTGCCATTTTATTTGCACTGAATCAAAGTTAAGATAAACAGAGTCAAATCTGTCCAAGAGAGATTAAATGCATTATTCAGTGTCTGCTTTAATTTTATTAAACAAGACCCATGCCAGAAATTTCAGAAAACCTTAACACTCCTGTTTGCATTGCCTTATTTGCTTGTGTAAGTAGAATAAGAAAATGTAAAAAAAAATTACTTCTTCAGAATATTGCACTAACCTGTGAAGCTGCTCTTATTGCAACCCAGGCCTGTACTTGGTAGACTTCTGATTTTATAGCCTCCTCAGAAGACCGTTCTCCAGAAGAGGTCTAAAAATGATATACCAATTCATAATCAGGATTCTAAATATATTACGGCAGAATATATTCTAAACATAGAAGAAAGTCCTCCAGCTTATAAAGTAATTTTTAAATTTGTAAGTCACAAAAATTGGCATTGACTGCAAATCCATGTATGAATTGCTAAAAATGAAAAAAATTTCCAGAGCATACTAATTGGCTGCTCCTGGAAAAAGTGTCCTCAGAGCAGCTACGGTCACTACTCTATACAGTGCTGCTATCATATTCTATTTTTTTTAATTTTAATTACCTCTTTTCTTCAATGTTATAAATTTTGCTTTCCATCTATGGCTTGTAGGAACTTTAATGTGCTTAAAGACACTTCTATTTCTCATGCTGTCATTCATATTTGTATAGAAAAATTGAAATCTGATGAAGTTAGCATTTAAAAAACCAGGTTGGAATGTTAAGTATATTTTGCAAGGTCTGAATTAATTCGTATATAATCATAAATGAAAAAGATTATATGAAACAGTGAAAACACTGTTGGTTCTGTATCTTCCTATTTTATACAGAAAAATATTTTAAATATGCTCATTAATGAGAGATAACATCAAAAAAGATCAAATTCTATTATATGATTTCTTTATGTGATTTTTCTATGAGGACTTTCAGTATCAGTATGATGTATAAGTCACTGCAAGTAATAAAATGGCAAGGTCCAAAATACATATTTCCTGTTTTGAAGAAGCCACTGCCCAAAAGATGGAAAACATACACTTGCTTTGGAAGGCACCAACTCATCTGTCTCTGATACATCCTCATTATTTTCGGCAAAATACAAATATGATAGTGCTATTTCAAGGTATGACTGTTTTATTAACCTGTAAGAAACAACACAGAATAATCAGCTTTACTATCAAAGTAAGCATTACAGTGATACTGACTCCTGCAATAAGACTAGCTAGATACCTCACCAAATAAATCATTCATCCAGTCCCCATCATCTACTTTAAGTATAACATCTTTCAGAAATCCATGGGATCCTGTTTTAAAGTCATGTGAGTCTAAAACATCCCTATGGTATGCTTAACAAATAACACCTTGATTTAAAAGTACATCAAATATAATTTGCATTATTTGAAACGAATATTCCATATATAAATTGCACATGTTTAGTAAGAAAACCGTAATTCTGCAAGGGAAGTGATCTCTCTGTACTCTTTGTCTTCCTTTATCAAGTTAAGGCATTTATCCATTGCCCTGGTTTCCCTGAAACATAGGTAGCTGAATTTGGATATCAATCAAATTGGGTCATCAGTCAAACTCTCCTAAGAAGCAGCAAAAATACCCACGGTGACCAAAAGAGACTTTTGTTTCCTAACTGGGCTCAGATGAGGAACCTTCTTAGTTTTGAGTTCTGTACAAGAAAGCCAACCACCATTGTAAAAAATGTCTTCCTTATATCTAGTCTGAATCTACCTTCTTTTGGTTTAAAACCATGGCCCATTGTCCTATCACAACAAGCACTATTAAAATCTCTATCTCCATTCTATAAGCTCCCTTTAAGTATTGAAAGGCTGCCAAAATATCTCCCTGGAACCTTCTCCAGGCTGAAAATTCCAATTCTCTCAGCCTTTTGTCACAGTAGAGGTGTTCCAGCCCCTCCTAATTTTTGTGGCACTCCTCTGGACCCGCTCCAACAGGTTTATGTCTTTCCTGTGCTGAGAACTCCAGAGCTAGGTGCAGTACTCCAGAAGGGATTTCACCATATCACAGTAGAGGAGCAGAATTACTCCCCTCAACCTGCTGAAAATCATTATACCTGGAGAATTTCTCCAATGTTTCTATTCCCTATAGGTTTATAACAGCCTTTTTATGCAGTTTCCTCCTGGCTCTGAAGATTTCTTCAGATCTCACTTATGAATCAAATTCCCCAAGCATAGCAACAAACTCCTGCTCACATAGTTGCTATTCTGGACAGACTCTTATTGCACAGAGTTGCTTATATAGTACAATAAATTCCAGCTTTAGTACAACTTGTGCAAAGCAAAATACACAAGTCAGAGTACTGCACAGTTGAAGATTGAGCAAACGAAGAAGATGGCAAATTCTACACCTGGTTGGCAACAATTTAGTTAACTGTCTAGTCTTGCTAACAAAAAAGGATGTGAGACATCAAGGAACAACTTTAATTAAATAATCCCAAAGATATCACAGGGCTTGTATAAATGTAAGCAGGATGTTAAGTTCTCTAAAACAAGAAAGCCATGGTCCATTGATGTCACTGTATATTCTTTTAGAAAGATGGTAGCAAATTAAATAAGAACGTAGCAAATTATACTTGCAAAACTTCACCACAGTCCATTTCTGCACCATCTTCCATCATGCTGGCTGCTTGTTGAGGTTTATTACTGTGCTATCAGAGTTCTGGTTCATTAACTTAAGTAACAGAATACCCGAACAAGCAAGGTAAATTGCTGCCTTTACACTGTCTCTAACTAGATGTGGCACATTATTCATTTAGACTGGTCAAGAAACAAAAAAAACTGAAGTCCAATGTATCAGAGCTGCTTGACAGAATTTATTGACTGTCTTGGTTCAGCTCTTCAGGCATCTTCTAGGCTGATAACTAATGCCAAAGTCACTGTCCTGATATCTGTTTCAAACACATTTCCTACGCTCCTTCTGCCTCTGCTCTTCCAACTATTTCTGGCTGGTAACCTTTTCAAGCTGGATTTCTGTTATCTGGAAGGGGGCAGACCACAGCTCATCTTCTGAAATATGAATAAACCTGCTGTTTAATTGATAGCTCTGTTTCCAGTGTTGACAGATAGGGTACAAATTTGGAAATAGAACAGAAAGCTTTAACTTGTGTAGCGTTAAAAAATGCTTTTAAATATTCTTAGCATTTGTTTTAAATAAGGGAACTAATATCCACTAGCTCTTCTCTATTGAAATAAAACTCTCTAAAAAATAAAAGAGAAGTCCCACACAAAATCTCAAAAAACTGTTTAAAATTATATTCATGTATGATTTAAGCTCTTTTCAAAGTTATATAGATAGATTCTTACTCATATTTTTGATCATGTTGCTGGCTGAGCTTAATAGCTTGCAACAGGGTTTCAACAGCTTGAGACTTGTTATGGCCTGCTTCAGTTAACTGGCGCTGTGTCTTACCTTAGAAGGAAACACAGAAAGTAGATTTTCAAGATGTGAATAATTTTTCTTCTATAAGACCCACCCAATCTGTTTTCCCCTCCAGTTAAACAACACAGTACATTATCTATTCTCCTCCTGATTAGCAAAATCTTTTCCAGTTTGCTTAAAAAGGTAATGCACAATGCTTGTATAACAACTGTCTTCATAGAGTAGCAAAAATAACTGAACTTGGGAATCATAATGACCACTAACATTTCCTGATCCCAACTAGCAGAGCATTATATATGAGGAGTTAATGAGCAGGCACAGGCCTGTTATGTGCTGTACTGCACACACAGTGTGGCACTCAGGCCTGTGTTGTGCTGGGCACATCCCACAGGATAAACACAGCCAGCTTGCTGTAACAGAAGAGCCTGCTGGCAGCATCTTCTCAGGTACCTTTCTGTAAAATGAAGCAAGAGGTTCCTATGTGAACATGCTTTTTGTTTGACAGTAGGAATGATGAATAGCATTGTTTTCTCTCAAGAATAGCTAAAATACCAAAATGAAGCAATTTTTCAAAAACAGGATTTGCATGTTGTGCTACATCCTGATTGAAAAACAGGATTTGCATGTTGTGCTACATCCTGATTGGAAGCATGTTCAATACTGCACAACTTGGAGTCCTCAGCCTCTGCAGTAATAGGACACTATTTACACGATAACATTTTTCTTTTATAGTGTTAACTCCAAAAAAAAATGGCATTCTAAGAGATACATCACAGAGACTTCAATGTCTTTCTGGCTGGGATCCTCACAAACCAAAACCTCCTGGTGCAATCAAAATGTTCTTAATCTTTCTGGCCATACCCTCGGATCCCTGATAACATACAGATGAAAGTAGTTCTAATCCAGTTTTGAAATTATTTGTAGAATAATGCATCCTGAACTTCTGTGGTGTGGTAATAAACACAGGAGATAGACCTGCATCTAGACAGTGAGAAATGTCCAAACTTATTCTAGTTTTACAGTAAAATGTCTCCATTGAAAGAGATACCATGTATAACATTGTCTAGGATGGCTCTCGGGATGTACAAACAGGGGTTTATTTACCTATCTGAAAAAGAACTTCAGCTTCCAGATCTATTTTTTTTGTTGCAGATGCTCTGCAAAGATTCAATGCTGATTCTAAATGCCCAAGAACACGTAGCCATTGCAAGCGATCTCTTGCAGCTGTAGAAGCTACTTTTTCAGCTAATGCATGTCCTAAAAAAAAAAAAAAAACAACACAGTTCTTGGCAAATTATTTAGTTGACAACCAATTTATTAAAAAAATAAGCTAATTCCTTAGAAGAAATGCTGCTACATATTTACTGATACAATCCAATTCCCAAAATTTCAAGTGATTGGATATAAATACGAAACTATAATATTGTTTCACTATTGTATGATGCCATTGAGGTTTACCTAGGCCACTCAAAAGAAGCCCAAACTACACCAATCAACCCGTTCATAAACTATGAGTGAAAATTAACTAAAACTTAAAACTAATAATGAGTTGTGTTTTTCTTACCAATTTTCATTTTGACTTGGGCTAGCAAGTTAATATGTGGCAGGTAGATATTCTTCGTGGGTAAGACCAGGCAAGTCAATGTACTGTCTTCTATTTGCTGTTCAATGAGTCCACCACAATCAAAAAGCTATGAAGAGAGTATGCTCAGTAAAATAAAGTTGTAGACAGCAAATCCAACAGCAGTTTGAAAAAGTAAGTTAGGTATTGCAAAACTGAAGTGTCTTGAAAAGAGCTCTAGAAAAGGATTCAGTATTCCTGAATTATTTTACTTTAGTTTGTACTTGTCTTGCAGAAGAGTCTTGTGACAATAAACAATTTTAATGGACTCTTGATTGAATTCAATAACATTAGGCTTTGGTTTTTAAAAGAAAATTCCCTAAAATCAGTCCTTAAGAACTAGATCTCACAAGTAACCAAACCCCTGGAAAGAAACTGTCATTCCTACAAAGAAATCTGACATGCAGCAAAGGCCGGAAAAGAAAAAGAAATTAGCATGTAGGGGCCAGTCAAACCTTTCATTCATGGAGATAAGACAATGAGGAGACACTGTAAAGTGTCAAGTCACTTGAAGGCTAGCAAGTCTCACAGTTGGAAGTTTGAGTCTGAAGTGATTCATACGATTCTTTATTACTTAGGGAAATAAATATTTCAATGGATTAAACTTCTGTTTTAGAAAATATGAAAAAAGAGTTTGATCTAAAAACTTTTTTCAATAACCTGTACCAAGTTCTGATAAAAATGACTATTCTATTTTTGGATCCCAAATAAGTAAATGGTTTAGTACTCTCATAAAGTTCATGTCTTTAGATTTGTTTTTTTTTAATTGCATATTTAAATATTTACATAGAAATTATTTCTTTATACCAATTGTAACAACCTACCAACTAAAAATATCATGCTACTTTCAATAGATTGTCCTGATTTCAATTATTCTAAGAAACAAAGTTAAATTCTTGGATGCCTAAGAGTTAGTAATTTAATGAGATCTACATTCTCCCTGAAGTGTTGAGTATGAACATGTCCCTCATAAGTGAGTGTTCTGCATCTCTTTAAAAAGTCAAATACCTATTTATTTTTTCACATCTGGATGTGTATTTTGAAACTATTTAATATTTTTTAATTCTATGAAAATACCTGACTACATATGATGAGTATGGATAAAGAATTTGGTAAGATGAACAACTTCTTTACACTATTCTAACGCAGATAAAACTGAAATGATCAATTACTAGGAACAGTCCTTTTTAATAACTGATAAAATAGCTTCCAGGATAAATAATTAAGGCTGTTGGAAGGATTTGGAAATGCACTGACATGTACTCACTGCTTTAATGGTAAGCTCATGAGCCGAAACAAGCAAGTTTAATGGTTCTACTGCAGAAGAGCAATGTTCTGAATCCTCTGCTATTTGCAGAGGCAGTATGTCTGCCAGGAGAAGCATACTTTTCACAAGAGTCAAAGAAGCTGGCAGGGAAATAAATGTATCCTCTTGGAGCAAACCGATGATTTTCTGTGTGGACATAGACAACATAAACCAAAGTAGTTACTATCTTCCTGTCTATTTATGAGGACAAATCACGCAAAGTGATAAAAAAATCTATTTTAGAGGCACTATTTCAAGCTTATTTAATGCTGCCATCAGCTGTTCTGACTACACCAAAAACGCATCAGAGAAAAGTGAACAGTTTTTTCCTTTGGGTTCAAACCTGCAGAAGAAGTTTGATGTCTGCCACAGGACGTTTTTCTTGCAGGTCAAGAATAGCAGCTTGAACCATCACTTCAGCCTGAGTGTCAATATCACCAAAGGCTTCTGCCTCTAATATAACTTCTTTTATCACACTTCTGCGCTCAGCCCCATCGTTTCCTAAAAGAAGAGAATATATGAATAGTAAAAATACAATAGAAAAGAGTATTGTGCATTCTACCATTCCTAAGTAACAGAAAATATGATATTATAAATTCCACGTTGCACGTGCACCATTTCATCTATTTTGTGTCAAATTTACTTTTACTTTCTCTTACTTTCTTTTTAAAAAAGAAAAAACACTTAGTTTCTAAACTCCACTAGGTGTAAGTTATCCAAATACAGGTTTTTATGCAAGCCACCAACATAAATATTATGATTACTTTAGATCTGTTCTACTTATTTAAAATTTGATTTTAGTTAAAATTGCAAAATAGTAACAGACTTCAGAGAAATTATCCAGAACTGATTAAGTAAGAGTTTGGCAATAGACTTAGACTGATTTTGATACTTAAGTGGACATCAGAGTTGTTCATAGAGCCAAGGAATGAAAAACATTTTGTTCATAAGCAAACTTCAAAAAATGTATTTTGCAATATCTCTCTTAAATATTTAAAAAAAAAATCTAGAACATTTTTAGGAGCTATGTAGGGATTTTTCATTTATTGTAGATATAGAAAGAAAAAAAATTTTGAGACTTTTAAAACCAGAAGCAACAGCATATTTTAAATCAACCATACTTTCTTAATTACACTAGAACATTTAAAATTTTAGACACAATTATCAAAAGATGATGACCATTAAACGAAAATTAATATAATACTTTCTGTTTTCATTTTCTAGGAGACAATGTGCTCATAAATATATTTTCCTTATTGGACTTGATGAACTTAATATAAATAATTGTTTAGTGATAATACAGCCCCAGAACTAATGCTACTATTTTTTAACTATGAATAAGAATTGTGTCTGTATAGGCTCATTTGCCCATGATAATCCCAAAATCTAAAGCAAGGAAGTGTAGTACCTTTGATATGACCAACACCGTGTATCTGTGTCACGAGTGCAGTCACTAACATTGCTCGACACCTCAGCCACAAATGTACATTCACGAGACCTCGTGCTGTTACATGGGGAGGGAGCTGAACACCTTCAGTGGTGGAGTCCTAATGAGTACCAAAAGCAAGAATAATGTTACTTTCTGAGTAACATACTTTACTACAAACAAGGCAACAGGGCAGCATCAGTTTAAAATCAATTTAATTAATACAAATATATTACAGATAATAGTAACATTCTAAACAGAAGTTAATATGAAGGGTAGAAATATTTTTAATATCAGGAGGCAATTTATTATTTAAATTTTAATATATATAAAATAATGTTAAGCATTGAATATTAAACCACTTTTTACATAAGACTCCATGAATATATCTATATACTACATTTGTTATGAAGAATAATTCTAAGAGTTTGGATTTTATTCCACTCAAGCAGGAATATTACACAGAATTCTATGGCACATAAAGGTCTACTTGTAGAGCAGGATCAGTATCAATTTCTGGTACCTCAATAATGACTAGAAAGAAATTCTTAGTTTTTGATTTCTAGTTTTTTGTGTTTCTTGTGTTTAGAAACAAATATTAGTGTAGTACAGCAAGTGTTTGTGAGAATTCTCAGCTCAACTCCCTGTGTTATCTTCATATATTCTAAAAAGTCTTTCTACTAATAAAATTATCCATTTCATGTTCTACTATTTCTTTCAGCAAGCAATCACTGGACAATGTACCACCTGTATTTTACTTGTAAAAAATTATCATGCCTGACTTGCATTGATGCAAATGAGGAAAAAAACACCTAAGTTACTGGCTACAGGACCATCCTAAGAAAAGAGAGGAGCAAGTGCAGAGAGACAGAAGCCCCTGATATGCAACACACAGAGAAAATAATTACATTGCATGCAAGAAAGTCCAGTCTCAACATACATTACAAAATCTCACTGCTCAGTTGCTCTGTCCATGTGAGTCAGTTTGACTCACAGTGCTCTGAAGAGTGACTGTGTGGTGTGTGACCAACAGACTTTCCAAAGCAGAGGTCAGAATCCCTATGTGCTGCACAACAGAAGTCAGCTGAAATCATGTGGAACACAGCAATAATGTGAAACGGTCCATCTGGTTCTTTGAAAGACAATTCAGTTCCCAATCAGAAAATCTAAAGTACCTTAACTGAATAATACAAAATTTTCAACTGATAGCTATGTTTTTCACTTCCTTTTTGTTTGGGAGGTTTCAAACAAAAGATTTTCAGTGCTGCCATTTGAGAGAAATAGAAATAAAAACTGTAATTCCTAACCTCATACAAGTTATAATGATGATTACACACACACTGAACACACCTACAAGCAAGCAGGTATCCAAAATGTGTCAAAGATCATTTTTTCCCCGGGTTAATGGTAACCACATAATACAAATAACTCAATGCTCTAATATTATGAAAATCAACACTTAATACAAGAAAGATTCATATATAAAGACAGATAAGTTTAAAACAAATATCCATCCATACCAAACACTCCCTTTCTTCCTTTTCTTCTTGAAAATGTTCCACGTCCATGCTAAGAACTTTTGCATCTTGGAAAAGTCGAATTGCAGAGAAAGCCAAAGCAACACTGTGGTATAGAGAAATATTATTTTTAAATATTAATTATATTTGCCACTTTATGATTTTATTAAAATAGATACTTTATTTTTTACTGTGTCAGAGACGTAAATCACCAGTTACCAATTTTTGCTTCAGTAAAACAAGATTGCACTCAGACTATTTTCTAAATTTGTAGGCACTGCATTATCAAAATGACAAAACAGCAGTAAGAGAAAAAGTTTTTCTAATAAAAGACATAACCTGCCAATATATCCCTGTCAGGGTGGTCAGGTATTGGAGTAGGCTTCCCAGGGAGGTCGTGGGATCACCATGCCTAGAGAAGTTTAAGAGGCATCTGGATCTGAGTGATACAATTTAGTGGTTTAGGGGTCACAGTGGTGATGCTGGGTTGATGGTTGGACTTGATTAGCTCAAGGTCTCTTCCAACCCTGATGATTCTATTAGTCTATCAATAGCATATAAGCTAAAATATATCATATTCTGTTGGAGAAATCAAAATAAAACTTCATTATAATTTCCAGTTACACACAGAATCATAGTATCATTTTTGCTGGCAAAGACCTCTACGATTGTCAAGTCCAACTTTTAGATCTAGTCAAATCACTAGATCAAGACCAACCATGGCATATATCAGGGATAAGTTCTTAGAAACTAGAAGATGTAAAAATACTGAAAATTACAGGTTCTATTAAGAGTGTTCTATATCATCCACAACTAAGGTTAATACCTTTCTCTTTACAACTTTTCCATTAATATGCATTAACCCTTCTGTTAAATCCACATGGCCAAATATTCACAGGATCTTAGCAAACACCATCAAGGTGATAAGCAAAACCTTATCAGTAAGAAATCACATGACATTGCATCTACCTTACTCCCCAGCCCATATCCTAAATTCTTTTCTGGACAGCACTGAACTCTGAACAAGACCTTTGAAATATACAGACACCATTAGGACTGTGCAGCATTCAATCATATGTGTCAAAAATGATGGGCTTAGATCTCAAAATATTGTCAGGTCTCTTAAAATATGAATCAGGGGCTACTGGGTTTTTTCATTTTTTGCTGTCCTTATAAGCACTCAGATACACTCAGATGATGTTCCATTTTCATTATACATACAAAAATGTGTATCTACAGCAGGCAGATTTTGTGAATGTAATTATTTGATGATATGAAGACATCTGCAAAGCCATCATAGACAGAAGACCTTTTCCATATTAGGAATTGTTGTTCAGAAAACACATTACTCAAAATATTCTGAGAATTGCCAAAATCAGTGTCTCTTTTTATTGGTTTCTCCCAATTGCATATTTTCCTCTATGTCTGTAAATCTTTACTATCCTACATCTTCTCTAAAACATTTTTGAGTTTGGTTTTGGGGATTGTTTGTTTGGGTTTTTTTTACAATTCTAGATGTTCTCTGCCCACAGAACCATTTTCTAATAATTCTAAGCTACCAGAGAGTATGCCTAGCTCACCACTTAAAAGATTTTTTTCAGCAGGTTAATTGTTAAAAATGTACCAAAGATCTGATCAAAGATCTGATCAGAACCAAAGGTCTAATCTATGCTGGTTTTTTACATAGACTCTCTATACATAGGCTTACATAACATAGGCTGTTATGAAGCATATTAAAAAAAAATAGAAAATAATTATTAATACTTTAAGTTCCTTTTTATGCTTCCAGAACAACGCAAAGAACTTCTAATGCAAGAAAGATTCAGGGTCTGTGTGAATTTACTCCTTTTGAGATGGTCTAATGGTTGCAAAGGCAAAGATCTTGCTCAAAGAATTCTGAACAAGAGCTGAACTACTTCTAAATTACACACATTATTCTGTCAACATATGTATAACCACAGGATGGATAACCTCCTGTTAAGAGAGCAGTTAAAGCTTTCCTGTCATTTCTGATTCTATCCTCCTTGCTGTTTTTGTGATGCAGACCTGGATGGATTACACCAATTCAGCACAACTAGACCCCGAAGTAACAATGAGAACCAAAGCCGTTAATATCTTGGCTTTTACCTTGCAGAATTCAATTCTCATGAATCTCCTTCACCATCCATTTACCTCAGTTTTATCCAACAAAATCAAAACAGAATAAATCAATGTTGAATTTGATGATAAGTTTGTCTCTAACAACGGAAAAGGTGAAACAGAATGTGCTTATAAAAGCAAACAGAAAATAAGGAGATAATGCAATTATGTACCCCAATTGCTTTTCTTTTTTAAATAGTTACCCCCTGAAACCAGGCATCAAAGTTAAAATTACAGCAAAATCTGACTTTTCTTAAAACATTGCTTGAGATGCTATGGTTCACATCTCAAATACCTCGGAGAAGGTACAGCACCTTAGAGTATATATAGGCTATAAACAAATATTAACCTAAATTCCTCAGCACCACTGCCTCAAGTTAACTGCTCTTGTCAACATTTAGCAGTATTAAAAATACAGGTATTTTTTACTGACATGTTTACACATAAATTTCCTAAGTAAAATATAGACTATCAGCCCAAAGATTTATATATGCCTTGTTTTAAGTCATAATTTATTCACATAAGCAGACAAGCACACATCTGGGTAATTAAAAAACTCACATTTATAGGACAGACACCATGTAAGTACTCTCCTTGAGATCAGTGGGATTAGTCCTATACATAAACATTCTGAAGCATACATTTTTTTGCAAGACAGAAGCTAGTAATGCAGAAGCTTCCCTTGATGAAATTTTTGTGACCCTCTTCTGCTGTCAACAAGAGTGATGTGTCTATATATTTCCCTTGACAAAATACACATCCTTTTATCAGCTGAATCAGAAAGTGACAAGATGATCAAAATAGGAAAGTACAGCTGACTATAACAATTTCACCACTAGGTCATTTTGCCAAAGGAAAAAAAAAGATGAATTTCTGTAATACCATGCAAAGTTTGATTTCTAGGCTGGCAGGCAGGAAACATTCAGCTGTCTGAAGAAATGTTTCATTTCTATCTGAGGCAGACATATCAGCAGTTTCCACAGCAGTACAATAAAACTGCAAAATAGGTTAAAAACCCCCAAACTCTTACTTTGTTTTTTTGATGGGTTTTTTTCCCTGCTACTGACCACTATCAATATATAAGACCCACTAAACAAACACCCATCAAAAATTTGAGAGTCACAAAAAGTGATCTATAAAATGTTTGACATCCATGGAAATCCTCGATATTCCAAAAAAGTTTCTTCAATCTGAGAAAAGTTATAAACCAACAGAGAAACTAGGCTCTACGATATAAACTGCATGGCAAAATGAAGGGTACTGCATTGAAATGTCTTGCATATACTGGAACCAGTTCAGCAGGGTGAGAATGTCTGAGACAGGACTGCACTAATGCAGGTTTTACCAAGCCTAGTATTAAGGTAAGATTACACACACGATATTTCATAAGTGTGCATACTGCTCCTTGGTCATCAGTATAGTGACTTTATAAAATTCAGGACACTCAAAAGTATGATGAGGTGACTGTCAGTGACTCGTGGATTTCTCCTTGACAATGTGTAGCAAATTAATCTAATTCAAAAAGCAGTAAAATAGATTTATATTTAGTGATAAGAAATGTCCACAAATAACCTACAAGTTCTTACTTTGCATCTTCAATAATGACATTACTGTTAAATGATTACAGTCCTAATATGTGAATTTTTGGGAAACTGCTTTCTTCTAAAATAAGATACACAAAACTTGGGGGAAAGACCACATTGCAGACTGTTACTGTTTTCAGTTCAGTAGTCTATACAGCACTGTGAAGCTCCTGTCCTGTTAATTATTTTTATTGCTGTACCATCATAATGCAAAAGAAATTGTACTATTTAAAAGGTATTGATTTGGAGAGTTTTTATTCAGCTAAGATAGCTGAGAGAAGGAAGGTGACTTCTTTTGTCATAGACTAAAACAGATTTTTTTAATTGGGTAAAACATCACACTAAGACTGATTTATCTGTTGGCCTGATGACCCACATACCACTTCATCAGCAATCTTCACCACTATTTTAACAATAAAGAAGGGGTTAATTTTCTCTTTTTTTGATGCTTACTGTGCTATGAGATTTATTGTAGAAATTCTGGTGCGTTTAGTTAGATTAGACCTAACAAACAATACAAATAGTGATTACACTGTACCAAATCTCAATCTAGCCTGGCATGTGATGGTGCTACACCTGAGTATGCTCCATCTGTAATTAGCAATGTGTATGCTCAAAGATTTTTCCCTCTAACAAAATATTAGATAAAAAGAGCTTCACACTAATAAAATGATACATTGTTAAACTAACATCCTTCTTACACAAATCAATGTAAAATTACAGATATGCTAAATAGACAAATCCTCCTAGGTAAAAGACCAAAACAATGCATTGAATTCAACATTTACAAAGAGTTAATATATTTCAGTATGTCCAGTATATTCCAAGAACATGAAAATTGTAACTTCATTAAATTCTCCAAAAGAAATCAGAATCTCAAAAAAAAAAAAAAAAATCACAGAAGTTGGGAATGTTAATTTGGAGAAAATATCAGGCAGATATATACAGATTCATAGAGATAATTCAGCCACAGAGATAATAGTGTCTAAATACTGTTGTATCACTAATAATATAATTAATTCTGCTAAAATCTCGTCTAACGTGTTAATGTTTACTTCAATGCTTTTTAAACACTGTAATTTAAAAAATAAAATTTTGACGTTTTAATTTGAAACCAATAAGTTCATCAAGAAGAAATGTTCCTGTAGGACAGAAATACAAGGCATTCTAGAACAAAGTAGAATTCAGTAGTTCAGAGATAACATCAATGCTCTATAGTACACTTTAAAATTGTAAGAACACGCACAATCTAACATATCCAGATTTTAACCAAATCCATGAAGGTTGCAACTTCTTCTTTGTTTTTATACAACACTTTATCACAAAAACATCTCATGGAGAAATCGTAACTGATTCTCTAGGCTGACTGAATCTTTTACACCTTGTAAAAAGCAAAATAAAGCAATAAAAAAAAATTAAATGCCTACGTATCTTACATATGTAAATATACTAACGGAGTTGTTACAGGTAAGTGCTAAGATGTACAATATTGATGTAGCAATAAAGAAATTAATTTTTTAATCATTGGTGGTCAAGGCTGTGCAAGATAAGGTTGTTCATAGTATTACTTACCTGAGAGCTGCTTGATGCCTTTGCAGAGAAATAGAAGCAAGTTCAAGTTTGGCCTCAATAATAGCCTCTAAATCTTCCACAGAATACCGAGATATGTCCCCATCATATTTTTCCTGTATGTCCTGTACAAGATAGCTAAGACTTTCTTCAGCTTCTGTCAACAAAATCCCCTAGAGAAGAACACAGGCTTGTATGATTTCAAAAAGTAAAGAAATTAACATTTTCTTTAGAAATACTTTTTTTCTGTATAGCCTGTTATCACTGCATCTTAAAATAAATCATATGCCTTTTCTATAAATGGGGGTGGGGTGGGTAATTCTGCTTTTCTCAGGTTTTCAGAATCATTATATTCAAATCAGCAACATCTTATCTGTGCCTCTACTATTGTCATGCATGCTTAACTACATATTTTAAGGCTTAGCAATGCTACTCACTAATTTCCCATTCTTTAACTAATAGCTATATTTGGTAATTTTATACTACTCACTATGCTTAGTAATTTTAAACAACAAATACAATATTAAAAACATTAGAGATGTCAAAAGAAATCATTACATTCTTTATTAGCTATATTTTGACATCCTTGTGTGCAGTATGAATCCTGAAAGTTCAACTATAATTTACAGTCTTTCTGATCAACAAATCTGTAGGAAGTGAAAAACACACCTTTAAAAAGAAGTTAATTTTAAATTAAATCTCACTTGTGGAGCTTTCAGCAGAATTAAAATTTAATTTAAAGGTTTGCATCATCCAATACATTACTTTGATCAAAATTCACAGCTCTACTTAAAAAAAAATTACAAAAAAAACAAGCCATAGAAACTCCTCCAAAAGAATAGAATAGTTAAAGAAAAATCAAAAGTAAGAAATATATTATGCCTCTTAAATAAGCCCTATTCAATTCAAATTAATATTTCTATTTGAGTTATTTTCAAGTTGCTATTTTCAAGTTATACTACCACTTTCAAGTTTCTAATGTATGACCTTATGCCAATTGCCATACAAAATCATCCTTCCTTCTCCAGATGTACTTTTTGCATTACTTTGATTGTAACAATGGCCAAAAGTAGTTACTTCCAAAGTGGAAGACCTCTCTGAATGAAGAATATGTCAGCCCTTAATTTTGATCTTTTTGTGATATGAAACTGCCAAGCATTAACTTTACAATTAAATAAAATCCAACTAAAACAACCCCCTTCAAACAAAGAAGTTAATAAGCTGTGGTAAAAATTGAAATATTTCATATATAACAATGGTAGAGAATTATTTTTTATTTGTATAACATATTGCCCCATCAAAGAGTGTCTGACATGTTCTACAGATGGTACCCTCTGGAAGGAGATTATTTTATCTTGAAATCCCAGTCTTTACCCTTTATGCTGAAATACTCACACTGAGATCTGATTGTAGAAGTATTTCCCATTATTTGAAAAATAATGCACCAAAAATGAAAAATGATTACACCAAATAGTCAACACTTCATGCATAGCTACTACTACAGTCAAATTAGAAACAGAAGTTTTTATTCTCCTTTTTCATACCATCATAATTTCTGTTACATTGAAGGCATTAACAATATTTTTGGATCAATCTGTATTTTCTTAATCCTTTTCTCCTAAAAATCAAATTACCTTCAGCATGGCCATATTTAATTCATCTTTATAGTCAACAAGATGCACCATTCTGTCTCTTTGTCTCCATTGTCTTGAATTCTGATCAGCATCAACTGTCAAACACATTGTGGATAAAATTTCAGATAACAGATGCAGAACCAAATCGTTCTCAGCAATTTGAAAAACATGGACCTTTCCTCTCTACTTACAATTGGGACTTTCAACATCAAAATAAGTAATAATGGAACAAAATAATGATAATAATAAAAATAATAATAATAGTGGTAGAATAGTAGAAGAATAATAGAAGAATAATGAAAAGAACTTTAACAAGTCTTAATGCTTATTTCAAGAATGACTGAATTTTTTCAGCAACATTTAAAATTAATATTGTTCATAACATGACATGTTAATTAATATGAAGTTAAATGTGTAAAAAAACCATGCTTGAAACAATGTAAGTAAAATTTTCCACCATCCTTATAATTACCTTTTATAGTTGATGCTGTAGTTTTGTTTGGCTCTGGCAAGCTGCTGTTATCAACACAATATACAGTTTTTTCAACTTTTTCAGGTATATTATTTATTGTGGCAGAAAGACAAATGATGAGATGCATTTTGGCTAAGGTTAATTTATTCATAATTTGTTGGTTGCACAGTGGTACCACTGTTGAAGACAGACTCCAATTAAATGTATCTTCCAGTACCTACAAGAAGGTTAACAATTGGGATTATTTGAAATTACACATTTTACATTTTTCTTGTTCAAGACATATTCTGCTTCTATTAATAATGACACAAATCAACAATTAACATGAATAATATTAGTAATATCCTCATTAATATGAATAAGTTTGGTTTTTTTCACCCCTTAGTAGCACTTGCTACAGCCTCAGAGGTTGGTTTTACAGCAGAAGGTGCATCTATGAAGTTATAACTATTATCACTGCAAGTTCTAGTTTTCTGCATTGCAGGTGAATCTGTAGTTCAAAAATCTCAACTAAAAGAAAAGTTTGTTGTTAAGAAAGGGAAAAAATTCTTGCATCACATCATTTTAGCATATTTCATAGACTTTTTGTTATTCATTATAGCATCCTTGTTTTATCATGAGTTTAATAGTCTCAATTTAGATTAATAAATTTATAAGTTGAAAGTCTACACAGATTTGCAAGATCATGAGACCAGTAACAGCACTACATATACTGTGAAATGTTCAAGTCAAAAGCCCAAGATAATGCACAACTTCAAAATAAATCAGAAACTAGTGAGATAAAAAGCTGTCAAGGTACATTTCTCATTTCCATCCTGTAATACCAACTGCTGTAGGAGATAGACAAGCTTTCTGTAAACAAGAGAAAAGTGAGGGGAAAAAATAGGGGGTTTAATTTACCAATTTATTTTAATGTTACAACTTTTTCACATTCTGCTAACATTTACCCCTACCAGCTCAATGGACCTATGAGAAGGTTAATAAAAGGAAATTATTAAAACTTAAAAATACAAAAGAAGTCATTGATGAATAGGTGATTTAAAACAAAATGAGAAAATTACTGGTTTATGGAGTCACCATTTAAATTTTTTCCCCAGAAATGGACTTCAATCTCCATCTGAATTAGGACAACTCTACGAAGACAACTATGATTCATAGAAATTATAACATTAAAAGTTTGACATTCTCAATACTTTAGCAGAATATTCACCCAACCTTCCATATCACAACAAAGCCTGAATAATTCCATTAGTGTGTTTTGCACAGAAATGCCACAGATTTGTACATACTAGATCTCCCATCTGAAAAATGGTGAAAATGGTAGTTGCCTTTCCCTTGAGACGTCAGCCATAAAATTTAAAATTTAGGAAATAATAATCAATTGAGAAGAATGTCTTCTATTTACTGGATTTTTTAATAAGAACAAGGATATTTTCTGAATGGGATAATTCTTATCTTAAGACAGAGAAATAAATATTTATGTACAGCATAATACATTTACTCTTTCAGGGTTTTTTTACCTGCAAATTTGTAGCAGTCATGAGAGGTTTTGAGGAATCAAATTTCTCTAAGGCCTGTAAAATGGACAAAAGCAAAAGAAAGTAATGTGTTACCATATGAGTATAAAACCAATGAGTTAACAGAGGTGGAAGGAGGGAAATATCCTTTCAAATCAGCTCATGGAACTCAATTTGCTCTGCATCACTGTCTGCAACACAGGGTAAAGAAAGCAAACTAAGTTTGTCCAATGCTTGACAATGCTATTGTTGATGAAATTTTTCCTACAGTTCATGCTGAATTTCACCTCGTGCTTTGTCCAGAAGTCTTTTGTCATTTCACCTACCCCAAAGCACCACTCAGATAAGAGAGACCTTGATTGCATTCATCCAGGATTAAATCATTAGCTTATTTTAGTATGTGCTTGGGAAACAAGGAAAGGATGGTCATGGGAGAGGCTCACTCGATAGCCTGATCTGCCTGCACAGGTGTGCTCACAGGTAAGACAAAAGTCCAGGTCAGTTGCTAACAGCTTCCAACCCTTGTAGCACATTAGTGGTCAGATGGAGAGAAAATCAAATTGGCCTTGGGTGATGTGAGTGTCAAGGCTCTGTGGGCAGCAATAGCTTTTATGGCCCAGCATCTCCTGAGGCTGCCCTGCCCTCCCCAGGGTCCAAAACCCCAGCTCAGCTTTATCCATACTTTTCATGCCTGCATATGAAATCACAAATTGTTTTTTTTACGGTAGTGTCTGCAGTACTCAGTGTATAAAACACACGTTTCAAAACTGATTTTTGTTCCTGCTGTATAGTGAGAGATTTTAATGTCATCCAAAGCCTACTACTTGATTCATCTATTGAAACAAATTTAGGAATTTCTTAGGAACGTGTAACAACTGGCAGATATGGAGTATATGCAGTTTCATGAAGAAAATGGATTGTTACAGTTCAATGTCATACTTTTCTGGTGTTTACCTGCATTTGTTCAGTATATCTGTATCCTGCTGGTATTTTCCATGGAATTCTCTCTCCCAAAAAAAGCAGGGATAGTTCATGAAAGGCCTCCGTAAAAAATCCTATATCTGTAAGTACTTTAATCTATGAAAAATAACAAAACCTTGATTTGAGTGTTATTCACTATTTTTTTTGCTCAAAATAAACTGTATTTAAAGGTAATTTTCAAATAGATTTGGCTACCAGAATAGTACAATGATGGAGAATGATCTTCAATGGAAGGAAATCTTTTATATATTGTAGGGAATAATTTCAAAGATGGGTCTTTCTCTTTTAAAAACAAATTCTTTAAAAACTTGCTCCTGACAAAGGGAAAGAACTTGCTACATCTGGTAAGAGTTTTGCGTGCCTGCTCAAGATCAGCACCTTATCAAAATCTGTTTCATAGATTTTACTCATCTCATAATACTTAGCTACTCTACCTAACCTATATCAGCATTTCCTGAAAATATCTAAAACCAATATCACTTTGACTCTTAATACTCTTACTAACTCTTGATACTTAGACGACTTTAAAAAACCCCCAAAACTCACAAATTATTTAAACAACAACAACAACAAAGGTGAATATTAGTGAAAAGACAAAAAAATCTGTTCCTAGATTTCATGGAACCTTGTTCTACCATGATAGTAAGAACAAATCCAGAAGGGGAAAAAATTGTCATTCGTGTTTTCCACTTAAGAAAACATTAAAAAAGTGGAACAAGAGAAAAAATACCAAGTGAGAAGTCTGGACCACAGAAGGAAAACCTCCCCTTCATTAAATAGAGAGTAGAAAGAATTTATAGAACCACTCAACAGCCTATGAAGGGAATTAACAGTAAAAATGTGTAAATAACTCTGCATGCTACTAAAATTGAGAATATAAATAATAATTACATTTAGAAAGTACCTGTACCATCTGCTGTGCTACGAAACACTAAGCAATACCGGAACTTCAAAGCATGACTTTTAATAGGAGAAATATATGAATATTAAATTCACTACATTTGACAAAGAATTGAATGTTTTTCAAGCTTACTTGAAAAACAATGTGTTTTGAGAAAGAGAAAGCTTATTTGATTACCTTGAAGATTCTTCCTTCAATACATTTAGCCGGGTCCTTACAAATCTCAGATACAATATATTGGTATAATGTGAACAGAGGTAAAATCTGTAGCAAAATAGTAGGTCATGCAGCTATAACATCATACAGGGTACAGTTATGGAAATAAGCATTGCAATTACATATCAAAAGTATATAGATAACATAAGATTACTACTTTGACCATCACACACCATCACTATCTCTCTTATGCTTTCTGAAAGATTAATGTGTTAAAAAGTTCTTCAGCTCGCTAAAGCTAACCACTGATACTACCTTATATGTAATTCACAATATAGGAAGTGAAGTTTGTCCAAATTATTCTCTGTGTTCAAGGTGGGGTCTTTTACAACATCATTACTGAGCAAACCTACCGAAAATAGGTTGATACAAGGGATTTTTAAAACTGTCTGCATTTTGATGCCATATTTTTTTCAATATAACTAACAGAGGAATAGAATTCTGTAAGCTTTTTTAAATAAAGAAAATAAAAATTAAGTCCTGCAACTGTCTAAGTGAAACTATACCAGTTGTAAAATAAAGTGGATGGTGATGAGACTTATTGACAAATTTATTTACATTCATTTTAAATTGAAATTTTTTCGTAGGGACAACTAACAAAAAAAAAACATTTTTAAACTGAGCTTTATTAAAGTATAGAGACACTGTATATCCTTCCACTATCTGAAGGCAGCCTACAGAGAAGCTGGAGAGGGACTCTTCATCAGGAACTGTAGATAGGACAAGGTGTAATGGGTGCAAATGAAAGAGGGGAAATTTAGGTTAGATATTGGGAGAAAGTTCTTTACTGTGAAGATGATGAGACACTGGAGCAGGTTACCAGTGAACTTGTGGATGTCCCAACCATGCAAGTGTTCAAGGCCAGGTTGGGTGGGGTGTTGAGCAACCTGGTGGGAGGCATCCTTGCCCTTGGCATGGGAGGCTGGGACTACATGATCTTTAAATGTCCCTTCCAACCCTAAACATTCTATGATTCTATGATCTACTGTTATACAATATTTCAGAAAAAGCAGATTCTTTCCTAACAGATTCATGTGTTTATTGAAAATGAAAGAACTTCCAAAATTTAATTACTATTCAGCTTTTACATTTTTCTTCACTTTAAAATGTCCCCAAGCTTAGAAAATGCTAACAGTATTGTCAGATTTTTTGTCAAATTCACTTTAAGTTTCATAATGTAGCTTAATACTTCTGAATTTGGATCACAAAAGCTTGAGGCAAATGTTTTAATTGCACTCATACAGTTTCCTACTGATATTTGAAGTAGTTCAAAAAAATGAGTCTTTGAAGTTTTATTTTTAATAAAACTTGAATCTTCATGTATTTTGATTTAAGTGTCAAATCAACTTTGCACCCCAGCATCCAAAATATCTCCACACAATAAGCATTCAGGGGAAATGAAGCTCTCATTCAGCTAAAACTGCAATTGCTTTGACCATGATCCATGACTTGGATCTATGTTCTGCTGGCAAAAGTGCAGAAAGCATAAAAAATGTGCACAGCTATGTGAAGCAAGCAGTCAAATTAAGCGCCTCTGGCTTCAGGTAATTGTCTGCTCCTTGATTTTACTGCATCTCTCATAGCAAGGACAGTTACACAAAGCTAAATAACAAAGTGAACAGTAAAGCAGGATGGGAAGAACCAACGATAGGAGTTAGCCTGAAGTTCCAAAAGAAATCAATCCAACAAATGGTTTGCTGACAAATAAGGGATAACATCTTTCTGCCTCCTCCTGTCTAACTCCTCTTCCATCTCTACCTCCTAACATTTATTACTCCCTGCTGCCAGCCCTGCAATCTTTTCCCCTCCCTGGCATTGACTCTGCCACTTGCAGGACCTTACCATAAGTGGATTCAACTCATCAGAGCTGGAAAAATCTATCTGCTTTTTCATTTGGAGAGTTTTCTGTCATGTATGATTTACAGAGGTACAAAATAATCACCTGACATGAAATTCTGTTAGTGCATACAGGACCAAACCAGAAAAAAGAGAGCATTGGACCTTTTTCAGTACTACTAATCAATTCAATCTATTTATTCTAATGTACAGCACTGCACCATTGAAGTAAACTGGATTAAACAGGAAATGGTCAGAAGACATGAAATGGAGGAAATAAGAATATGACCAGCATAGGAGGGAAGTTATAAAAATACTTCATACAGAGGAATAAGAGAACATGAAAAGGAGAAAGGCAGAAGGGACTTTTATCTACTGGAAGTTAAAGTATGGAAAGCATTCTGGACATACTGTATTTAAAGTATTTTTCTGTACTGTGTATTTTAATAAGTATATAATAGAAAATTTCCTCTAAAATGCCTAAGCTAAATGAACCATGTGTTGCCATCTTCCAAAATAAAAAAATTTCCCGTGTTTTCTAAAACATGCATGCAGCAAGCTATACCTTGTTTTAAGTGCCACACAACCTAGCCATAGGGTATTTTACTAGAGATTCTGAGGTATCTCATAAGTAAAACCCAGACAAAAAAGTAAGACTAGGCATCTTAAAAATAATTTCCAGAGCATGAAAATAATACTTACTATTAAATTTTGTTTTGCATAATGTAGTTCAAACATAATGAAATTCAGACTTGCAAGTACAGTAGAGATATCAGCTCTGTAGCGATCAGAGAACAGGTCAATACCAGGAATAAGAATATTTGTTTCATATTGTACAAAGTCATAGTCAGATGTTGGATGTGGAAGAGAAGCTCTAAACAGGGTCTGAAAGTAATAACAGTGAATTATTTTTGAAAAGTTGTACAGCTATTAGTGAGAAACTACAAACTCCAACTCATAAATTACTTCATAAACACAACTCCATCAATGCCTTAATTATTCAGCTGTTTCCAGACACAATATTGAAAAATATTTTTAGAGAAAATGTTTCATGTATGATGGAGAAATAAACAAGCTGTAAATAGTCTAAGGACAGTATGTCTCCCATCATTTCTGGCAGAGTTGCTGACTCTAAGGCCAGTTAAAAGCTAGTTCCACCCCACTTTCACCTCTAACTAGGTCAGGTAGTGCAGCTTATCAGCTAGCGCAGCTCAAATCATGTAACTAAAAACTAATACGAAATTTAATAATTTCTGGGAAAGTTGCTGACTTTAAAGCCAGTTAAAAGCCTGTTTCAGTCTAGTTCCACCTTTAATTAGGTCAGCTAGCACAGCTTAAATTATATAACGAAAAACTAATATGAAATTCAAGGAAATAATTTAAATGTTCTCTCTTAAAAAGGGAAGAACGCTAACATTGAAACTGATGTTGGATATTCCTTCCCAATTGTGTTTATCTTGGTGTAATTAGCAATGATATGCCAGAGAAATTTGCATTTACACTCAGATCTGAGATATTAACAAGCCTAAAGCCTACACCAGAGGTGGAATTTAAACAAGGTTATAAAAGCTTTCCAATTCAAGGAACAAATTATGGCTTGAACTTCTTGCAGTACAGAGACAGTAATTGATTATATTTTTCAAGACAATCACCCTGCAAGCTGCTTCTATCCCAATTAATATCAGACCCACTTCAGTCAAGTCACAATTATTTCTACTGTTATACAACTGGAACAAATGCTTGCTACCATTTCTGTCGAAAGAAGGAATCATCATTGTTCAGCTTTGTAATTGTTCAGCAATTACAGTGCTAGAAGCAAGTAAAAATTCTCCTTTACCTTTTTTTCTTCAATTTGTTCTCCCTTTGGTGAACTTAGCAAGTTTTCCAATGTGGGCTAGGACAGGTCTCACAGTCACAATCATGACACAAGATATCAGACAGTGTCATTGCTTGGTTTTGGAAGAAACCAGAAAACTTCTTTCAGCTGCACTGGGATGAGTCATCATTGATCCCAGGAGAGTATAACTGGCAGAGCACTTGCAGTTTATTTTCCTGTACTACATTTGCTACTGGCATCTTAACTTCCACTTAAAAGTAAACTGAATTTTTTTTCTCTATAGGTATTTTTGCTGAAAGTCTGCAAACTTAATTTTAATGATCTTATTTTCTTTGTGAGTGAAACTGGATCATTTTTTAATATCCTCTGGTTTTAGAGCAAACTTATTATAGAGCTGAGATTTCAGTACTACAAACTAATATTTTTCAGTGCTAAAAAGGATTCAAAAACTTCTTTTTTTCTAAAGAGTCTGTGCTCTTGGCTGAAAATGTAAGACAACTGTGAAGACTGCAGATCTAAAAGAGAGCATTCTGTTGTTGTTGATGCCATCCAGCTCTTCCTGAGCAGAATAATTTAAGAGAAGAAAAATACATTTGACTATCAAATGTTTTAGTCATCTTCTCTTTTCAGTATTTTTTCTCTGAGACACTCTGACCTTCTATTGAAGTGATAGCTTTTAGGCTATAATACAGAAATAATGTTAAAAAACAAAGAATAAAAACATTGTATCTAATATGCATAAATTGTCAACTACCTCTGATCTCCGTTTTTCCTTTACAACCACAAAGTGAAACAAAACAAAAGGAGAATTATTTTAACAGAGGGTCATTTTAGAAGCAATTTGTTAACTTCATGAATTTGAACTGAAATTACATTCTTACCTTAAAAAGTATAGCAGAAAAATAGCAGTATTTTGTTCTTAATCTCATCTGTGATGTTGTTATATACCTAAAGCACAACAAATAATAATACAAATGTACCCATCAATAAAAATTATTTAAATCCTTGGGGTTTTAGTCTAATGTGAAAGTAATACTAACACAATCTAGATGTTTCTCCTACTGGAAAACAACTGCCTGTTTTTAAATAGGTGCTCAGCCACACCATGCAAAGAAGCATTTGACCAGAGACATACCTAGACAAAGGGAGGTGTCTAGGTTATCTTCAAACTTAAAGGAGAGACACAGGTAATCTAAGGGCAAGCTCCATCTCATACAAAACTAAAAAGATAAAGCAGATTAAGCTACTCACACTTTAAAGTGTATTTCTTTCCATAAAAGAAGCTTAAGATAACTAGCACATGGATTTTAACATGGCAGGTGTCTAGCTACATTTAATGATTCCCACACAATACCTCATCAGAGCCTTAAACCATTATGGTAGCAGGGTAGTCCTATGATCAACAATCCTAGAAATCTTTACTTCAAATATTAGAATCCTTTAATGTGCATTTACAGCCTGTGACTAAGCTCCTGTATAAAGAGCAACTCAAAAGATGTTTAACAGTCCAAGTCAGGTCTAAACACAAAAGAACCACCTGAAGGAGAAGCCAGGAGAACAGCTCCCTCCAAATCCTGCCAGGATTTGGAATGGATGCATTAGCAGTGAAGGGATAGTATCCAGTGCAGCAAATAGGTGCCACAAACACCTGTAAAAGCAGCTAGGGATTTGGTCTCGCCTAATTAGACCTGAGACTGAAGCACAGCTCAGAATTAGAGGAGCTTTCATTTATAACCAAGTCAAACTCACTTCTTTTCCTTTTGGGTGCTAATTTTAAGTGTGGCAATGCCACTTCATCCTGAAATACCCATGGTAGCACTTGCAAAGCTACCTTGGCTTATAGACATTTTGCAGGTCTATTAATATGACCTGCTCCACAGGTAAGGCAATTTACTTGGATGAAGCTCTGGCCTTTCATGGTTATAGTGTTTTTAAGGTCATTTAATGCTGTCTTGGGTACTTCTAGATTTATATTTTGTACATTACATTGAGGAGCAACTCAGAATTACATTCACAGTGTTTTACCAGCAGTCAAGGAGTACTGGATGCAAATAGTTATTGACAGTACATTTTTATACAGTAATTCAAATTTCATTTAATTCTAATTCATCAGAAAACTAGTACTCCAGGGCAGTAAATCTGACCTCAAGATACATTAATATTTAATATGTGCAAAAACTTGATAAATGTGATATTTTGATTGAAAATCAATATGACTCTAAAGTCCTTGAACTTATGACTCTTTATTATTTTGTTTTCTTTTAATGATCTCTTCATATAACATACAGCTGCATTTATGATCAAAGATGAGCACTCAAGAAAAGGTAAAAACAACATTCTCCAAAGGAATAAATTCCTCCCTGAAAGGAAAAATTCCTCTGCTTTTGAGGAGCCTTTTTTATAACAACTCACCATTGGTTTTTAATTAATTTGAAGTTGCCTCATATCTCGGATGAGCAATTTGTTTAAAATACAATAGAAATACATATATGGGTGAGATACTTACTGAGCTATCTTAGCCACTAGGACTGCTGCATGTAAACATCCCCAAGCTCCAGCCTGAGAAAGAAATTTCTGACTCATATCAGTTGATCTTCTAACTGCAAAGCAGTCTGTAGCATCTTTTGGAAAACTTAACTCTTGCCAGGTGTTAAGAGCATCAGCAATGTTGAGTGTTTCATCAAGGGCTTGACACCAATATTTAAAAGCTGCGCTGTAACATAAAAAATATCATCATATTGCTGACATTTTCCAAAGTAGGAGATAAGACCTGCTTCATTTTTCCTTTACTGCCTGAGATTTAACTAATTCTGATTGGGTCACAAACTGAAATATAGTTTCTATAATACACACACAAAAAAAGATACCATTCCTGGTCAAGAGACTTATTTGGACTCAAATCATCAAGCCATAGACATTACTTCTTAAAAGCACAAAAATGCATCATTCTTTGCTTAATTAATTAGGTAGCTAAGAAAAATAAACAATTTATAGGAAAAAAAACCCTCTCAAAATATAGATAATAGTAAGTTAGATGAAAGAAGTTATATGGACTAGTGGACAGCACAAAACCTTACAAGACAGTTGAGGGGTTAGGACTAATAATCAAAAAAAAATTAAACTGTGCTCTTTTTTAATGCAGTATCTATTTACCTTTTATTTCTAGAATAAAAGTGAAGATTTCCAAGTTCATGTAGAGCCTGTACCTTGAGATCTCTTTGGTTATTCATTTCAAGGATTCCTGTAATTTATTTTTAATAAATTAAAAAAAAAGTTGTCATATCATTAAACTGGTTACTGAACCTTGAACAAATTTGGCATGAGTAGCCATGTATTCAAATGTAATTCAATGCATGAATTTTTTTTTCATTTATTGGTCTTGGATATTTTACCTTCAAATGTACCATTTCTTATTTCAACTAACTTTGAAAGCAAAAATAAGATATAGGGACTTCTTTACCAAATCTTTCATATTTTTGTTTTTTCAGATCTCTCAGATTTTTTCTTGTTCACAAGATAAACTAGAAAGCAGGTCATGGGCCCTGCTAAACAACTCTGCCTGTATACAGCACAGCACTCCCACAGACATTTCTGGAACCTGTGCTGCAAATAAAAGCACTTAGAGCATCTGTTGACCTGGTACACTTGCCCTGTTCAGTCATACAGCAAGAACAGGTATTAGTGAGGAGCTGTGACTGTATGAGTAAAGCCACACCAGAATGTAAGATGGAAGCCAAGTAACTAGGTCACATATTCAAATGCACAGAATCTGAAAAGTCTGTTCGCTAGGGAAAAAAAATTGTCATGGAATTAAAATGAATCTGCTAAACATTACATCAAATTCTGAATTGGGGATTAATCATCATAACACCACTGAAGTAATGCTTTTTCATAAAATGAGATAACTAGAAATGATGAACCAGCTAATGGCTTGTTTAGGATCTAATGCAGATTTCCTCAACCAAGAGGAAGAAGGTTCTATATTCCTGGAAACCAGACTTCAGTCAGTTACAGCTGTCTGACAGAGAAAAAATAACAAAGAGATAAACATATGTAAACACAGGCAGAATGTTGTTACTTCTTAGCTGTGAGCAGAAATTTATGAAAAAATTACCTATTGTTTGTTCATAGGAAGAGATAATTACTGAAAGCTGTGACTTTGGTATTTGTCTCCTCTCAACCATACTGGAGAAATTATATTTTTCTTTAGAAAGGTCACATGGTGTCGGTAGAAATATCACTTCATCTCCCACGTTAAATTTCAGCTTTCTGCTTGAACAGATATGACTGCTGATTGCTCTTCCAGCATTTTCTAGATTAGAAAAGTGATTTATATGATCAGTTGGGAAAAGTGTTATACTATTTCTAGCACCCCAAATATTTCTACACCATGTTAGTCAAACAAATATACAATTCCTGTGTACCCTGTTTCCATTTGGTTTCCTATGCTACAATCCTGTGTCTCCTAATTAAACTTATTAGAAATAATTCACTGGTCAGTGTAACCAAAGGATATGTGCTCTGTTAGTGAAAATAAATTTGGGAAGATCTGCCAGTCAGCCGTCTGACAGAGGTATGGCTGCAAACAGACATGTGACACAGCTGCATGAAAAAAAATTATTATCCAACTATTATACAAATCATAGGGAATAAGGCTTAGAGTTGGTGTTTATAGAACTTCAAATTTCACTTCATATTCTATATTTTTTCTAATTATCAGAAACTAAAACTTGAATTTAGAAAAAACTGTTCCTTTTACTCTTTGCTATTTTAACTGCATATACATTTATGAAGAGAGAACACTTCAATGAATCACTCACCTTGTGTGTGTGCAAGAAATAATGAAAGTAGTTTCCTGCTGTGTCTCAGTGCTCTGCTTTGATATTTAGATTTTTCTAGAGTTTCTCTAAAACATTTCAGTGTATCATTCACATCAAGAGGCACACAAACTAGGGCTTTTGCTTGATTGTTATCTAAAAGGAATTAATAATTATGGATAAAAATTTTGTAATCTAGAAATAAATATTTTTAGTAAATCACCCTGTGAAATATATTTGAATTTTCACAACTTCAAAACTAAAGTATATTAAATTTTTCCCCTTTTTTCCCGTAAAGCAAATTATTAACCACTAGGAACATTAATTCTGTCAATAACAGTGCTGATTCACACTGACTTCTGGGTATATTGCTAGATATCAAAAAATTTCAACAGAAAACTGGACCAATGCTGCCTCACAGGCTGTAGGTCATCTGGCACCTGTTTTTCCCTGCTTTCAGACAGTCTGAATATATTTTGAAATATCTTGACAACATTACAATCCATCCAAAATATCAAGAACAACAATTTGAAGACAAAGCTCAGTTTATAATAAGAGACATGTTGTAGGAGAAGTGGAAGAACTATGATAAGGAGAGGAAACAGAATTTTAAAAAAAATCCAGTATGAAACAAAGAAAAGACTTTAGGAGAAAAGAGAGCACACAGTACTGAATTTTGCTCTGACCTGTAGCATCATTATTTGTCTCAGGATTGAAAGAGTATGCAGGAAAAACCCCTTCACTGGCAGAATGAGCAACAGGCAGCTGGAATTTGTACCCTATGTAGTTTCTGCAGCTCATCTAAAAAGCAGGATTTGTTTCATGATGACTGAATAATGTTAAAAAAAAAAATCAATGTTTGGTTCTTACAGCTAAATATCTATATACGCAGTCATATGACAAAATAAAAAGAAGGCTAATTAAGAAAAACACCAAAGGCTCATAACAAGTACTCTTGTCATTAAGAGGTTGAACATTCATACCTAAATATTGGATATAAGCATTTCGAAGTTACTGCACTAAACTTGTCTCTTATTTGGTAGTTGCCATAATCATTAGCAATTCCTTAATGTTCTGCAAATATTCCACCTTTTTTTCTCCAGATGAATGCCTGCTTGCACAGAACCTGTCGCCATAAGCAGGCCTAAAGGACGTGTTGCCTTGGGAAGCACAAGGGAATGCTACATAGGGAGATACAAAATAGCTCTAAGCAAGTAATAACTGCAGCCTAACTCTGGCTGAGAAGCAAACTTCCAGACCTATAAAGAACTAATCCACAACAGACTTTTTATTTTGCTAATGTAGTTACACAACTTCAGTAGCAGAAGGACCAACAGAACTAGTTCTAGACTCTCTGAATGGCACTGATTCCTGAAATGTAGCCATAAACTCCAAATTTCTTCCATGAAATCCTTATTACTATTAGCTAACATTAGTCTTTAATCTGTAAGCTGTCTTTCAAAATAATGATTACTTTTCCACAGCTCAGTTATCAGCATTATGAAGTGGTTTGCTATGGTGCCCTTTTATAGACAAAGGACCAGGTTCTGAATGGCTGGGCCAGAGAGAGTCAGCAGGAAAACAGGAAACACAGAGCACCCCAGCTGCCCTGGAGTGCCTTCAGAGTCCCTGCAAGTCCTGGGCACTGGTGTGCTGTCTCTAGGCAAGGCAGTGGCTCCTGAACCCCATGCTTATGTTCAGAAGAAACCTGTTTGGTACTTCCCCATCCTCTCCTTAAAGTCCTCTCTTTACATTAGTAACAGAAATATCCGAAAAATATCCACAGTGAGACTGACTTCAGCAAAACTTCTTAGAGATAAACCTTACATTAAAAAAAATGAGAATTCAAATTTCTAATTGCTATTTCAATGAAAATTTTGCAAGTGGCACAGTTAAGTAAATATATAGAGCCATGCCTTTTAATGAGAGGAACTTGCTGGGCTACATAGCGTTTTTTTGGTGGTGATCGAGTTTTCTAAAGTTTTTTATCAGCATTGTCAGTGTTTGGTTGAACTCAAGTTTGTTAACTTTTGAAGCAGTGTTCCAATGCAGAAACAAAGCAACATCCAAATAAATGTTTTAAGGTTAAAAGACTGACATCAAGAAATAACATGAAATTAGAGTTAGGCTTATAATATGGAACGGGTACGTTGTGCATGGAAGAAATGTCCTCTGGGTCACCTGCTGCTCTTGGAATCATGTCATACAAGCCTTTCATGCACTTCAATCAATTATGTTCATTGATTTGTTATAATTGACTACTTGGGAACACTATGAGAAAGCATATTAATCTCATCAGTGAAAGTGCTGCTCCACATTTAGCTCATATTAGGAGTCAGCGCCCCAAAAAGAAATCTGTGTTTCACCTTCTGTGTATCATCAGACAGGTATTTCGTGAAATGTGATTCATGGCTGTCTGGGCCACTGAATTGCTGTATCCTTTCCAGCAGCTGCCTCTGAGCATATACCAGCAGTGGACTCACTTGTTCCGTAAACCTCTCACTGGAAAAAAAAACAAAGTGTAGTAATTGAGCAATACAATGGTATATTAAACTATATAATGTTAACTTTTTAGTTTTTATGAGAGTCGGTATAACTTACTGTGTAAGTATGTTAAATTGTACAGCTATGTGTACCAGTGCTTCCCACTTCTTCATATGATATAACAATTCTATTGTTTTAAGAATCAGATTACATATCCATCTCAGGTCAACCACATTCACATCATCCAGAGGAGGCTGGGGATGGAGATTAGAACCACCATTCTCATCCACAATACCGCCTAAACAACTGGGAATGCAAAAGTCTCCTTTGGGATCCACAATCTACAGTGAAGAAACATTATTATACCTGTTATTTTCAAATGTGTTTTTAGGAAAAATCAATTACAGAGATCAGAAAGTACTGTAATCGTCTTGAAAACTTGTTACAGAGAATAACTTGGAGATAATATAATGCAAGAAAGAGAAAGCTCTCTCTCTCTTCTGTGAAAATGTGATAACAAAGAGTTGTCTTAAAATAAGTTTTACCTTAAGAGAACTGCTTGCCTGTAGGTCAATTATCATATCAATGATCATGTCTGAAGCAAAATAAAATGGCAACCAGATGGTGCTCCAAAGAAAATCCCAGGTGATGGGAAATGCATCCATACAAGAATGTGACTGGTTAGCAATCAGTTGAAATTCTTGAGTATAGTTCCAAAGTTCTCGACAAGCATTTTGAAGCAATGTCCAGTGGCCACCACGGTGAGCAAGAACCTGTGAATACCATTAAAAATATAATTATACCTTGGAAATGCAGAAATTAAAAGTTTCATTTTTTATTGCAAAACGTAGGCGTAAGTAATCTTTCAGAATTGCAGTCTAGGCATTATAGAACCTAAATTTTTACCTTTTCATAGAAGTACTAATTTATAATTTTAATTTAATTGTAGGTTTTGGTGTGAGTAAGAAATAAAAATTAATTCACACCATCTATATGTGTGTTTTTACTTGGGTTTAGAAGGTTTTATGGGAAGAGTAGTTGGTCTGCATTTCCCTTCAATCACTGGTTCTCCTGTTTCTAGTATGACATTCACTAAGACCTGTAAAGAGAAAAGTAAGTCTGCAAGTATTTTCAAAAAAATTTAACAAACATGAAAAGGCTAATTACAAAGGTGGAATGAAAAACAGAACAATTACATAAATTATTGTATGTTTGATAGAAATATATATTATGATAGGTGACATGTCTGATATTTCATACACTGTACTTGGGTATTTTTCAGAAGATGAGAAAACCAGTGAAATTTTTTCGAATTTTCTGAAGTGTGAGGTCTTTTCATGGAAAAAGCAGTAAGTATTGTAACACAGTGCTTAGTAATATATAGTTTAATAGGAAACCAACCACATCTTACCACTGCTCTTTTCAAATGCAGGAAGATGCTCGTAAAATGCTTCAGCAAAAGGGTATTTGATGGAAACTGGTCCTGTTGTTCGGGAGTCTTTGTTGATCGACTTCGAGAAGTTCGACTCTGTTTATTTCTGTTCTTAGGAGATTTAACTGTAACAGAAAACAGAAAGTTCACTCGTTAAAATTGAGTTGAAGTCCTCAAAAACAAGAAAAAAACAGTCAGGATTTTCCTGTGACAGCTTTTCCTAACTTAAATGTTAGGAAATGCCAGTGTTAAGGTTATCATGTTTGTAAGATTACGATACTTAAAATATAAGATGCTTTCACTTAGGAATCAGGAGAAGTGGGGATGAAAACAAGTTTGAGCAAAATAATGAAGGGTACCAAATAGTTTTTAGCCTCAAAGCCAAAACACAATCCTCATTTAAGTTCTAAGAAGAAATCACCATGGCAAAAAAATCTCTTGGCAATCTGGCAAGAATTTTTCTTAAATAGAAACCTCTTAAAGGAGATGAAGAAAGGAGGATTTCTGACAAGTTCTGTAGCATGCGTAGAATTCCTTCATTATTTTATTCACTTTTAAATATGTCCCAAGGGGAAAGGCAAAGGCTTGTGGTAGTGGGATATGGTAATACCTGAACCATAGGTTTGAGGCAGAAGCTAACTCCAATTTATACCATATTTGAATTCCATGGCAAACTACACGCTTTATGTAATTTTTTAATCAGACTTTTTGCAAAGGCTAGGAGATATTAAACAGGACTTTTTTCAGGTTTCAGCCAATTTCAGTGTTCTCAGTGACTGGCAAGTATCAAGGCAATGGTGTTTATGTAAAAGTCAGCTGATACAAAGAAAACTGGTGAATTAAAGTTCTAGTTTTTGTCACACCTCCTTGGAGAAGGCAAAGAGGACAGTTGATTTTACCTAAGGAAGTCCTACAAAAGAAAGACAGGAGAATTTTGATCTTTACTGCTGTGGCAAGAATGTGTCCGTGAAGAGCTATTGAAAAGACCAGACCTGTGATTACTTGTTGAACTTCTGGTGCCTATGCAGACTTTGTGTTGACTTGTACACTATTACTAACCTCTGAGGAAATCAAAGTCCTGCATTTCACAATTACACACAGACAGGAGCCTTTTTGCTCCTGTTGAAACCTCACAGGACTAAAAGTACCTAGAATAATAATAAATGTCAAATGTCAAAGACAGACATCTGAGGTAGCTTCTGACACAGGGAAAAATTGGGGAGAAAGCAGTAGAGAAGGAAAATTAAATCCTACTCAAAATTTGAAAGATAATAATAAAGTTCAGTGTGTAACTTTAACACCCACTTACAGAATGAACCAGAAAAATTTTGACCTGCTAGGAAATGTAAAGGAAACTAACAACCAATTACAAACCTCAGAAGCTGAAAAAAATTATCAATGCATTCAGAATAATTTGGAATATTATCAATTTAATATGTGTAGGTAGTGTGGTATCTGCAAACCTAAAGCTAGTATAATTAATTTTTTTTAAACTTACAAACTTGTTAATAAAGTATAATATAAAGAATAACTAATTGATAAAATTTAGCATATTTATTAATAGATTAAACAATGTTCAGAATTATTAGATATGCCACATCACTTACTAAGACTTCTGTTATAGTAGGTATGCCAAAAAATATAGAGGACAATTGAAACCTAAAAATGTCTTCTATTAACTCAGCATGACCGACTGTTTTTCCAAAGGTGATGTAGACAACCAATGATGAGGTTAAGACAGACAGAAATTAAGAGAAGCAAAAAGTTAAGTTGAAACTGATTTCAGTTGTGCACCAATAAAGATTCTTACGGCTTTGGGTTTCAATCACTTCTGACTTTTCAAGGAGAGGAGGAGTTGGTTTTCCTACGTTATCCTCTACAGCTTCTCTCACCAGGACTGTGCCAGAATTGTTTAATGAGAATATCTCAGGATCCAACATATTGTAACTGCAGGATGGGAGAAAGAGAAGAAAACACAAAAAAACCCCACATAAAATATCAAAAAGAATTTTGGTCTACATAAACAAAATTCAGTTTCTCAGAAGTGATTACTTTCCACGAGCTTTAGGAATAAGAAATAATGAATGATAGCCAAATGTTATAAGGAACAAAAAAGTAACATAATGTAAAATATTTCAAAGCTTTCATCTCACCAATGAGGTTAGCAACCAAAACTGTGCCTGATGTCCACAAGATGGAAAACAAAACCTTTTACACAGTAGGAAGTAATTTGTATTTGAAAGATGAACTGTTCATAGGAATATATTGTAATTCAGATCTGTCTGCATTAATAGCAATAACACAATAATCTACATTAATAGCAATCACTGATAGTGAAGTAGTATGTACCTGTCCAGATGCTGTGAACCACTGATTCCAATATTATATTGCTCTTCCAGGTTCTTTTTAAATAAGTGGTAGTGTGCAACTGCCAGATAGATATTCATCTGAGACTTCCAGGGCATCTCTTCAAGACACATTTGACAAAACTTACTTCGGGTTATGTATTTACTCAGCAGCATTATTAAGGTTTGAAAAGCTAATTTCTTCAACTTATCCTTGCCTTTCCTAAACCAAAACATATGAAGTAGCAAAAAATGAAACTATTTTCTTGAATCTCTAGAAAAGAAAGTCCTGGTAAAGATACACAGAAGTATCACATTGCATATTCCCAGATTTATATGCATAAGCACATGACATTTTTCTAACTAAAACATTTTTGCTTTAGTCAAGAAAAGCAACTGTGCTTTCCCTCTAAGTGCACTTAACACACAATAAATCCTATTTTATATTTTACCAACTTCTATAAGCTATTTGTCTTAGTACTTTAAAAAGTTTAGCTTAGCTTGAAGTTATTTGTACCTGAATTGTACAAACAGATTATTACAGCAAATTCAATGTGCTTCCAAGTCAATTCAGGAGGGTTTTCTATTATACTATAAATCTGGATAATTTTTTTATTGCTTTGCTTTGGTAGTTAAGCACCTCCAATATGAAGAGAACATAGTTTTTCAAATTTGCATGCCTGCATTAATTTCCAGCCAAAGCTTTTTAAATTTTCCCTGACAGATGAAAAAATTCTGTATTACTTCACAAACATATAATGTTATATTCAAACTGAATCTAATTTTTTCTTTTTTTTTTTTAATTAACTGTAAACTGATCTCTTTATTAACCTAAATTATTTTTCTGCCTGTTTTCCACCTTTAAAATGTGGGTAGAATAGCATACCAATTTTGATTATATTATACAGCATTACTATTATGTAAGAGACAAAACAGTAGCTCATAAAAACCCAAGATAGGTTTAGCATCCCCTCTTCTGCTAAAAGCCATGAAAATCATTTCAAGTAAGGTAAGGTTTCTTCTGTCAAGGAGGAATAATAACATTTTTGGGTGGTTCAGGTGAATATTTAGAAGATCATATGGAAATGTTTTTAGGTTATTTAAAACACTTCCAGAATAATTTACATGATTGCTTATATGCAAATATTTATAATTTCCTGTTTTGCTAATTGCTGAAAGCATAAATGACCAAGGGACCAAGTTAAGAATACTACACATTCTTTTAGGTCAGAAGGTTATGCTATTGGCAAGTTAACCAAATATAAACAAATATTTGCCAAAAGAAGAGGTGAATTAATATATTTTCTTTTTTTTTTTTTTTTCAAAATCCAGTTTTCTGAAAGCTACAGAACAGATAGTCCAAACAGACTAGCACAAGGACCACAAAAATAATTTTGAAACTACCTGAACAACAGGAAATAATAAATATTTTTATTGGCTTTGTAACAAGCAAACTGCCCAACACAGTTTGAAAAGCATTAAAATACACAGATTAACAGAGTTTTTCCACCTTGATGAATCAACCTGCTCAAGCTAACACAACTGAAACACAATCTTTAATTATTAATACCAAGACTTGAAAGTTTTAACACCTATTTTCTTAAACAGAAATGCAAAAGATTTTGTTTTCTTGAGGGGAAACCAATTTTATACTACACTAAATCAGAAAAAATGAAAGGACTGTGCAGAAATTAGTCTCCTTGATATAAAACAAAAATTAAAATACACACTTAATTGTAAACTAAATTTCAGTCAAAATATTTTTTTTTCTGTATACGAGCCTGAAAACTGTGTTCATTTACTTTTGTGTTTCTGTAGAATTCATTGCATCCGGATTTTTCATAAGATACTCTCTAAGAGGTCCTTTCTTAGGCACGGCTTTTTTGGTTGGTTTCTTCAAAGGTGGTGCCTTTGGTTGCTTTGAAGGTGAGGTATCCTTTCCCTTTAAAAAAAATCTTGCATCAAAATCTTAAATATACTTCAAATAATTATTTATGTCTACATTACCAATTACTTGAGGTACAGAGCAGCTTGGCTTATGGAGAAACAGAACATTTTAAAAAAATCCTGTAAATGGTCATCAAAATAAGGCTGCAAAAGAAATACTTAAAAATTCCAGAAAACTTCACAAATTTTTTGGAAAGTACATGTCAAATGCCTGACACAAAGAAGCCAGTTAGGACCCTAAACATTTTCTTTCATATGCCCCTGTTTTCATCACAAAGATAATGATAGTTCTTTTCCTAATACTATTAACAGTAAAACTTTGCATTGCAAAAACTGAGACAGAAAAAACCTTTGTCTAATCTATATCAGATGCTAGCAGTATTACATTACTATAGGATTACGAGGAACAAAACTCTTCCTCCAAAATAATATAAATCCATTAAGATTATTTGCATCTTCCAGTAAAAGTAAAATTTATTATAAATTATTTCTGAACAAAAAGCCTTTATTGTGCAATTAGAATATCTACACAGGAAGTTAGCCATGAGCAGTTACTCACAAAAAAGTGTAAGCATGTACTGTACAAACAGGCCTGAGCTCATCTCCTTTTCTGAAAGTGATGGTACCCCAGTCATTTCCTATTACCACCATGCTATTTCAAAGCAAGTAAGGAAAGGCAAGTTTCTTCTGATTTTGGAATGCCTTATTCTGACTCATCTCAAAATCTCACAATTTTTGGTCTTTCAGATATATCCCATGCCAACTTTTCTTCCTGGTTTTAGGAGTGCAGAGGTCAGCTGAGGATTAGAGTTTGTATCCCAAATTTTAGCAACGGTGGATGTCTCTAGACGACGTTTTTATGAGACATTTTTTTAAAATTTATTTTGTTCTTATGGTATTGCTACCCCACAGAAACAAACAACTCCTTAAAAATAAAACTCACTTTCTGAACATCTGCAGCACATGTGCTTTCTCCCAAAGTGAAAGATCGTGCTTGTGCTGAAATTCCATCAGTACCAAGGAAGTTCTCATTCCTCCTGATAAAAAGTATTTTTAAAACCATAATCATCATAATCATTATGTTAAACTCCTTTCAGAGTAAAAGGTTATCTTTGGGAACATACAGAGCATATCACGCAATTCCTATTTCATTTGCAGTTTTAAATTCAAAAGATTTTATTTTCTTTATCTTCTTCAGAAAATAGAAGTGCTAATTTTCAAGGTTTATTATAGAAATCTGAATTTGTGAGGTAATATAACAACTATATCACCTTCCTAATACCTAATAAAACAAAACAGTTTTCTTCATTACCCAACTTATACTACAGAATTATGCAAAGAATTTCTTCCCATCTATTGTTTTGGTCTCTTGTAACCACAATTCCTGTTCCCTAAAATCTATATCTCATTTTCACTGATTACTTTCCTTTCATAGCTGAGAAACACTGATATGCCTTTTTAAAAACGAGATCTTTTCAGATGTCTACAATTTGGCTCCATTTATCTTTTCCCCATAGAATTTTTTTTACACTATAGTAGGCCCTGATCAGTTTCCTTTTGATTTAATCCATCATACCTTCCCAAGCTATGCCACCACCCCATAATAACATGCCAAATCACCACAATTACATCTCCATGTCTAGTCAGGTCACAATACAGTATTTACTGAAGCTGTGTAATCTTCTGTGTTCATGGAACTTCTGCAGACTAGGAATCATGGAAATTACTCCTGATGGGTCTTCTGACAGGTAAAACTTACACTTTCTTTTATAACTGACTCTCATGAGCCTAAGTAGCAGTTTTTCACTACTGCTGTAACAGAGATCTACCTTTTCATGTAAACTTCCACACTGTCTGCCCACTCCAGAACACACTGAAACTTCTCTTCATTCAGGACTTTGTGCAAAAGTTGAACAAAGAACTCAAGGAAACGTGTTTGCCCTCTGAATTTAAGCACTGAAATAAAGTAACAAATAACACAGAAGTTTATGTTGTAAGAATATTCTGAATTCAGGTAGAATTACAGCTATGTATGTCTCAAAGCACTTATTTATGTCACGTTGCATGCTCATAGTGACACTAAAATCAGGGATACACAATGGCAGTTGCTAAATGCTTCTTGTGATTGGGCATCCAGAATCACAAGCTCATGCTATTTAATACACTCCTAGAATTACAAACATTATAAAGACAGAGATTTCTGGGAATTCCCCTTCCAGTAGAATAATTTAATGTGGAAATGGGGTATCTGAATTTTAAAAGAACACTCCATACAAAGAGAATCTTCAAAAACTTGGCACAAATTTTTTTAATTTACCTGTTCCTAAGGTTATTAGAAAACAAACATTATTCAATGTAAAATATTAATATTTTATATACTTAGCATCAAGACCCCAAATAATTGGTAGCATTCACTTCTCAATGCTTTTATATTGAGAACTTTCTATAGCTATGTTTCACTTGATTTTGTATATTTGAGAACCAAATGAAGATAACATTTTCCCAAAAGCTTATTCCAAGCAAGAATGAGATTGCTTTACTGGCAACTTTCTGAAGTAAAGAAAGCTTTACAATTAATATAAACACCAACTATCCCTACCTTCTCGATAAGCACGCTCTGATGTCCAACATGAAATTACAGGGTAGAGGAACAAAGGATCTTCCTTTCCTGTAAGTTGTGTTCCAGGACCTGCATCAATAACCAAATGAAATCCATTATGAAAAGCAGTGAGAATACACCATAGAAACTCCACAGTAATTGACTATTATTGACTAATAACTCCATATAACTGACAATTAAAAGCTCCTTCTCTAGCACAGAGTTTGCTTTTAAATCTCTCACTGTCATCCAGACAGAAATTCAAATGCTTGGTCTTTTCTTCTTATGTAAGTAGCTGTACAATTTAAATAAGAACTTACAGATGTGACTGATGATTCATGCTCTGCATATGGATAATGTAAACAGATAGAGGATTCTAATTTCTTAAACTAAGTACTTACATAAATATATGTATAGAAATTAATTTATATTCTATAAATAATATACTTTATATAGAATACACATATATGAATAGTATACAGAGTATATAGGACAATAACTTGGATTCAAGCTTCTGACAGTTAAACACAACTGCATTACCAGCTGATGAGCACCAAAAAATGTTACATGTACTACTTGTCATTTTTCCTTTATAAAGAAACAAAACCAACAAATTTTGTGCTTAGGCAAGTCCTATGGTTGAAAAACATCAATGCAGCAAATCTCTGAAAAAAGCAAAATTAAAAATGCACTCTAGAACCAGTTGTAATTGTGCATCAGTAACTACAACCTCCAGTGAGAACAGTCAATTTAGGTCTGTTGAATGTAAATAATGTCCAATTAAGTAGGACTGTCAGCAGCAAAAGCAGACATTTTCAAATTTTCTTTTTAGGACACCGTTTCTTAGTACTCTCTCCCATTTGACAAGTTCAAAAATATGTTGCTCCAAATAAGCACTTTTGCAAAGAAAAATAGGTCCCAAAAATTTTTTAATGGGAAAATATTTGAAATTTCAGAATTGAAATGGCACTGTGTGTGAAATGTTTTGGTTTTCTCTTCATTTGAAAGAAGCAGTTTCAGCTCTTTTCCATTTTTCTTGTAGACTATCACCAATGGAAACCTAAGTGTTGACCCAATTATAAGGATTTCCTATGACAAGGCTTTTTTAAAAACATTTCTAACAGCATGCCCAACATTGCCCTAAACCATTCACATCTATTCATAAGGACAGCTGTAAGCTTTGCATGGCCACATCAAAAGGCTTTTTCTCAATTTGTATCCTGAAACTATTGACAAATAGGCTATCTCAGAAACAGAGCAGACTTTAGTGATCAATTATTTGCCAGGTACTGAAAATGTGGGGTTTTTTTAACTGATCAATCCACTAATTTAACTTTCATTAAGTAATCAACATGATTTTCAATTAACTTACAGAATTCTTTCCTCATGTGACTTGCTCTGCAGGAATGTAGGCACCAACATGAGCAAAAACGAAGGATTATTGCACAGATTAATGGAATTTTTTCATCACCCCTTATCCTATTTTTCACAAGAATACTTTCTATCCTGAACAAATGCATATACAGAGATGATGGATGATAACTAGAATGTGAGGGGTGTGCCCTTGCAGCAAAGGCCAGTGGGCTATACCAGAAACAGCATGGCCAGCAGGTCAGGGGACATGACTGTTCCCTTCTCTTCAGCACCTGTGAGAGCACATCTAGGTTACTGTGCCTGGGTTTGGGCACTGCAGCACGGCAGGACCTGGCACAGCAAGGCGAGTGAAGGACAGCCAAGATGATAAGGAGCTGTAGTGCATGACAAAGCAAGAAGAGGCTGAGGGAATTGGGTTTATTCAGTCCTAGGAAGAGAAGGCTAAGAGGAATCTACACCTACCTAACAGGAGGAATACAGAATGTGGAGACAGACTGTCCTCACTGATAGCACAACAGGCAATTGAAACAAGCCGGAAATCAGAAAATTCCAAACACATAAGAAGAAAACCTCTCTAACCATAAGAGTGGTTAACTATTGGAACAGATTACCCATAAAGGTTGTGAAATCTCTTTCTTCAGAAAGATTCAAAACTTGACTGGACAAGCCTCAGAGCAACCTGATCTAATTGTACCTGTTTTGAGAAGGGGGTTGGAATAAATACCTTCCAGAAATGTCTTGCAACCTATACTTCTACAATTCTATCCAGGCTCCAAGGAGTACAAGATGCAATGTAAATACAATGGAAAAAAATCAGTGATGTCTATGAGTTTAAGTTCTAACCAAATTTTCTTTATAATTCTTACTTGTTAATTCATCTTAGGCAGAAAATTCTTGTGCTTGATCTGGACTCTAAGACTTTTTAAAATTCATATATTCATTCCTGAGTTAAAAGGTAGTTAAATACTAGTATGCATGCAATTCCCTCACAAAAAGGACAATTTCTGTTAACTTTCTTCAGAGAGAATTTTCTCCACTACAATTTCCTGCAGTGGTCATGACTACTAGCATTGGCAGGGTATTAAGACAAGGTATAAATGGACAGTAGTCTTTGCCATTGCATTTTCTCATTTAAGAAGACAAAACAAGCCTAAATAACATGGAATCCAATTTAAATAGACTGGGAGAACATAAATATTTGCATAATTGTTCACAAAGGAATATTCCTTTTAAAGAATAAATGAGTCTTCCAGTGGAAATTACAAAAAATATGAATACACACATCACTACCAGGTGATCATTACCAAGATCATTATTGCTTTAGTTGATTCATCATAGAAGATAAAAGAAATAAAGGTAGTAAATGGGTTTTTTACAAACAAACCATAGAAAACTCCATGGACAAAAGTAAGAAGTGTTTCAACAGTACACCCACCTGGCTCTGTCAGTTTGAGGAGACTTGATTCAAGAGTACTCAGATTTTCTGCCGCTTTTGCCATTGCAGCTAAATGGGATATCCTTGAAGAACAGTTCTGAAATATTGAATATTTTTTTATGAAAGCTTAGCTTTAACTAAACTAAAACCAGCTTGTCAATAGCAGAATTTAGCTTAGATCCCAAGTCTTCTAAATCTGTATCTTATAATTTCATCCATATTGTATTATTTTTTTCTTTTCTGATGAAATAAAAATTCTGTTCATGATTGTTTTAGCACAGCATGTTTTGTCAAGCATGGGGACTCCCCATCTCTGGAGGTGTTCAAGACCTGGATGGGGCACTGAGCAACCCGGGCTTGTAGAAAGTGTCCCTGCCCAAGACTGGGGGTTGGAACTAAATGATCTTTAAGGTTCCTTCCAACCCAAACCATTCAATGATTCTAGTACAAAAATTAATAAATCTAGTCTTCAAAATAATAGAATACAGAATTTAGAGAAAAGAAAAAGTAAAAACCAGAGCAACTACTTTTACCTCTTTGCCAGTGTGTGTTTCTTCAGTTTTCACATCTGACAGGCTGGGCGAAACTGCTGGTGAGATCAACAAGTTTTTCCCATAGTTAATGATAAGTACTGCAAGTTCATACTCTTCCCATGAATGCAGTACCTATAAAAGAATCATCTGTTACAAGTTTATTAGTTTACATATGTAATATTTCATTACTCTCAACTTAAAATTGTCAAAATGCATGAATATTTTAAATAGAAATTAATTACTCAATATGCAAGTTTCTTTTAATAAAAAAACCCAGGATTGTAGACATGTAAAATAATTGGAATTGCAGATATGTTATCTATGCGTTCTGCTTCTGCTCAGCCTATCCCTCAGAGAATAGAAAGATTTATCCAGAAGTATCTATTGCTGTGATTGACATTCTCCCTGTTCTCAGGCAGTACTGCTATCAAAGAACATAAAGGGCAACTAAATGATCCTCATTTGCCTCTCTGGTATCAGGTGCACATTTTAAAGTCTCAACTGTATTACTGAAAGGACTGGTGAAATTTATTTTTAAATTACAAAATTTATAAATGAAAAGTGTAACGAAATTTTTTTAGATGGTTTTATCTTCTTTAGATAGAGCTCTAAAGGCCCAAGTGCTTCTACTATGTGCAAGCTAACTTCACATTAGGATCTTTGCCTTTGTGATCCTACGTGTAGAGATTACCTTAGGATAAACACATTATATGACCAGACGCTAAGTCAAAAGAAAAACATACACCATGCTTTAATGAGAAGCATTTGCAATTCACTCATTCTCTTTGCTATTCTCTATGCTATCCTGTTGAAATGCTATCTCTAAGGGAAAAAAAAATCAGCAATCTAAGTGGTAGTCATTTACTTGAGGAATCCAACAACAAACACTTAATCAAGGTTTCAAGGCTTCTAAAAGGCTTTCTTGGTCCTGATAGCATTCACCTGGGGCCTATGCCTGTGGGGCCAGGAGTTCCCTCTCAGCTTAGCTCTAAACCTACAGTTCCTGCTGGCTCCTATATGGCAGAAATGTTGGTGTCCAGCTTGGTCCAAGTCATGCCTGGGTGTGGCAATGGATTCACTAGACTGAGCAGCTGGCCCACAGACCAACCTCTGAGCTTGACCTCAGACTGTTGCCATCATGATGGACCAGCCTGCTGGGCTCTGTCTGACCCTAGCCAGCTCACCAGGCCTTATCCTGACCTGTGGACTGACTTCCCAGCTTCACATCTGACCTCCCTCATCACCCCAAATTTACCTGATCATCTGGATGCCTGGCTGAACCCCGATACCACGTGCTGCTCTGCCAGCCATGGCATTGCCCTTGGCTCCTGGCCTCAGAGCCATGCCAACCTTGCAGAGCATTTTTAGGGTTGTTTGATACTGGTCTGGTCTCGTGAGGTAAGCACGGACATTTGGCTCCTATAAAGACCAAGCTGAGGAATCACCAGCACAGAGGAATCCCTCAAATTATTAGCCACAGCTCAGCTTCAGTATGAGCTCTCAGTTGGTGTACCCAAAGCTAGAGGAAAGCCGACTTTTTCAGTATCACACATTTATGATAGCAAGTAATTAACTGCAGGATGTCTCTATACTTAAGGGAAAAAATCCAGTACCATGTTTCTCCTTATCTCACTAAATTGAGTCAATCACTAGACTGAGTATCTGAATCATAAATGTCATCTACAGATATATATTATGGTTGAAAGTCAAGGTATTATTCCTGCCAGCATGCAAGACTAAACAGTATAAAGTCCCTTGTATCTAATTAGCAACTAAAACAGATATGTTAATCTGATTAAAACTACAAATATGGATTATTTGCAATAAATAAACTTTTAAACTTATATATTACATGTATGTCTTATTGAAAATAGTACTACCTTAAATGTAAAAATACACACAATGATATAAAATGTAGATCTGATGACATGGACTAATAGTTACAGACTATTTTCTGAATAAATTGTAAAAGGTTAAAATGTCATTGTTATAAAAATGCACTGATTCAAAGATACTAATAAATATTTGTATGCCTTTACTATCTAAGATTGCTGGTTCTCTAAGATATCATTCTGAAGGCCAGCTTACTAAACCTCTTTTTTTTTTCTCAAAATGACAAGAAATATATCTCAAATGAAGTTGTAAGCATAAAAATACACACCATACCTTTGCTGTATGATATGAAGTACAAGCTATCATATGCTGAATACTCTCGTAACATCCTTCCTGTCTCCTTTGCAAAGTAGCACTTGGAATTTCTTGGAGAACAGCCAAGCATTTGATAAGGATCTGTAAATACAAGGGTTAAAATAAAGTTTGGAGGCTGGACCATACTTACAAGCTTGTACCTCTGTACAGCTCATTGTATTTCATGGTGAACTTTAAAAATACTTTGAAATCTAATGAATAGGATTATTCATTAGCATTAGCTGTACAACTGCCAATAATAAAATTTCCATTTAATTTAACACTGTCAAGATTTCAACCACAGCCCTTGGGAATAAACTACATATTCACATAAAATCCCAGATATTAATATACAGATCCATGATGGATATTTTCGCTGATTTAACTAACATGGAATCCAAGAATTTTTTATTCATTACATAATCCTACTGTAGGACCATTTAAAAATATATTGAGATGGTAAGAATTTCAAGGGAAAAAAATATATATTTCCAGTATGCTGTAAAAATAAAATACTTCTTTCCCCAGTTCTGTCCATCAGAAATGAAAATAACATGTGCCTAAATTATTTTTCACTTTAATTAAGAAATCTGAAACAGGAGCCATTTCTAGTGGCTAGCTGTACCTTTAGCAGGACACCACAGCCAACAATGTCTTAATCAAGAAGCTATCCCTGTATTCAAATAGATGTTTGTTTGGGTTTTTTTCTAAGCACTCCTGAAAACTTCTCAGGGCCCTAAGTGCCCCAGTAGTCCTTCCCTGAGCATCCTCACTTGAGAGCTCCCCTCATACCCTCTGCCCAAGAGTGCCAATCAAGCTCAGGCACAAGCTTTCAGTCCCTGCTTGTGCTGTGCTGTGCTGGTCTTCTGTTCTTTCTCCTGGATGGACCTTGGACCTGTGTTGTAGCCTTGTCTCCAGCATCTGGCTTCAATTCCTGCATCTCTTGACTTTTTCTCCTGGAGGCACTCTGGGCCAGCCCAATAACCTCATGTTCTCTTGACTGTCAGTGGATCCTTTTACCAACATCCATCTCTGTCTGCCATATTCAGATGCTGCTGGTCTGTGCCTCACCTGCAGTGCAGTCACCTCATCCTTTCTCACAGAGCAAATAACTCTTTTTGCTGCTACCTAAAAAGGCTACCTAATTACAGGAAAAAGATTTGCATGTTTCTACTGTATGCTTGCTGAATCTAAAAACCACATCTGCTGCTTCATAAATGGCAGGGGAAGATTCAGGTACTCTGTTTTTGAAGAGAAGGTGCTTGTTTCTGGAAAGGAGCACATGCCTGAAAACTAAAGACTGCATTATCAAAACACTGAATAGCTTTCTTTTCTTTAAAAAGAAAACAAAACTGCATATGAAGCAAACGTTCCAAAAAAACCCCAAAAAACAACAAAAAAACCAACACAGGCAAATGCTGCTTTTCTTTCCTCAAAATTGCCATCTGCAAATAACATTGAAGTAGAAATTACATTGTAGATTCTGCTACAGTTTAAAATACCAACAATCACCCTGAAGAAACAATCGATACTCTGCAGTTACTTTACCATATCTGAGAGCAGAAGGTGTGCAGCTTACACCAAACTTATATGCATTGAGAACATATAAAACTCTAAAAGGCTTTTCTTTCATCAGCTATTAAGAAGTCAAAGCCTAGAGATATTTAGCTCTCCAACGGTACTGCCTACTATAAGTTTAATTTGAATCATTATAACTGCAGGACCTGACAGCTGCTTTGTCTTAAAATGTTCTCACCTGAACTACTGGCACTGAAAAAATCTTATGATAAATAAGTGGGGCAAGGAGGCCATAACATTGTACAACAGACTGCAGGGTGTAACTTGCATCGTTCAAACAGTTGCTAAGTTCAATTGCCACAATCATTCTTTCACATTCTGCTAATCTAGAAACCTGTAAAAGAAAAACACATTTTTATTTAAATATGCACTCTGTTGTTTAAATCATTTGAGAGTGGAAGAAGATGTTATTGCAGTTTAAAAAGTAGGATAAGCAATAAGTAAGATGAAAGTCTAAAAATGAATTTACATTGAAACCTGTTAGAAGTATATTAAAAAATACCTGATACTAAAGGAAACGATTGCTCTTGATCTAATTGTGCCCTCTGAGTTTGCCCATATAATTTCCAAATTGAGGTTGATTAATAACCTCAAAGTATGTGGACTGGAAATTTCACAAGCTAGCTTCTCAGAGTAGGTAAGGGAAGGATAATTCCTTCCTATCCCTTCAAGTTATCTGTTGCAGTCCTTGCAAGTGAGAGTTGACCTCGTAAAGTTACTGAATAATCAACTGCTCATGTTTTTTTACAAGTACTTTTGCAAAGAAAATAATAGAATAGGAATGCAACAAAACAGGAGGCAAAGCTTGACAATCCAAATAAAAAAGAAAGGGTGTTTTTTGTAATTAACATGCCATTATACTATAAAAACCCTGAAATCAAATATTAGTATATTAAAACCATTAAACCCTGTTAGAAGTCACAGCTTAATTAAAATACATGTATTAAATAGCAGAAATGTTTAGAATTTAAAATTCAAGGTAGATCTTAATAGGACAAAAATAACAATTATTATACTTCTTTCTTATATTATAGTCTACCACCACTGAAGCTAAGAAAAATCTTCCTCAGTAGAAATTAGTGGGCTTTCGATTAGGTAATAACTGATTCAGAAACCGTAACTTCAGCAGGATGTAAATAACCAACTTCTGAAATACTTCAGAAAAAAGGCCATGTAACCCACAGAAAATGGAGTACTCTGTAAATAGGATTAGTTGGTTGCCACATCTATCTTGCAATAATGAAATAAAGCTGATGAAAAAGTAAAATCAAATCCAGTATATTATTTTAAACCACACATACTTGCTCCTTATAAAATATCTCATTGGAACAGATGGAATCACAGAAGAGTGCTCCTTCCATGACATTAATGTCAGAAACAGCAAATATATTCCTCAAAAAGAGGTGCAAGGTAACAGGAGAAGTCTGAGATATAGCTTCAAAACGTAACCTACAAAATACAAAAGCAAAAGAATGGTAAAAGCATGTTAATTATGATTCAGATCTTGCATGCCTGACACTGCATTATAATAAAATCAAATCTTTAGTTTTTAAATTATGGAAAGAAAGGATTACTATAACTTCTTCTGGAAATAAGAGTTACATATAAAACTGAAAAAATGCTTAAAATTTCTAAATTAAAAACGAAATAAATAAAAACATTACTTCTTTTGAAATTGCTATCCACTTTCTACTAATCTAAGATAGCTTTTCCGTATTTGCATTATCTAATCCAGGGAAACTAAATTTGAACTGTCTTTGAAAACTTCAGATGCTACAGCTTATTTATTTTCACTGTCTCCTTTTACACATTGTTCTTCTGTATTCTGACAATGATACACGCAGTTGTGAAGTCCATTACTAGGTATTAGTAACAGACTCCTTTTCAACACTTAATGTCTTGTATTACAAGTCTCAAAATAATCTTTTTTATTTTGCCTGCTTTTGTGTCAAGATATTTTTTTGGTTGTTTTTTTCCTTCCTTGGGGACAGAGGGGGCATTTGTACTTGCTGTATTTTTAAAATATTTTTGTTACAGGAAAAATCCTATGGTTTTGAAGTACAAGAAATAAATTCCTTCTTCTCCTCGATCGTATTTCCTGAAAGAGACTGAAACTCGAGAAGGAAGATCAAATAGACACATTCACACACTTGACATTACCAAGATATCAGCACCGGGGCTTCTGGCAGGAAACACAGGTTTCCTTTCCCTCAGGCTCCCTCTGCTGTCCCTTCAGCCAGTCCAATTTCTTACCTGCTGCTCAGCAAAACTGAAACTGCCTGATACTGCAGCTGTGAGAATCTTCCATGTTAATTGCAAAAAAGAATAAAGATGTAGATGTGGGTTAGGGATTTAACCCATTGGAGAGGCAGAAATAAGACACACAGCTACATGGTCATCCCTCAGGATAGGAAGGAGGCATTTTATTGAGAGCACGATTCATACTTATAGCATGTTCTGCAGAGCTAAGACAAGACAGTAGCTCATTGAATAATTGAGAAAGCGCCTCTGGGACAGTACTTCAGGATGAGTCCCACAGTTGGTACCAGGTGTTCATCTAATGTTGTTAATTCCATTCTATTTTGACCCAATTATCATTCTGGGAGAAAATCTCCCTCACTGGCACTGAACAAGCTATCAGCCTGGGAACGGATTTGTGAGAGAACCAGGAGAAACTCCAGCCTGGGAATGATTTTTCCTGGCTGTAATTTTCCTAGGTCTCTAACAGTGTGTCCACATAAAGAGGCTTGGCCATAACCATCAGAAAAGCAAAATCCCTGAAACTGTGCTGCACAGCTGTTTAAAATTTTCTGTCTTCATCTGATTTATGTGAAAATAGATTCATTACAATGTTATCTCCAGAGCTGGATGTGTTAAAAAAAATTGCTTATGAGAAAAACAGTAATAACAAAACAAATGCAGAAAACAGCACAATGAATATTCCTGCTTTGTTGCCTAGGCCAGGGATAGATTAAAAAAGCCCACATAGTCACGAAATAGGATGTATAGTGGTTATCTGCCAGCATCCATGAAGTCCACAGGCTGTGTGTAAATCCCAAGTGTTGCTATGTCTATGGCATGTAACATCAAGACCCTTGGTGCCATTTGTATGTCTGGTATCAGACACGTGGTGGCATTTCAAGAGCAGACAGTGAAGTTGATTATTTGTATTTAGTTATATTAGATGGTGATTCATTACCAAATCATATAAAACTATTCTTATAATATTTCATGTATATTAATTAATAAAAATTTCTTTTATCTGGGAATAAATTCAGCTTTGATGTGTTTCCGAACATGGACCTATTGAATTTCAGTAAACATAACCACAAAATTTCTAGCTGGGCTATGAACTTCTATATTTATGGTGGAACATCTGAAAGTTTTTCATAAAAGAATTAATTTTAAATATCTCTAAAGCCCTTTAGCATATGCAAAGATTACTGGCACATTATATAGCCACTCCAAAACAAGCTTAGCAGTCATTTACCTATTTTGGTTGGTGTTCTTGACAAAATGTTCACAGTTTCTGAGATCTATTGCTCCCTTAATTGGAAAGTCAAGAATCCAGTGCATATGATACATTTTGCATATGAAAATGCATCACACAAAACTAGTACCCACTCTAGAAACATTTCACAATTATCTTAAGAAAACAGCCATTATAAAGAATTAGGTGTGCAAATGTTAGCAGTTCCATAAATAACAAAAATCCTCTGCTAATTATAAACCTTTCTTTCAGAACATTTTTCATATCACAAGCCTGAACAAAATTCCACAACTTGGAACTCTTCTAAAAAAAATGTGCACATCTATAATAAGAAAATAATTAAAATAATATTTAATTAATTATCTATAATTTTGTTTCACCATTACCTTTTTTCAGAAATAGTCAAATTACTACTTGCAGAAATAACAGCTGCATTGGGAGGCAGTGGAGAAGAATCTGAAACAAAGTAATCCCACATTGGTGAAAAAGCTGCTCTGGCTAATCTGAAGTTGCCCGTCTGATAGGCCACCTACAAAACAAACAAGCAGTGAGTTGACATGCTCATGAAATAACCAAGCCAGATGAAATTATAGGATCAATAAGGTTTCAAAACTCCCCACAACATGCAAATTTACAATTTCTCTAAGAATATTCTGACATAGTTGAACAAAATACACGTAGCAACAATCAGATTCTACTAATATTAGTGTGGCTCAGATTTACAATGAGAGAAAGCAAAGGAGTTCCTTGACTGCTGACCCATCTAACAGCCTTCTGTGGAAAACTTTACAAGCATTGTGCTGCAGTTTTTGAAGGCATATAAATTCATCTAGGTTCATTCTTCTTTTCTTAATATTGCAGAATGCCCTTCTGCATAACAGGATGCAAACTAAGCCAAACAAGTAGGCATAAATTCATGTGAATACATCTTACACTGGAATATTTTTGGAAAGCTTCTAATTGTTCCCCATGATCTATATATAGGGATATCTATCTATCTATCTATCTATCTATCTATCTATCTATCTATCTATCCATCTATCTATCTTTCACTTTTCTCTGTGTCACAATCTGTTTTAAATATCTTTCAGTAAGAACACAGAAAAGTATAATGATCTGACAACCTTTGTGGTCTTCCACAAAGATACTACAAAACTAATTTCAATATGAAAATGGTTGGCTTTGATAACTGCTAAGTTCAACAGCATTTTTTATTCCATAATGACTAAAAAGATGAATTCTAATAGTCTCAACCACAAAAATTTTTAAAAAATTATATTTTAAAAAAGGAGATGTTAAATGAAGACTCTAAAACAGAGATGGGTAAGAAAACGGAATCCTTTCCACTTAACCTGACATTTTGGATAATTTTGAATTAAGAATCAACTTACTTAGATATACTATTTTTATGTTAAGATGTGACTTGTACTTATCAAGTTTTTGGCAAGAAGGTCTCAAGCTGTTACCAGATGCAGTTTTAGAACAACCACTGAAAACAAGTAATTACAACCAAATGAAAGTAGGTGTCAGTTATCATATTCTAACCCTACCTGAGTTAGATATGCTCGAACAGTAGTAGCAGAAAGGGGTGGATAGGCAAGGATTGGCTTAGTCATTTGCCCAACAGCATCTCCAATAAGTTTTCCATCTGAAGAATACGCTGCGACAGCAAATATGTATTTCTCATTGGCATCTAATCCTCCTACTTCTAAGAGAATTTTCCCATTCGCTGGTATCTACCAATAAAAATATTTCTCTAGTTATACCCACTGTACATATTAAAAAAAATCTCAAATTCTAAACTTTTATTATTAAACAAACTATTGAATGGTCTTGGATACAGTCAAAGTACAATCTAGATTAACAGCATGCCATGTACTAGATTCTTGTATTAAATTCTTGAAAATGATGAGAAAACAATGAAATGATAGGTGTAAAAAAGCATCAGTTTTCTCTAGAATGCTGATGTGTACACAGAGCACATAACCAAAGAGAACAGTTAAGTACCAGGACCTGATGTTTTTTCTAAGATACTTGTGTCCATTTGAACATTCACACAGTGACTGTCCACGCTTGCAGTCACTGAGCTGAAACATTCTGTCCCTGAGCTGTGCTTCAAGACAAAGACCATACTGCTCTCCTTCATACATGCCACCTTCTTGTATTAGATATAGGCAGAGATATCTCTGGCCCTTTTGGCACCATTAAAAGCACTTTGTGCCTGTGAAGCAAACAACATACTTTCAAGATCTTCGTTTTTCCTTCAAGTAATTGGCTACCTGCACTTTAACATCATGGCTCATTCCTAAGAGGATTTTCCACCTTTCTCTCTGTGACCAAGCTGACTTACACAAGAAGATTCAGACTTCAAGGGTCTTGAAACAAGAAACAAGTGCCAGTAATGGAAGGATAACATAAGAATCAAGATCATCGTAATGCAGCATAACTCAGCATAATGCAGCATCAACACAATGCTCTTATTCAAACAGTCTGTCCTTCATAAGGAGACCTCAGAACAACTGAAATGCCCTCACATGCTGGGGTTGAATCCTGAATCAGCAGACCAGAAATAAGTGTACAACAGTCTGCAACATCCCTTTATGATAAATTTATAGATCATTCAATCCACAAGAACTTTAAACTTCTTTCTTAGAGTCAGCAGATAGAGACTTTGTCTGTAGACCAGCATTTTGCAAAAGCATATCCTAAGGCAAACAGAAGTTCCATTGCAGAGGTGTTATGGTTAACCTCAGGTTTGTGTGTCTCCAGTGCCTGTCAGAGCTAAGATGGTCTGGCTTGGATGGACTGCAAAAAATTCACAGGAAAAACAGCTGGAAGTGGGGTGAAAGTCACCCGTCAAAAAAACTTAATTCACCTGATATGGGACAGAATATTGAAACTAACTCCCTAAACATCACAGGAAGCTTGGTTTTGTGGATTTGATTATCAGAGTATCAGGAATAACATCAAAGCCTCTACTGCCAGTACTTACAAGCACCTTCTCTTAGCATACACTTTCCTGAGAGAGCCAGGGGAACAGTGCAAAGGGGATGATTCCCTCTCCATCACCAAACATAAGCCCATCAATGTTAGTATGGAGCTCGCTCACAAAGCTTGGAAAGCCTGAAACATCAGGCAAAAGAGGTGGAGATCATTCTTCTGTCACAAAGCACATGTGACCTGCCTTGCAAAGAATAGAACACTTCATAAAGATTTCCAGATATAAAAATGATCACTGAGGTGATCAATGAGGTGTTAGACTACAGAAAAATCTGCTGATGAGGACATGCTGAAGCTTTCTTGCTCCTTTCTTTAATCACAAAATGCACAGTATTTGGATGGTTCATTGTATCTTGTCATACAGGAAGACAATGCAATAGCAGGCATGAGTGAATGAAAACCAGAACTTTCTCAGTCTGTGCAGAAACACCAGAATGTGATCCAAAAGAAAAAAAATCTACCTAAAAATGTGAAACCACACCAAAAACCAAGAAAAAAAGAATTAAAGGTCAAATTGTAATGAACAAATAACGTAGGAGTACTAACACAGTCAACATGATCAGTCATAAGTAATTAAAGATGTGTGGGATGATTCACCATACCACATGTTCACAGAATGAAAGGGAAAGAGCATGAACCTACAAATAAACTGTATCTGAATGTGAAGGCTATTGAAAAAGTTATGTTATCATGCTGCCAGAATTAAATAAGGCAATGTCTTTTTTAGAAGAAATAGCTGATAGAAGTTACACAATTAAGAAGAGTAATGAATTTTTATCTGTTTAGAATTTCTCCTTTTTTTAACTCCTGGAAAGAACAGTGTCCGGAGCACACTCTAGAAATACTTCATATACTTTCTTTTATTTTTGCCTTTCTTAGAGATCACTCAAAAGAACATAGTAATAATAAGGTTCAGATTTGTTTAACTTGAAGCTTTTGAGTAATTTAAATTTTTATTCAAAAAAGATTCCTGAAAGTTTTTTGGTGTAAAGATAGAAGAGTTTGTCAAACGTTTAGCCAGTTATATGATTTTTTAAAATGTGTCAGATAGAAAGATTTAGACAATTGGGTTTTTTAGAGGAAGAGAGGAAGAGTTACCTAAAGAAGTTGTACCTCTGTCTTACCTCTTCTCCTGAATTTTGAAGTTTATTGCTATTTAACCTTACTTTTGTATTACTTCCTCCTGCTATAGAGCCCAAAATACAGTACCATGAAACCTTTGAAGAAAATGAGAACAAAATTAGTTGATGCACAGTATTATTTCCAATTTTTGCCTAATGTAGAATGTACAAATTTTGTGAAAGCAGTCTCTGCAAAAAAACTCATCTTAATTATAAAACAGTATAATCTAACTGCATTAAAAACATCAATTAATTAATTTAGCTGGAAAACTACTACTAGTGGCAATAAAAACCGATGGTTCTCCATTATCCTAACCCCACTTTGAGTAACCTTATTCCTCAAAGCTATCCGAAAGCACAAATTCTACAGGTCATAGATTTAAAGTCACCTAGATCCATTATTTGATCCCTGCAATGGTATTCTTCTGAAGTTGGCACTGGGTTCCTATTTAGCAAACTACTTGAAGACAGATCCTTAAACTCAAGGAAAAGAAAGGCAGGTATGACATCCCTTCCTTCTGTTGTGTCAACTGCAGAGCTCAGCTTCCAATCACCAAACCTGCTGAGGCTGCTCTCAATCTCACTGTCTGTCATCAGTGCAGGTACTGAAGAGCAGGAGTCCCAAGAGTGAGCTCTGAGGGACCCCACTCATCACCATCCACTACCTGGACACAGAGCCATGGACTACAACTCTGGCTGTGTCCATCCAGCTGATTCCTTATCCACCGAATGGCTATTCATCCATCACATCCATCTCTCTTCAATCTGGAGATCAGCATGTCATTACAGAAATCTAAATGAGATAATATTTGTTGGTGTTCCCCTGTTGACTGTTTTTCACAAGGTGTTATTGAAATTGAGGAGATTATTTTCAGCAAATGAGCCTTAAGATCTGAAAATTTCACAGGTATTTTGACTCCTACAAGAGTCCAAGTACAAGAACTGTATATGTCTAATTAAATCCTAGTCACACATTTATCCTAAAAAACTAACTAAATCCTAAGAATTCAGTTAATAACTTCTACATTAAAAAAATACCTTTCCTGTCTGCTCAACAGTTATTTCTTAACTTCAGAAAAAAAAGTTCTTCTAGACTATCTGGGCTCAAATTATAAGAATAATAATCACACTTCGCCATCTAGCGGCCCAAGATGCTGCATTCACTCTCCTGCATCAAACAAAAGGAAGTTTGAACATATACTAAAACAAATGAACTCCCAAACTTTAAAGGTTTTTTGTTTCATTTTATTTTAGATTCAGTAAGGATAAAAATTATAAACCTTTCCCTAATTAAACTATTTGAAATTTACTAATAAAACTGCAATAAAACTGCAGGTTATGAAACAACTGTTCACAGAAACATTCTTACCACTATTAACAAGCTTTGAGTTTCTACTGGGTGTATACACGATTATTTTGAAGAAGCTTGAAAAATCACTATGAAAATTTCTATCTCAAGAAAACTGCAGGTAGTGTATTTTTCATACTTCAGCCTGTTTGAATCCTTTCTGGACAAGGGAAGGTGAGTAAGGCGATTTAGAACCATCAGAAGGGATTTACCAAGGGCAAATCACGGCTGAACACCATGACTGGCCTCTGTGAAAAAATTACTTGATTATCAGAGGAAGGAAGAGGAGTAGACGCCATTTACTTTTTACAGTAGTGCATGGTAGGAGAAGAAAAAGCAATAGATCTAAATTGAAGCAAGGGAGACTCCAACTGGACATAGGAAAAAAATTTTTCGATGAACAAAGAAACACACTGTTGAAACACACTTTCCAGAGAAGCTCTCTCCATTCTTGGAAGTTTTCAGAACTGACTGCATAAAGCTCTGAGCAAACTGGTTTAGTCTTACAGCCAACCCTACTTCAAGCAGAAGGTTGGACAAGAGACCTCTCCTAATACCCGCTATGATCCGCATAGTCCTGTGACTCTACATGTCCAACAGAAAGTGGATTATTTCCACCTGAACTAGGCCACTTCAACACTTCATCAACAGACTTCAGTGTGGTACTTTTTTGCATCACATGATGCAATCGTCTTGCCTCTCTTCAGAGAGTAACTAGGAGTATGTCAACCCCTAAGCAAGAAAATGAGCTTTTGACAAGTGGAATAAGTATTAGACAACAGAAGCACCAAGAGACATGATGCACGAGATTAAGAAAGTCTCATGCAAATGTGAAGATCAAAACAGTGAGTCACCGAGGAAAACTGACTCACAGAGGAAAAAAAAAGGGATACTTAATTAAGTCAGAATAACATAATCCTCTCAGGAGTAAAGAAAAATGTGTTGGTATAGCACTGTGGAAATAACCTTTTCTCTTGTGTATGGTTTAGTTATTTCTTATGCAGTCATCATGCAAAACATTACCTGAATATCTGAATCAAATGGGGCTGGTTTAAATGTCATGGAGCAATGTGATCTGGAAAGTAACAGAGGAGGAGGAGGACTTCTGGTTTTTTTCTTGTTGCTCATAGCTTCTTTGAGACTGCGATACAATGCACTTTGTTCAGCTTCAACTTGCTCAATTAAAGTTAGGGCTTCCTATTAATGAAATTAAAACAAAAGAGACAACTATTCAAATATAACAGACATATTTTTTATTTTTATGCATTATTTTCAAATTGTCATAAAAAATTTCACTGCTATGTAGAAAACTTTCAGCAGCTTTTCATATTATCCTACATCCTAAATGAGGATGAACGGTACTTTGTGTAAGCTTATATACACAGACTAATTTCAAAATTAGAGAATGCAGGGTTACCCATGAAAGAAGCATATCCAATTTTGGAAGAACCTATAGGAAAAAAGAGAGTGATCACATATAATGTTGATAAGCAATTAGTGCCAGCCAGTGGTTAACTCCAAAAAGAAACAAAAAATATATCAACTCCTATTTGGAGAGAGCTGGAAACCTAAACTGTGGAATTTCTAGAGGAGCTGTAGAAGCAGTTAGACTGAATTTTCTGTACTTCAGAAACAGAGGGAAAAAAAATAAAATCTACAAATAAAGAAAAAGGAAAATGTGGATCCAGAAAAAGTAGGGCTAAGCCATTTTTCCCTTGGTTCTCTGTAGACAGCTGAAAGCTGACTGACAGTCAGCTGTCAAAGATGTGGGGACACCCTACATTCAGTGATTAAGTGGCCATTTGGTTGCAGATCAAGGCTACATTTTTTTCTTACTTGACTGAATAGCAAATAGGTAGGTTTCTTCAGCTTGATTTCACTGCCAGTTCAAGAGAAACTTAACTTGGAAATCTAATATTAAGAACTTAGTACTCCTGTATCTTTACTTATGGTAGCTGTTCAGTGCATATCAAAGCCAAAAAGGCCAACTCACAGAGAGGAACAAGGATTACATTTTGTGTAGAGACAAGAAATGACATATTCCTACAACTAGAAATTTTATTTGAAGCCTTTTAGTTCCCTATACTGGACCAAGGATTTAGGCTGAGCTGAGTCTGAACGATAAAATGAAAAAATTATTCCAAGTTATTCGCAATTCATTGACAATCCTATAATCTTGCACCTTAACAGTTCCTTGTTTCTGTCCTCATACATTTAGAAGACACCATGGTGGGTCAGATCACAGACTGAGTGAGCCTGGAATCTCATGTCCAAAAATTATGAAAAGATTACAGGTTTATGGTGAAATGAGTGAAACAGGGAGATAAGATCAAATAGAGCCTTTTGCATAGCTAATCATTTTCACAGACCGAGCACTCCATCCCATTCCCTTACCCTTTAGATTAGGGTTGCATCCACCCTATTGGGACACATTACAGGAAGGATATAAAATAAACGACAAGATACAGAATGACTCTTTCCATCACACAACCATTCAACTTTTCAATCAGCAGTTTGAAGCTTCATTGCTTTCTTAAATACTATACGTCTCCATGGTAAGCAGTCCTATGATACAATTTTTAATTAAAAGTATCATGGACCCATTCTTTCTTGTCTGAGGACATATTTCTGGTTAGTGCAAGGGTGGAAATGCTCCCAGGTTGAATAAAGATGGTATTGTGACTGAGAGTGGTACTGCATGACCTGTACTTCAGTAATTGTAGAACTTGAAAGATAATAAATGTAGCAGTGTTGTAAGATGAGCAAGACTAATCTTGCAGTTGAGGAAGCCAAAAAAACCAAACAACCCAAATGCTTGAAAATGTGAAAAACACATTTTATCCCTGCTTCTGTCACATGATATTGTACCTGGTATTAACTTAATCATATTAATTCAATTTTACTGCTGGTCAATGAGAACTACCAGTGTATCCAATTCTGTAAAAACATGGATGTCCAACTTAGACATATAGGACATGAAGAAAGAATTAAACAACTGTGAAAGACATAATAAAAATGCACAGCAGCTCGTTAAGCAGTTTGATGTAATTGAGTAAACACATATAACTCAGAAGCTTCCATATATGCTCAGTTTACTGCATGAGAAATGGTTATTTGTATGCTTCTCAAAATAAAATAAACTGCTGCCTATTTTGCAACATAATAAAAACAGACTTGTAGCATATTGTGCTGATTACAGGAGAAAAGACCAGAAAATGCAAGTAATTCTATATAAGACTCTACAATAAAAAAAGCAAAAGCATGAAAATCAAAGTATGGATTTTCTGTTTATTAAGTAAGCACCATCCACCTCCAGTGGGAAAATTAACTGAGCATATAATTAAATATTCCATCATAAAACAAATCTCAAAAGAGATCGTGCTAAGTTTGTCCAGACAAAATTAATTCTGGTATTTCCTGGCAACTACCTGCAGATATATTTTTTTCTCTACATCTTTCTTGGTGAAAAATGCACAGAAGCAAAATGTAGTGAAGGTCAGTGTAAGAGCTTGGTAAATGTTTGTTTGGGATAACCAGATACTTCTTGGGAATTGCTCGTAAATCTTCACTAGTGACTACAGTTACAACATTCATACCATATCACAACATCTGATACATTTATTATAGTCATAAATAACATATATTTTACAAATATGAAAGATATTTTTAACATAAGCATTTTCTGATCTAGTTTTTGCATTCTTCTGATGTAATAAATATATATACTATTCACCATGCTTCCGAATTCATGTCACATAAAAGAAAAACAATTTCTAGTAACCTCTTGTTTAAAATACTCCTTTATATATTATATAATGAAAATTGCAGATTCTGTTATCTGTTGTACAGGCTATAAAGAAATTTCAAGCCCTGTTGATAAGCAGACAATTTTTATGGACAGATGCTGGCACAAAGGTCAATGGAAATACTCTCATTTATATAAAGAGACTTAAATGAACCCAGGAAGACTCTGCTTTTAGCTCCAGTAGATTTCAAAATCCAATATCTAAATTTTTTTTTTCAGGAAGAATAAAATAAAGTCCATGTCATCATCACCAGCTAAAGTCTTTTTAGAAGACTTGGAGATCTTGGAAAAAGAACATTGTCAAAGGTTATAGTAAGGACACCTGAATGACATTTTGGCAAGATATCGGTTCATAACTGCAAAGTCCAGGAGAAAAAGTGTAGAAGGAAAGATCTTATTTTCTCTCAGGTTTCCTGAAATTTGCATGTATGCACAAAATCTGGGGATGTGCTCTTTCCTTGTTTTAAGATCACTTTATTATTTGAAATTTCTCAGGAAAAAAATTGACAATATAAGTTAAAAACACATGATGACCCTCAAGTTCCTTCCATTTTTCTTCTTTCCATAATAAGAAGTATTACACCTCTTAATTACAAGAACATGAAAAACTGTGCTAACGGTAAAGGTGCTCCTTATTACCTCCAGTAGCTGCCTTTGGGAAGTAGTAGTTAAGTCTTCAGGGAACTTTTGTGCAGCCTTTTGCATCAAAAAAATTGCTCTGGATAGCTTATTCCTTTTAATTTTTTTCATTATAAGTTCCTCTATAAAACAGAAATTTTAAGCCATTTATAAAACAGTGGCAATAATTTGTTAGGCTTCTAAAGTCTTAAGTAGTAAGTCTTACCTGATAAATATTGGAAATCTTCAATATTCTTCTCATGAGACTTACTGGACCTAAGACTTCTGTCAACAACTTGAGCACCTGTGTAGGAAGGGAATACTGAGTTATTTTGATAATGCTGTTGCAAAAAATTGAGTGAGAGGTTAATATATAGTTTTAAAGCTCTGCTCCATCGCACGTTCAAGTAGAATTTCTTGTACAGATCATGCCACTAAAAATATTCCACCCTCCTGCCTAACTTAACACCACAGAAAAAGAGAGGTTTTGTTTGATGACAGGGAGCAGGGCACAGTGTAGCTCTGCAGTGGCAAACTAATACTAATAGTTTTTTTCAAAAGCCATTTGGCAAGAGTGGAGTCTGCCAACTGGAAAGATACAGAGACAACTTCACAGGAGTAGAAGTTCACATTACTAAGAGCACTGAATAAAATATTCAAGTCATTCTCTAGAGAGAAAATTAGCATTACGGAAAAAAAAATCTACAGAACATCCCCCAATTTTTCTTCACTGGCATTATAAAAGTTAACATTATAACTGAAATACAACAGCCAACTGTCTAGGAATGAAATCCATTAGTTGCAGCAAGTTTAACTCCCATTGGTTGAGTAGAGGTTGAAGACTAGTATAACATAAATCTAAATTCTGCAAATTCAGTACATCATTTCTGTCTATATGTGGCATACAAACTGCCCAACATCAGCTCCTCTCCAGAATGCAGATACTCCTTTATTTCTTAGTACTATAGAATATATTAGCAAAAATACTCTAATCAAGTTATGAAGATTATTTAACTTTACTGAAACCTACCTTGTGTAATTTTAAGAAGTTTCACTGCTACTCGATGTTGGGCCTGAATGAGGTCCAAGTGTAAATCTGTTACAAAACCATTATCTGCTCCTGTTTTATCATCACCACATCCCAAAATAGAATTCAAACTCTGATCATTGGAATACACCTAATAAATAGGAAGTGGCAATTAAGCAAAAGTAAACTTCCACTACTTAACTTTCTGCATTTTTTCTTGATATTGACATTGTTTCAGTAAACTGACAAACACTGAAATTCACCATATTTGTGTAATACACAGTCAATCAAGAAAGCATGGAAAGAAGGAGAGTGACCAGACAGAGAGAGCATGGATAATGGACAAAGAGAACTAGACAAAATCTGAGAATCAATAGAAAACTGGATCAATAATAAAGATGAAACTGCAAAAACTATATTTTATTGTGTTACCAATCCACAAAACAAATATCATATTGATATAGAATGAAAATATTTAGAAAATCTGAACTTGCATCACAAGCAAAAATTTATTTTAATAATAAACAGTTGCAAGTAATAAATATGAACAGGATTTCTGCTCTTATTTTATATAAGAAATCTATATATTATAATTATTACAAATGAAAATGTTAAAGAAAGCCTAAAGGAGTTAATTATCGAAAGAGAAAAATGCTCTTTCAACTTCTGCTGGCTTTGGCTTAGGCAGAGTTCGTTTTCATCATAGTAGCTGGTAGGGAGCAGTGGATTGGATTTGTGTTGGATATAGTGTTGATAGTGCCAAGGATGTTTTCATTACTGATGAGCAGAGCTCACACAGCATCAAGGCTGTGACAGCACTGCTTCTCACACCACCCCACCAGAGAGGAGGCTGAGGAGGCACAAGGAGTTGGGAGCAGGCACAACCAGGGCAGGTGATCCCACTGACCAAAAGGATATTCCAGCCCATACAACATCATGGTCAGTACATAAACCTCGGGGAAGGAGGAAGGGATGGATGTTTGATAGATTGCCCAAGTCACCCAAGCTACATGTGATGGGGACTCCTGGAGCTGGCTGGACACCTGCCTGCCTGTAGGAAGTGGTTAATTAATTCCTTGTTCTGCTTTGCCTGTGTGCACAGCTTTTGCTTTCCCCACTAAACTGTCCTTATGTCAACCCATGAGTTTTCTGGCTTTTATCTTTCCCCCAAGACACTGGGAGGGACTGGGTGAGCAGCTATGTGGGGTTCAATTGCCAGCTGGGGTTAAACCACAACACTAATACACAGAGATATATTTTTGGTATTTTTCTCTTACATGGGTCGTGAAGATGAGGTACATTTGGTAGTGCTAAGATTTCTAAGTATGAAGAAAATATGAGGTTTGTGTCATCAAAATACAATATATTACTGATAGATTTTGTTGCAGTGTAGCTTTTTGTAAACTTTACCTTTGTACAGCAGTTGTCAAATATCGACTTTCCATCTGGTAAAAGGGTCATTAACCGAGATGTGTTCATGCCACTAATTGCTTTTTCAAGAACTTCATAAGCAATTTGTAATTGTTCTGTAGGCATTTTCTGAAATGAAAACCCATATAAAAAACATTTCCTTAGATAACATTAGAAACTATAATATAGACTATCAAAATAATGTGCACTTTTTTTAGGTGTTTAAGTTTAAAACTGTCAGATAATCTTTACATAGGTACTACTCCCCATAGTTTAGTATACTAATATTAATGTTATAAATGTCCAGTAGGACTGATTTTCCTTCAGCTCAAAAAAAAAAAATTACTCCAAGTTAGCTTATAGCCAAATGAAATTGAACTTAAAGAATTCAATTGAAAACATAGTATTTGCAGTTTTTCTATATTCCATTAAACGCTATTAAGAAAACAGTTTTTTCAGGAAACACTACCTTTAAGTAGACTGTCATTGAACTAAATCTTGTCCTTGTGTGTAAGCATTAAGACATATGTCTGACAACATTCCTGAATCCTCAGGCTAATGCATATCATTCATCCTTAACGTGCTTTAGCAAGTCATTTGATTGGACAATTCTGCTGAACAAAGCACTCAGGATGTTTCATCTATTCCACATGATTCTTACAAAAAGAAGGAAGCAAAAACACAACCCAAAATATTTTCCTAAATTAAGCAAGGACTAAAACTTCTATCATCTTAAAAAAATGTACCAATAAAACATTTAAGGCTGGTACTACAGATTGGCATTAAAAAACGGTATACAGGGGAAATCACTATGCTTATGCAGTAAAAAAAAACTTTCAAATACAATCTCTTCCAGAAAAACAATTGATAAAAAAGATTCATAAAAAATTTTCAAATTTTATTTCATTTGAAAAAATATCTTTGTTTTCCTCCTGTGCACTATTAGGATTGTGTGAAACATTTCATCTTTGTAAAACTAAATTAAAAATCGTATGAAAAGCTTCAAGAAGAAGTATTCTTATTCTATTCAAAATAATGTATCAATGAAGATAAATTGTATGTTACCATCAGTATTTCAGGCATATCACAGGTTTCATCTTGTGAAAGAGAAGCACTTCCTCCTTTTTTATAGGAAGAAAAGAAGAAGTGAAAATCAAACAAATCCAGAAAATTTTAGTACCATTTGACCAGCTCTACTACTAATTTCGGAGTCTAGCAATAATTCTGTTCTTCAGTGTTTGACTATGAGAGGTAATGATACTGTTTCTTGAAGAGCTTTCCAGGGCTTAGACACACATTGATGTATGTACAGTTATACTAATACAGGATACTATTAGCCAATAATGTTGTATTTTAAAGGTACCATATATTTCATATCCATGTCATATCCAAACTAATGAAACTAGGACTCATCTTGTATCATCCTAATATTTTTGTAGCATTCATATCAATTCTCCATTTTGAAATCAATTCAAACCAATTATTATCTAATTCACAGTTAATTTCACTTATTGAAGAATTTTTAAGAATAAGAGGTCATATTATTAGGATAGATACTACTTAATTTTAATATTTCTTCAAGTAGTATTATCACCCTTTTAAAGTTCGCTTTGATTGTTTAAATTACTTTCATTTATGAAGAATGCATCCAAACTTATAGTTTCACTCTTCAAAACAAGAGAAAACAATTTTTTAGTCCTTGGTTAAACCCTCTCATTTAATTACTTTGCTGAAATAAATTATTTTTTTACCCTTTTAGAGGAACAACCTTCTAGTCACTCCTTGTGTCACTTTTGCATATTGCTTTTGCTTGTTCACTGTCTTTTCATAAAAAAGAAAACTTGTATTCACTCAGTATTCATTCAGTAAATAGGTTCTTTTCAGCACAAGCATGTGCTTGACTGTCAGCCTGTTCTGACCTATCTATTCAGCTTCTTTTTCCTCCAAATAGACCTATTCAAACTGAATGAAAAAGGAGGGGTGCTACAATGAGGACTCATTTAGTCTCCCTGAGAACCTTATGATTTTCATAACACCATCAAACACAATACCTATTCTACCTTAATAATAAATAGTAATTTCTCAAAATTTTTTTATTTCCAAAAGTGCCAAACTATTATAATTTATTTCTGCTTCTAGATATGATCTAATAAGATCCTTAACATTTACTCTCTAGTTACTGTAAGACATTTATGAGATTTATTATTCATATTCCAAAATACAAAACAGAAATCTTTTAAAGTATGTCTAAATATTCATATTTTACAGTATCAGGTTTTGGAAGGAAATTTGTTTGATGTGATTGTGATAGCATATCCCAATAATGTCAGCCAAGTTCAGCTTCAAAAACAATTGAATTACTACACAAAACTCAAGAATATATAGAGAAGAAAACCAAACTGATGACTCAATAAATGCAGAAGCTTCAGTATGATCTCAATATTTTTCCCTTTTGTTTGGCCTGCAACTAATCAACCAGCGTTTGAAGGCTCCAAGTGAGCCACAGCACATACTGCCTTTTGCCTAGCCCTTATTCAGGGAACATAGTACTGACCTGAGGCTACTCTGCAGGGGCTAAGAGACATGTAAAAGACCTGTGAGGAGAGCGAGTAATAAGAGATATATAATTCAAAAAGGGGCTACTTCAGTAGAAATGGAAATATAAAGAAAGAAATCATAAATCCTTGGAAAAACAGGTTTCATTTGCTCCAATAATGGGTGAAATTTTGTGTGAAAAACACTGTCCCTCTACTCTCAACAATCTCTTTACAATATCTTTTGAATATGTATGTTAGTCAGTTTTCAGGTCAGAAAAGTTTCAATCTTAAAAGTCATTCTTGAAAGAAAATTTTGTTTTTCTTGAAAGCTTTACCTTCTTTTTCCTTAGATTCACTTGTAGATTCAGCTACATTTTCCAGTATTGCCGCTAGACATAAGGTTATCTCTGCAAACATCACATTGGTGTCTGCTATGTTGCTCTTCTCAATTATTTCATTCATCATCCAGAGTATATGAACCCACTAAAAATGAGGAAACAGTAGAAAAAGAATCAAGACAGAGATAAATCAAATTTTTGGAAGACTGTGATGTATTATAGAGGTAGACAGAGTTTTGCACTCAAAATTGTTTAAAAATATTCACAAGCATTCACACAACTCCACTCCTGGATCTGGCTTCTCTTTTAAATGTCACCAGACTAAGATGCTGAATTTACAGTGCTCCATAGCCCCAGTTTCTTCAGATGGCAGACCTTTTTTATTTTAGAATATTATTATTCCTGCCATTCCTTTTGGAAAGTTTTATGAATGTTCTGCAGTCATAACTTTTATACCTTGCTCTAGTGCAGTAAGCCTCCCAGTAGATTTGATTACGTGCCTCTCATTTTTCTCCGTATCTTCCCACTTAGAATAAAAGAGACCAAAGTGCTACTGTTGTACATACAGACGAATATAACTGTATACCATCTTCTGGGGAACCTCAGAACAATTTTACTATGTAGAGTCACAAATTTAACTCCTCCAGAAACTGGTTGGTTAGCACCAAGTGGAAGCCCAGAGAGCCCATTTCACCAAGAGCCTCTCAGCCACAGGACAAATGCAAGGTGAGGCTGTGACTCTATCCAGCGAGCTCAATACCATTCTGCTACTGACTCCCATTTCCCTTGTCTTAAGTTGTAAGGGTTTTTGCCACTTTGTCCAACTGACCTAGGGAACTTTCTTGAAATACATTGATAGTTTCTGCCACAACATCTCAAATTCTTCTTCTTACATCCTGCTCAAATGTTTTCACTAATTTAGCTTCTTACCAAAGTGGCTCACTGGCAGACAGTGGGCTACTTTACTGCAAAAAGACTAAGAGAATATTTTGGTACTGGCGTATGTGAGCACAGTGTGTTCAAAGTGTATATAAAATTCATATTTTTGAAGAAGATTTATCCACATTTTACCATAAGAAAAGGTACTTAGACTGGATACCAGTATTTCATTGCTGTTAGTGTAACAGACTGCATTCACATTAAGAGAAATACATTATAATGAAGGAGTACTTGGTAAGCTCGGTGTTTGTGCATATATTCTAAGCAGTCATTTCCACTCATTTGGATTTGCTGAAGTTCTGTTTTACACTTCTGCCACAAACACATTACTACATTAACAAGCATTTCTTTGTCAGGATGGATTTTCTGGAAAGAAAAAACAATATAATTGTAGAATTAGGGTAGGCATATAAACACACAAATAACCCAGTCCATAAACAGGCTCAACATTTTTCAACACAAGTAAATAAAATATGTCACTTTCTTATAAAGGATGACAACATTTTGAAAGCTTTAGAAATACTTTTAAAAAAAAATTTCTGATAGACCCCCCAAGATTTTCTTCTCTCAATAATATAAGAGGGGGTTTTTTTTATTGTCAAGCTCTTAAAATAAAACGGACAGGGAATTCAGTGAGATGAAAATTACATGAGAGAGAAAATTAACTACATTGCTGAAATCAATAGATTCTGGAGAAGCTTTATTTTTTATTAAAATATTTAAATATCTAAAGAAGGAAATCTAAATTAATAGTTTTATTTTGCTTGACAGAGTACTTCCATGGGCTGTTGGTGCATTTAAGATGATGAATCATTGAAAAATAAACAACTAGAAAAAAATTTGGAAATATCTATCTAGTGAAAGAAATGTTAAACCCTATCTGCATCTTGCAAAGAGAATAATTAACAAATTCAAAATTTTAGTCGGTTAACCTCCTGATTAATACATTTTAAAAGGCAAGAGTCCATGTATATGTTAAACACATTCTGAACAGTAAGATCAGTACACATCTTTATCACCAGTTATAGCAGAGCTGAATTAGTATCGCCAGTGCAGTGAAACCTGATATATCCACACTCTCTATACTCTCATATATGTTTGAGCATAAGATTTATGGGATACTGATAATGAAACTGGGGGGACAAAGAAATGGAAAAAACATAAATCAAAAATTTTTTTTGCCAATGGTTTGGTGGCAGCAAGCTGCAAGTGTGCCTCAGCTATATATCATGTAACTTCACCATCAGTGAATGCTCTGTTAATCAGGGGCAAATTTGTCTTTCTTCTCTGGACAGAAGATCAGGAAGATTTGCAGGAAAATGTAGAATAACCAGTACAGTTTAAATCCAGGTAACTGCCTCCATATAGAGGTCACATTAAAAACTGACAAATCATGCTATCTAAAGGTATCTGTGGGGTACCTCACAGTCAAGATACTTTCAATAAATATACTACACCAAAGCTAAAAATGTCTGTGCTCCAGTTACATCCAAATTGTGGCAATATTCAAATTATATCTAAAATAAATTTTACAGTTAAGATATATGCCATATATATAACATATAACATATATATTTTCTAAGGAAAATTTTTCATTAGTCTTTTGGATCACAAACCATTTTAATGTAAGTGCTAGTAGTGGAGACATTGCACTATAATTTCTTCCCTCCTCAGTACCACACTGAGGGGGAAATCTCAGTTTGAGCAAGTAAAAGTGGTTACACTGGGAATAAATCATCAGATACATAATGGGATTATTTCTACAGTAGAGACTTCAGCACAGAGTCCCAGTCTCATTTGTTTTGTTGTTGCTGCTGCTTGTTTCAGTTTTTTGCAGTGAGAATTTACCCTAAATTGCAGACATAGTGCTATTAAAAAGGCATTATCATTCCTTAGGGTAACTGCCCTCATTTCTATAAATATTGCAGAAGAGTTTTCCACAGCTGAGCATATTTGCCCACCTAAATCTAACATATGTAAAGAAATTCGATCTCTGCTTGATTAGTTGAAACATGCAATCAGCCTATGGTCTTCCAAATAGATTTAATATCTAATAAACATTTCTAAAGTAACTGATTACAGAGCATTTTTAAAAAATGAAACCACTTTTTAAAATCACAAACTGATAACATTCATAAGTACATTTTTCACTTTTTATATTCTTGCAATTTGTTAGTCATGCAACTGATTCCTTTGATCTTCAATTATATGTATTCATTACAGATTACGTGATACTTTGAGAAGAAATGTCTCAAATTCTGTTGTTACCTGGTCAGATGTGGAGACACAGGAAAACACGGTTGTTGCCAGAATCATAAGATCATGAAAAGGATCTCCAGGCTTTAAGGATTCCTCTACATTCAACATTTATAAAAAAGGGGGGAAAGGAAAGGCAAGATATTTTACCTAATTTAAAACCAAAGTTTGAAAATATCTGAGTCAACTGATTTACTAATATAAGCCAGCAGATAACATGGTCTAAGAAACAATAAATTCAGAAGGGAAGAGATAACTCCAAGTTCATTCACTTCTTGAAAAGTGACCATTTCTATTTTTAGGAAATAAAAAATTTTCAAGATATATTCAGGTTTTCAGTTGTCATAGAATTAAACTGAAGTTGCTCTAACAAGTTTTTCTTGCTTCTATGTAAAGAAATTTTGCAAAAATTAAGTGTAAGAACAGACAAAAAAACCCTCAAAAATCTGTTTCACTTCTCCCTGAAAACTTGTCTGAAAACATTCAATCATTTTGCATCTTTGCTTATAACTTGATGCATGTTTAAGATACATCATGCATTTCCCACTTAAGGGAAATCATATAAAGCCATATTTTGAAAATGAAAACTGGAAAAAAATAAGTGGCATTTTCTCAATTACTACTTTTTATTATAGACTGTGTATGAACCATATCACATAGTCTTGAAATAATTAAAAAAAACTCTTGCTGCAAAAATATTCAAAATTCAAACACAACTATAACTGAACAACACTCACTTTTAATTGTCTCTGTCTTTCCAGAACTTCGACGTGTGCTGGTTGCTTTGCTATTGTAATCACTAATAGAAAAACTACGTTCAAATTTTCCTGGGAATACTAAAGGTTGCATCAACGTAAGGAGTTTGAGTTCTATTTCAGCCTTCTTCCATGTTGGGTCATCTTGAGCCTAATTGAAAGGAAGAAAACCATAGAAATTGGTCTTTAAAATATTCATTTTGAATACTCCTTACCCTCATAGGAAAAGATTAAATAAAGAACATCTCAATCACATCCAGATTACCTGAAGGAAATTATCAACAAATTCAAGAGCAGAATAAAACACGTTCCACTCTTCATAGCTGAAAGCTAGTTTTACAAATTTCACAGCAGCATCTCCAGACACCCCTTTTTCTCCTGCAGTGATGACAAAAATATTTTCTCTGTTTTATAAATATGTATTCAGAAGTTTATTGAAAGTTTAATTTAATTTATTTTCATAATTTGGGTAATGATAAATACAAAGATAAATCTCCATGCATTTTTGAACAGCCGGCATAACCTTGAAGGATGTTTTAATAACTTTAAAAGAAACAATAGCTTTATCTTTTCACAGTAATGTCTATGTTTACAGGCTGCTTTAATGATGGATCTGCAACCATAGAAGCATAAAGGTTTGAAAAGACCTCCAAGATCATAAAATCCAAAATTTAACAAATATCACCATGCCCACTTCACTATATCAGTGTCCATTCAAAAGAGAATTTACAATTATTCATATTAACATACCTGTGTACAGAACACCAAGGATCTAGTCCTTGCGGAAGAGCTTATCAGCCTGTACAGTCCCTCACTATCCAAAATTTGCTTTAAAAATTGCATAGAAACACATACAATTTCTTTCAAGACAGGCAAACATTTCTGATTACTGTGTCATAAAATTATCATATACACATAGCGAGCCTATTTTCTTACTTTTCAAGTTTATCCAGACCACAGTAAGGCAGAAAATAGACTTCCTGGTCTATGGAGCTCTCAGCAAGTGTTTTAGCTAATAAATTCAGCACTGTTGTGCAGTCCTAACAATATGCCACAGTCACTGTCATGAGTTGGAAATCACCAAAGTTGGATCACCAAAGTCCAGCTCCTGGCCCTGCACAGAACCACTCCAAGAGGACACCATTTCGCAGACTCTTTATGTATAGAACGGTTACTAATACGAAAATTAATTCTGCCTACTGAGCATTTATAACGCTGGGTAAAAAAATCCTTTGAAATTCAAAGCCAGCTTACCTGTTAGCATCAACTGCAGAAGACTAGATGATGGATTAATTATACCAAACTGACTGGTGTCATTGGTCTCTCTACCTGCAACACAGACAACTTACGAAATCAATTTATAATCTATTTGACTTTTTACCTTCTAATTAGCCAGTAATCATACCAAGAAAAATATCATTCTGGAGTGTACTTAGTCTCTATACATCCTTTTTATTGGCAAAAATGCCTGTGTATCCAGGACTATATTCAGCCCAGAGCCCAGCAAAAAAAAGGTGTGGAAGTAACCACCAAGTCCCGTGTTTTTCTCAAGTTTTCACATCTAACTTTGAATGGATTTTTTTTTTAATAGAATACATCAAGCACCATGGTATTTTGACATTGCCTTGACCCCATCCAGCTGCTCTCTCATTTGTGCTTCACAAGAGGACAGGGAGGAAAAATATCGATGGAAAGCTCATGGTCTGGATAACCTCAATAAAGAAAACAAAGCTGTGACTGCAAACAAACTAGAAAAGGGAATTTATTCACTCTTTCCCGTAAGTGGGCAGACTCCCAGTCACCTTCTGGTAAGCAAGGCGTCAGGACATGTCGCAGTTGCTTGGAAAATCCCCCTATCCTCTCCCTTAGCCACAGGTGCTGCTGCTGAACTGGATGGGTTTTGGTGTGGATTAGCTGTTTGGGGAGTTCAGGTCAGCTGTGCCAGCTATGTCCTCTCCCAGCCTCCTGCCCACCCTCAGCCTGGTGGCCTTTGGGGAGAGAAGGGTTGGAGAGATAGCCTTGAGGCTGTGCAAGAAATGCTTAGCAGTAGTAAGAACATAGGCGTGTTAACAACATTGTTTCAGCCATAAATACATGGCACAGTAAATCCTGGAAAGGCTGCTACAAAGTTAACTTAGAAAATACATGCATAAACTGCTGCAGATTTTTACTGATAATACTAGACCATGGACACAAACAGAGATTTTTATCTTCTATTATATAAAGATAAGAAAAACAATCTGCTTTTACAGGTGGCATTGTTATAAATTAAATACATACCTTCAAGCACTTTTTTCTTTTTTTTTTTAAATAAGAAAAAAATAAAATTGAGGTCCAGGCTCCTCACCAACAGTATTTTTGCTTCTTAAACTGTTACCTGAGAGGATTTCGAGGCCCGCAGAAAAAAGCTCAGAAGTGACACCACGAATTTCAGTTTCATCAGGAACAGGAGGATGAGGGGGAAACAGATTCCTGCTCCTATCAGACAGTGCTTCCAGGATGGCGAGGAACTGAGCTGCAGCACCATCAAACATTTTCACCAGCAGCCGCTCAGTAGTGGTGCGAGGCCATGACAGCTACGTAAGAAAAGGTAAGTTAAGCCTTGTGACACCTTAACCAACTTGCAATAAAGCAAGATTTTTTTCAAAATATTTCTCTATCAGAAAGTAACTACATGTTCAAAACAGAAAATAAAGTACTGGAAAGCATATTGCTGTTATTATTGTCATGCTTCAAAGGCAGAGCAAAGCCTCATGCTAAGCAGGTACAGTACTTAGGAAGACTAATCATAACCAGACACACTGCTGCATGGTATTTTACTTCAAAAATAGTACAATAGAAATTATGAGGGGGAGTGTTAAGGCCATGTAGTTTAAAGCCATGCAGATCTTTCCTGATAATTTTCTACAGTAATAATTAGTAACATCTTCCCTACTTTCAAGCTTGTTCTGAGTTTTATTAATAAATTCTGTTAATTATGAAATTGAAAATATAAAACTTTCAGCTTGTGTATAGCACCATATGTATTTAGAAGAATTATGGTTTCATCACATGACAGTAGTAAAGGAAGAGAAGGATTATATGAAATGTTAGACTTACATTTACTGCTTTTCTCGGGTTAACTTTTGGCTCAGGTCGAAAGCTGTTCGACTTTCTTCTGGATTCATATACTGCTCTCTTGAAAATCATTACTGACATCTGGCACAAAGAAAAAAGTAAATCAATATCTATGTTATATGTTCTGTTCATAGAGATCATAACTACTCTACCTTTTTATAATGACTTGCAGGATAATACCTTTAAAGTGGCCTCTTTAAAAATCTTTTTTGTCTCTGTATTTTCCAGAGAACTGATATCTTCTAATTGCTTCAGTTCATCAATTTTAATCAAACCACGGCGAGCAAATATCTGTCCAAAGAATTAAAAAAAATAAAAATATGTACTCCATGTTCATATCCTGTATGTTTATATCTAATTTTAGAATAATATCATCCCTGAATTTATACAACTGCAAAAAGCTGCAATGAAAGTCAGCTCCTGAACAACTGAAAAGGAAATCAAAACCTTTGCAAAGCACCTTTTGTATATATGCGTGGCACCTGGCCAGTGTTTAATGCTAGAAGTCTGTGACTGTGAGTATATTACAAAGTGCTATTGCATTTGAGCTGATTACACATTAACTTGTGGAAACACATCTCCACTTTGCAGTAAATTTTGGAATATGGACAGAACACTAAATACATATGATCTGACAATAAGTAAGAATATTTAAATAAATATTTCCCATTTGATTGCATCTGAAATGCTACATAAGGTAAATCAGAATACCTCTCCATGAATGCTGGCTTGACAATCAAAATAACACTGAGAAACTGCCGTATATAGGGTGGCTCTCCATGTCAAATAATGCACAGATAAGAGTGGAATAGATGATTCCATGCATATGCTGGCCCACAGCAAGTATTCCAGGACCTGTATGGAAGAAATCTAATTTAAAAATGAATGCATTTTAACCTACATAAGCATGCTGCCTATTACTAAAGGACAGATATAAAAAACTTATCCTCACCTGGTAGGACAAATTGAAAGAGTGTAGAAAAATCACAGAAATTTTGTTACTTTTTAACGTTTTATAAACTAAAAAGCATTCCACCTACATAGTATTGGTTTTATCCATCTTAAACTGTGGTCAAGCACTATTCTAGCCTCCAAGCTATCTTAACCACTCCAGTTCACTATAGTCTTGCCACCAGACAAAGATCCTGCCCTTCTCTCTCATCTGCTCTTGAGAGTTATCCCTCCCTTTTCTGGCAGCTCTAGTGATCAGTTTTCAACAGGATCAGTAACTTATCTGAGATGCAATGGAGTCTGTCTCTAATGGTGAAAACTTGTGCTTAATTTATACCCATGGAAGTCTTGGCTCCTAACTTGCAGGGTAACATAGTCATTGCAGCAGTCTAATTTTAATAATTAGTCCTTCTCGACTGTATCTGTATCTTCCTCTTACTGTTTTCTTGGGCCAGCTGCTCCCTGAGGTACATAAAATGTGCAGAACCTTTGTCCTAAATTAAGCCAATATACAAATTTTCTTTTGGTCTGAATTTCAAGAATCGGAAATACTCATGACTAATTCCTCTGTTTCCTGTATAGTGGACGCCTGAGTATACTAAAGGAGGTGCTAAATCACTTCTGGTTTTAACAGGAGATTCAAATAGATTTTTTTTTAATAGAAGATTCAAAAAGAAGATAAAAAATCTTTCCTGCTCAGTGAAAGATTAATTAAAAAAACACATAAGAAAATATATTGTATTAAGGCTGATTCAAATTCTGTTCAAGTTGTAGGAGAAAAGAGAAAGCTAAGACAAACAAAAATTACATTCAGAAAAAAAAAGTTGGGGGGAAGGCCAGGTTGTTTTTATCAAGTATTCACAACTAAAACCCTAGCCACCAGGTGTCAGCACATTTCCACATTTTAAGAAACAAAAGACCATTCCTTGAACATACATAGATGTCCAAAACAAAGCACCTGGAATCCTCTGAAACAGAATAACATATGGCAGCTCAATGTCCAGCAGACATTACACTGGGCTCCATTCCACAGCTGAGGAAGGAGCAGACTCAGGAGGGCATGAAGGCTTAGAAATCAACCACTTTGAAACACAGACATTTTATTTCCTTGTGAAAAAGTACTACTATTGGCAACGACAGTGAAATTGAAAAGTCAGGGTACAGTGTTATACAAAACTCAGGTGCATTTTCTAAACTTCTGCAAATTTTACAACCCTTTCTATTTATTTTGCTGTACCTTAGCAGACTCACCCACCACCATCAAATGTCTGCATATGGTGTAAATATGGATAGTACCTGCAAAGATAAATTACAATAAACAAACAGGTAAGTTCTATAATCCTACGTGAAATTTGCTATGCTAAGAAACTCAATCTTTTTCTTATTATCCGGGTTGTTACTTCCAGAGAAGAACAATTTAATGACTTTTCATTAAACAAATGAAAAACTAATGATTGTTCTGTAGCACCTTCTAATTAGAAACAATGAAACCATTAAATTCTTCTGCAATATTACTTTCAAAAGTATCTACATAGTGAAGCATGAGAATGAAATCCTAAAAATTTACTGAATCAAATTTTTACTCAGTAACTGCTAGAGAGACAAAGCTTACTTTCATCTCCGAATGCCAGGCCCTTTAAAACAAAATACCACCTCTCCTCACAGACTTCATCTTACATGATTTTTTTAGCCCATCATAGCAATGTCCTGGCAGACACCACCACTATTATGTGATATTAAGTATGATAAGTGACATGAAGAAAATTGAAAGCTAGTAGTTTCCAAGAGCATCAAAATGACTTAGAAATAAAAACCTGTCAAAAATGTATTTGACTTAATCAATGTCATAAAATTTTTAAAAACCAGTCTTAGAAGTATAAAAGACACTGCAGTTCTGGGAGACAAAAAAAAAAGCCTATTCTTCCATCTGTATGAATGTTCAAAAAGGGACACCTGTGGCAGCAGGAGGCATCACAATGTCAACTGTCATAGCCAGAAGGGTGTTATTATCCCAATAAGCTCAAATGGAGGAAGTATTAGGAAGATTTCTTTTTATCAGTCAAATGTGTAATGAGGCACAAAATCTATTGTCTGAAATTGCAGAAAAATACTCAGGAACTAGGGAAAATCTGAGTTACTGCCTCCTTCTAATTAGAGCAGATTATTGGCTAGGATTGGTATAGAGACCTGTCCCATACACAGACAGTGGGATGTAAGAATAGCAGGTGAGTATATCTTTTAATTTTAATTCTTCTCCCATAGAAACATACAATCAAAAAACACACCTCAAAAGCAGGGACTGAGGGCAATAGGAGTCCCAGCAAAACAAAAGGATAAGAATTTTGACCAATCATAACTCAGAGAAAGTATATTTTTCAAAATGAAAGCAAGACCATGTTATCTCCTCAATTTATATTTTGACAGTTGACCACAGTAGCTCAGTTTGTCAGAGCATGGTGCTAACAATGCCAAGGTTGTGGGTTCAATCCCTGTATGGGCCATTCACATGAGCTGGACTTGATCCTTGTGCAGCCCTTCCACTTCAGAATATCCTGTGATTCTGTAAAATTCATACTAGTCTGTTTATTTTTTACTAAATAACATTGTCTTTCAAAGCAAAAATATACAGTTGTTGTTCCTGAAATGAAAATCTTGATAAATCATTCTCTATGTATCTAGTTTGCAGAAGTTCCATTCTTTTCTCAATTTTTCCCTAATACAAACATTTACAAGCAGCACTCTGAAATCTTACACATAGATCAAAATTCTCAAGTGCCATATGATATTTTAGAATAGTTTTATTATCAACTCTTCCCTTCAAAGTGCTTTCAAAAATACAAAGACGTAATGGCAGACAATAATTTTCTACTCTTAGATCTGCAATCTTTTCAAAAAGAAAAACCAAATCCCAACAACAAACAAGCAGAAAAGCCTCCAAACCAAAACCAAAACAAGAAACAACAACAAAAAAATCACCAACCAAAAAAAAAAAGACAAAATGAACCCATGAAAATAAGCATTTTATTGACAGAAAAATCTTGAGCGTTTTTTTGTTAATCCGGATTTACTCCAGATATGTCCTTACTTTTGATTTTATTAGTATTCTTAAGCAGAGTTATGGTGAAAACGTTGATGCTTTTACAACACTGCACCTGAAAATGTATACTGTGGAAATCTTAATTTTAAAATTCTTTCTATTATAAAAACAAAAAAATTTAAAAAAAAATTCCCTACTGTGACTGAAGACTAAATTGAGATTTATTCATGACCCTTAGGTTGACCTTAAAGAGTATAAAGAGTATAAAAGTTTCCCTTCACAGCTTTGCTTAGCAAAGAAATGTAAATGGAAAGCCTGAGGTACCATTGTAGATAAGCCAACATAAATTCTCCTGAGGTAGAGCCACTTGCATAGTGAGTCGTAATGAGGTCAAGACATTGAGACAAGTCTGCAGGGACTCTTGATTCTGAAGATTTCTGTCTCTGCTGCAAACCATCTGATAAATGCAAACATTTCTCGCTTGCAAAGCATGGAACTAAAACACATAGAAATATATAAAAAGTTAATTAAAATATAAACATATGTCAGTTCATATGAGCCAAGTACAACAACATGGTGAGTAAGAAAAGATTAGGCATAACAGCAAAAAAAAATCAGCATGACATTGAACTGAGCATTAGAATATGGAGAAAGTGTTAAAGTACTTCAGGGTTGCTGTGACATTAACCTGAGTCAGTTTCCCCTGTGTCACAGGATGAAAATGCACCTAGTGCACTAGGAGTGCTGGAAGGGATGTAGGGAGAATGAAGCATTAAACTGCTATTCAAAGAATCTGGCTTTGACACTTGGCTTCTCTGTAGATGTCTTCTTTAAACTAAGGCAAGTTTAACTTTTCTACACTTCTCCATCTCTATCACCAATATCTTATTTCTCACTCTCACCTGTTGCTTTTCTCTTCCACAGATGGATTTTTCATTCTCTTCCTTGTAATACCTAAGACAATGTGACCTCAGTCATGCCTGGACTACAGCATCAGCCAAACAAACAACATGAAAAATTGGGCTAAGTGGGACGTGACAAGTCAGTACCTACCAATCTCTCAAAGGCCTCCTTACTCGGTAACATTTGAAATTGTATTCAATTAACTGTATTCCGTTAATTCACTAAAGCTGGAAGTTTCTAGCCCCAAAACATCATTTCTTAGTGTTACATTAAAAATAAAAAAGCTAACTGCAGGAACATGGCAAAAAAAATTACACCTAAAGCCTTTAGGACATTTGACATATTATCATTTTCCATTTCCAATTGCAGAGATCATTGCCAAACTAGATTCCATATCTGAAAATGTAGAGATATCTCAGTCTGTAAAGGCTAAGTTACAGAACAGGCATTTTAGTATAGACTTGCAATAACATTTGGCAGTGGGATAGGTTCAAGGTCTAGGCAGACACACAGAAAAACAGAGGAGAGAATCTCTGGAACTTCAAATTTATTTACAAAACATTTTTAAAAATATATAAACACAGTCCTTGATCATATTCTTTCTAGGAAGCTGAACCACATTTTAAAAACAAAAAAATAATACAAACCAAGTATCTCTTCTATCATGGTATCTGCTTCTAGCTTTTAAGCAAACTGTCTGCTTTCATCTCTTCACTAAACACGTATTTACACTCTTTTTCAAGGATATGAATTTGATTAGCTCAATACATAGGAGCTGCCTACCATTTCTGTTCATTGTTCTTGATCACAGAGTAACTTGCATTAATTCAAAACACCCACCATGTATTAAAGTAGAGCTTCTCAGTAAAGAACGCCTTAAAGTAAAATATAACATGTTTTAGCATTCCCCCTATATCAACTGAAACACTTTCTTCCACAAATAACAAAAGGTATACTGCAAGTCCCTACCTTGATAAGCAATTAACACAAAAGGATTCCAACACGTTCTTAAGGTCACCCAGCTTCCTAGAGTTTAAAGCACTTGGAAAACTATTCAGCATTCTGCCCTTTTTTTCATAGTGAGCAAATTAGCTATAAAAAACATAACACTGTTTTTCTGTCATGACCTTTTATTACAAGTAGTGTTTTGCACACTTGTGGTACAAAATACAGGAGAATGTTTTAATTGTATTGCATTCTGCCTGGTTCTTAGATAATACAATACAGAAATTTCCAAAATTGCAGGACATTTATCAAATTTTGCCCACATCCTGACTCTGACAGTGGATAATAGCAACTATTTCAGAGCAAAAACTGCTGTAAGCAGTTACAGAACACCACATTCAGAGAAAACTGCTGTTGTAACACTAAGTTGGTGGTGGTTGGCTTCTGCCACAAAAGCATTAGGCATTTATATCCTCTTAAAAATAAACACCAACTCCAGATGTTCACCTCATACATATGATCATTAAATCTCAATACAATTTGTATCAACAAACTATTAAATATTAGTTAATGTTAATATATGATTATTATGAAATACATTTGCGGAGGATAAAATGGGCTACTCACTTTGAACTGTGAATGTTTTGATCAGAAAAATTTAAAAACCCACAACCTACCGTAAGTGCTGCCTTTTTGTCTCTGACACCATTTGGAAAAAAGGTGGATTTAAAGCGATGCACATCATCCATGACATCATCAAGGTTTACAGAAACAAACTGCTGAAGGTATCTTTCATAGCACTGTAGAAGTGCCAACTTATATTCCTGAAAAAAAAAATCATATGGTCTTTTTATAGTTTGTATATTGCATTTATATTTCTATAAAACATGTGGTTTCTTATTATCTTTATGAAAAAAGTATCTAGGTGAAAGAGCAACAGGAAGTAAAGCACTACAGCTTCATACAAATATCCAGCAATGTAGTGTGAACACTCAACATATGAAAGGTTGAAATACTTAAAAGAATGGCCTGTGCTTTGCACAAGCACAAAACTTTTGCAAGTTTTAGTGAGTTTTGTTTATTCTAATCATAAATACAACGTATCAGAGAACAATTATACAGCAGGGTCCTGGGCTACTGTAATAAAGAGTTGCTGGAATACAGTTTTACAACAGTAATGACAACAATACTACACTTCAAAAAAAAGTACTTCATAATGTAGACCTTTATAAACAATATATAGATATAATCACTTTTCTCTTCCTTGTGTCCATGTCGTCAAAGGTCTTTTTATTTTTTTTATAAAACAGATAGAAAGAGTAAGATGCATTAAAAAAGATAGAAAGAACTGAAAACTGGAATTTACATATGGCCAAGAAATCAGCATTAAAAGACCAGGAATTGCCCTGGGTCTTTAAGAACTGTTAACAAAGAGGATGTTGAGCCTTATGTCTCATTCCAAATACAGCTCTCCTGCAGCAGGTCAAACCACTCTAAAAGCATGCTGACTCTATGGTTCAGTTCTGACTCAGATCTGGAAGTGACACTTACTGAATCACCACCACCACTTCCTTCAGCAAGGATTACATGTAGGTTTCTCTACCAATTTCACTAATTCTAGCACACACACTAAATAAATTCTTGAGGAAAAAGTAACTAATTTCTGCAGGTAAAAATGATCCTTTAATATTTAATCACACAACATTCTTATTTCCTTGCACTCCCTTATTTTCTTCAATATAAATTCCTTCCACCACAGTGACACTTAAATTTTTAATCATCTGAGGAGTCTAACTCACATGGCCCTATTGTCCTAATTGCTGTGTGAAAGCAGAAGCCATACGTAGAAAATTTGACTTCCCATGGACAGTTATGGGCAGTCACTTGTGTAATCTAATAGGTACATTCAGGCTGTGATAACTCTTAGAATCCAAAGCCATGGATCAGAATACCATTAAGATAGTTATTGACACATAACAAAAAAGGTACATTCTAAACAGTTTAAAATATGTGTGTATGACCAAAGATAACAGGCAGGTACAGGCAGAGTGGGAGGCAGGGAAAAAAACGAGTCAGTGCTGATCACATGATGACTAATGGACTAAGCAATTTCCAGATATATGACTTCATGAATTTAGGTGTGTCCTAAAATATACATAGCAGATGTATTATAGGAAGGACTCTAAAGGCATTAAAAAAATACAGCAAGAGGACAGAAAGCTAAGCAGGTGCCTATCCACTGACTATTCATATGCAATAATTATTTTTAAGGACTACATGTAGTTAAGTATTATATAATGTGCAGGTTAAAATTCAAAATATTCAGCACTGGTTGTCAACTAGGAGTCAAGAGGGGTACTTATGAAATAGGCTTTACCCCACCTATCACAGACCTTGATTTTACACTACATTCATCCTTCCCGTAATGCATTTGAAATTTGCTGACTCCATCACCTGTTGTTTCTATTTATTTCTTTTCAGGGAAAAAAACAGAATGAAAACTAATTAAGTTAAAGAAATGCACTTAAAAGTGGGAGCTCAAAAAAAAGTTGAAAGTATTAGGCTGGCCAGCTAAACAAATTCTTCAACAACACCAATAACTTTACTGTAGAAAAACACATTATAATAGAAGTTTGAAGTTGCAAGCAGAAGTCTTTGCACAGAAACATGGACTATTTTCAGGCTATCTAGGGTCAGGTCATTAAGCACCTTGAACATAAGGACCAAACTATACTGGAGTGCTGCTTTGGGAAGCCAATGCAGAGTACAGAGAACAGCATTTGATACTTTTGAAATAACCTTACTGAGTTCTCTGTAAGAGCAGCAGTTCCCAAGCACTAAAAGCTTCACATAATGTTTCAAGCAATTCCTAGAGCTATGAAAACTTTAGGAATATACAAACATGAAGAAAACATGAACAGAATTGTCTAGGCAATGCTATTAACAACTGCTGCTATTCAAGCTTCCTTAAGAATTTCCATATGTCTAAACCTACACTGTGACCCTGCACCTTCAATTGTAATGGCTCCACAGTTATGGACTCTTCTATATGCCTTCTTCAGCCTTCCAGTGAGTGCTGAGTGCTGCTGAAACTCAGCTTCAGCTGGCTGTTCTTTATTCAAGAGTAGGCCACTTTTGTGGAATTCCTTGGGGCACGTGCAATGAAGGATCTAGAAGGCTTCATAACATCTGCATGGTACTCCTGCCTTTGCCATGGCCTGCGGAAAAGTTCACCAGGCAGCCACACGTAAACACTCTCCATAAACAGCACAAAGAGCATCTCTCCTTGCTGCATTCCATAAGCAAAGGACATAAGAATGAAAGAACAGTTTCACTGGGTATGTGTCTCAAAAAGATAGCCCTTCAAACCACCTTGATTCATTTCCAGTTATGCCCTCTTCTTTTTATTTATTTTCTTTTATTCCCATTATGTTAAAAAATTAAGTAGAAGTTACAGAACTGGCTTTCTAACTATGCATCTCTGAGCTTCTTCTGAGTGTTGTTTAGTAACAACACTAGTACCCTTAGTACCCTTAGTAAAATTGAAAGCCCCAGATTTTATGACACGACCTTCTGACACAAATATCACCGAGCTTGTAAATGGCTCACCCTGGGATTTTTTTTTCCACAGGAAACACAAAGGACAAATAGTATATAAAAATATATTTGCCTTACTGAGTCAGATTGACAGTTACTAGGCTGGCACCCCATCTCCAGCAGTAACATATGTCAGTAACATATGACTAAGTAAAAGCAAAAAATTGAGTTATCATATAGTGAAACATCCCCCAAATACTCTGTCTTCAACAATCTAGCTCCTGAATCCCTTTTAGTTGTGATCTACCCTTTTGGAGGAGACCAGAAATGCATACGTAACTCAAGATGCAGGAGCATCACTGATACATATAGTTGTACAATGTGTAATTGCACTCTGATTCTTGTTCTCTGTTCCTTTCCTGATAATTCTTTTTATTCATGTTTGGTTAACTGAGCATTGAATTGTCAGTGGAACTGCTCTATCATCGTCAATTTGCACTTTAGCAGCATTGAAAGTGCAGTTAGATATTGTACTCCGCCATGCTGAAACATCAAACAAATATTAAAGAAAGATTTTGGGGTGTTTGAAAAGGCAGTGGATGCATAGAAAATACAGACATGAAAAGATACTTAAAAATTAGGGCAATTTTACAGCAAAAAAGCAAGAAATACAAACAACCAACTGTCACTGGAATTATTTTGCAAAAGTTTTTGCTACTTGCTAAATAGCTTTCAGTAAAATATGATTAAAAATTAAAGTAGCATAGAAACATAATGAAACAAAGGCTATGATTGAACCTTTTCTGATTTCAAATGACTTACTTTGATCTGAGCAAGTGTATCACCAACTTTCACAAGTCTTTTATTGTAATACCACTCTGGTAGTCGTGGCTTATATTTGATCCAAATGTTAAACAGAGTATTTGCTCTAAAAAAGAAAATAACATAGGAGAAAAGGTTTCAGAATAAACTGGCAGTAGACCTGTCATAAGAAGTAAACAAATCAGGAAGACTTCAAATTGTGAAAACTCCTTTCTTCCAAATCTATTTGAACTTCTACATATTTCAAAACAAGTGATCATTAAAACCAGCTTTAACAGGCAGGCAAGGACATTTCTGGGTTTCAATTCTGTTACCAGTTTTTATTGTACATTTTAAAAAGGATGAATTTTCTCCCATGTAAATTCTTATTAAAATGTCCTAGTAATAATCCCCTTGTGTTGTTCAAGCACAGTCACAATTGGAAAATCTGTCCCACCTTTCAGCTAGTATTTGAGAAGTTCTGTTTGAAGAAACAATTTGATATCTTAGAGTCAATAAATTACAGTTCACAGCAATTACTGGACTGGAAACTACAAATGTTATAAGCAGAAAAAAAATTTCCCAAAATAACAATATATGGCCAGGTAGCTGCAGCCTTGGGAACTGGTAGCCATGGAATGAACCATAAAGCTATGGAGTCTATAGAACTAGGGTATATAGAGCTCATGGTATACAGAGCTATACCATGAGTCATGAAAGAAGAAATGTTCAGGAATTTTAAATTGTAAGGGGTAGGATTCAGAGAGAAGCAAATGACACACTTACTAAAACAGAGACAATTTTATGGCAATAGTTGTGATGCTCTTCTGTTGCCTCTAATTCTAGCCACAGTTGTCATCAAGGATGTCTTAGTGCGACAAATTGCCTATTTTGCTGAACCAACAAGCCTCCCACAAATGGTAACTGATTCTCAGCAGCTTCCCTCTGCTACAGAGAGAATGACTATATCATGGCTGTACTACAGTCCCTACCAACCATGGCTTGATGGCCTCGTGCCCTCATGTACAACTTCCCACACTATGCTTCTTTAAGAAAGCTACATTCTAGCTGGAAAACAATAACTGAGCAGACAGACTGCCAGTAAGTACTGAGACTTTTTCATAAAAGAGTCCCATTAGGAAATCATTACCAGTATTGACAGTGTTCACAGTGCCAGGCATCTCTTACATTTATTCTCTTAACAAATCCCTTGTCCAGAAACGTCAGCAGAGTGCCTTGTGATACTGCTACAGACAAATTATTTATAGGTAGCAATTTATGAGGAAAGAAAACAACTGAAGAAATATAAATTAACATTAAAAAAAATAACATCTGAAAAATATCTTTGTAGATGAAGTGTCATGCATAAACCATATGCTTAGTGGTGTGAGGTGGCTGGAACTTTTCAACTTCTTTTTAGACTGGGATGGTAGATTAGAACACAAGACACATTCTTAAACTGTTCTCTGACATTCAAGCACTTGGAATGTATTCTCACAGTCTCTCATAACTCTCCATTTCAACTTGTAAGAACACTCCCAATTAAAAAAAAAGCACAATAAATAACATTTTTTCCACACAGAAATCTGTGAGCCACCTTCACATTTCAAGATGAAACAGATGGCTTTATGAGAAATCTGTCAAAATAATCTTTACAACAAAGAAATGCAACAATCATAATCTTTTTTTTTTCCCTAAAAGTATAATCTCAGCACAATTCTCAGTTCTTGAAAGTAAGCAGCAAGGAAATAAGTAGGACATCCTAGAGGTGTACCCTAAAGGAAAAATGCAGTAACAGCACAAACTAGGCCAAAAGCAACAATCAGAATAAAATGTGCTAAGGCATTTTTAAGGAGACATTTTTTAAGGAAATCATAGCCCAGTGAAATGAAGGGAAATTTACAAATGGATAGGAATGAGTCCCTCGCAGTCCATCCTTAACAGTGAATAGCCTAGGTGGGTACTGAGTTCTTATACTGATAAAAATATTCCACAGCAGTTAGTATCTGCAAAGAGGCTTCAAAGCAAAGGAATCTGTCAGGCAGCTGAGCAAATTTCCCTTGGACTATTAAAGGAAGAATTTAGGAAAAGACTTTCAGAGACCTAGAGATTTGATGGATTTTAGGGGGAAAGGGGCTTAGAAGAGGGAAAAGAGATGGCAAGAATGACCCTGGATGAAGCTTTGGAAAGGTAAGACTAGTACATTTAAGACTGATCAGCTCAAAGTCCCCCAGCAATGGTGATCTTCATTTCTTGTCATGAATGTTCATGTTAACACATGAGATTCTCAGATATAATAAACAGTAACAAATCCGTAAAAATCTAGTTTAGCAAAGTACTGACAAACCTGACCAGACTTTCCACTTCAGTGGGAAGCTTAAGGTAAACTGATTCTACTACAATGCCATGACTAACTGGAAGTGAGTTCATGACACAGGAATGTTTCTTTGACACAGACAAAAGAGGAGAGTGAGACACTTCCCAAACAGCTCCTCAGCCTTTCCTTTAAACAGCCTGTAGGACACCAGATTAACAAGTTAAGCAAGTGAATTCTTTTAAAAAATGGTGGACTGTTGGAGCTCAGAGGTGAAATTTCTTTATTTCCATCCATAACAGAAAAAAATTTCCCTAAGGTCAACCCATAATATGTGCACAGGATAAGGCCCACGTGGCTAAAATCTTTACTACAAGTATAATGAATTCTCTGATACTGATCGAAAGCCATATTATTAAATACGGGTGGCTAAGTCACACAACATGAGATAAAATCAATAGTTCAAGGGAAAGATCTGATGGCCCTGCTGCCAAGAGAAATGAGGCAAAACAACTTATTGTTTAGTTGAGGAAAAATTACTTTTGATTGCTATTTCTGACTAAAAAGATTTGTGATACCAGGGCAAATCCTCAGTAATTTTTGTTTCCTACATTAGAATATTTAAGTGCCTAAGTTATGGCCTTTCTGTTGGGCTATAAACAGCAAAGTTTGAAAGAGTTGGAGGAATTAAGCTAATAATTTTATTTTTCTAAATTGAATATACTTGCCACATGGAAGCTGGTTTTCTTGTTGCTTGAAGAACAAGAACACTTTGATTTCAATCTATGCCACAGAAGATAGCTTGAAAAATGACATAGCAACAAGTCTTTAGAGAATTTAGGAAAGCATCTGCAATAGCCATTACCTTAAGAAATTCTTAGGATCAGCCAGACTAGAGCTGGTTCTGCAAGCAGCACATACTCCAATTTTGAGTTATCAAATAATGAAGCAGTAAGGAGAAAAAACCCTGAAATTTCACAATCACAAAAAAATAGGCTTGACTTTGCTAACTGCATAAACATATGCTAATAATCAGAATTCCAGTCTTCTACCTCTATGCTGTCCCTATACAAAATGAAGAACGCCTGAGGAATGCAGAGCTATTGGGAGCTTCATGTTACTCAATATTCCTAATGCCCTGGAATTTTAGTAGGAATCATTACCACCAGAGACTTCTACCAAGGCCTTGATAGAGTCAGTTCTCATCTCCACTATGAACACTGCAGATTTCTTCAGATGTGAAAATGCTCTCATGCCAACCAAGGTATGCACAGTCATGGGTCACGTCCACAAAATACCAGTTTGAGTAAGACAGAACTTATTTAGGTTTGAGAGGTAAAGCAAAAAAAGGCCAATTTTAGTAGTGTCTGAAGCAGCCAAGTAGTGTTGCTTCTTCTAAGAGGGCTTGGAAAGAATAGCTTTCAACATAATAATACTGATCAGCTAAAGCTGAAAAAAAAAGGGCTGAAACTACCAAAAGACTTCAAAATAGCAAACCACTGAAATCAGCTGCTGAAACAATATAAAAAGCCAACATACTGAGATTCTAAACACTAGAGGCAAAAACCCTGGAGACTGACACCTGCATGATACATCTAGGCCTAGACCTGATGATGAACATGCCCCATAAACCAATTAGGAAGCCAGATAGCTTAGAAGAGTAAAGATCTCAGCTCAGACAAAGGCCAGGGTGCAGAATCTGAGTAAATTTCCGAAAATGTATACACCTACTTCAGAGCAGGATAATTTGTGGACTATTTATAGGCAACTACTGAGTGAAATATGCAAGGGTAGAAGCTGCATCTAAGTGCTAAGGTAACCACCCTGTAACCTAACTCCTATGCTGTTTTTGAAGGATCTTTTGATACTCAAGGAAAATTGTGGGGTTTATGTTAAAGACATGTAAATTTAGAACAGAGTAGTATTCAGTTAACAACAATAGAAAAATCAACTATTTACCTTAAAAGAAGCAGTTGAGCTCTTATATCACAAAGTGCCTAAATGCAGCAGAGAGAGCTACATGAGAAATGCACAGTCTTTAAAAGACATATGCATGCACTATGAATCATACACCGATTCCAGTTGCTCCATGTTAACTGCATTACAAAATCTCGACTTATGCATACCCACAGATATGCATGTATGCGAGCAAACAAATATGCACTATTATACTTGCCATATGCTCTGCCTGCATCCATGCGTATAAAAATACACCAACGTAGACAGAGACATATGCACCGGCAGAGCTGTGTGTCGCTATCCTCGCGTCGCCCCGCTTGGGAAGGCACGTAGGTGCCCACAAGCGCTCACCCTCGCACGCAGCACCACACGCTGGGGAGCTGCCAGTCCCTGCAGCGCTGTCAAGGGATTTTCCCACCAGGAAGCTCAGGCAGCTCTGACAGAACCAACATTGGTGCTGCCAACTTCCACAGCCCCTTGTGCTTTTTCCCTAAAGCACTGACTTGTAGGAAGTACTGGAATAAAAGCGGTGTTCATATTTTTAAGGGGTTTTCGTTACAGTGAAACAAATAAATAAAAAGGGAACGGATTGCCGGTGCTCTGGCACACTGCTGGAGAAGTTTCTTTGGCGAGCACACTCCTGGCTCTCTCCCAGCACAGCGGGCGCGGGATTCCCAGCGCAGCCCGTGGCTGCGGCGTGAGGAGGGAGCCGAGCATGGGGGGCGCGGCGCCGCAGCGGTGCCCGGCGGGCCGGGAAGCGAAGGGGCAGCCCGGGAGCGGCGGGCCGGCGGCGCGGCTGAAGGAACAGAGCGAAGGAGGAGGGATGCGGCCGAGAAAAGGAGCTGAGGCAGGGGCAGAGGGCGCGACGAGCGGCTCCCGGAGCGGGCGGCTAGACGGGAATCGGGGGCGGCGGCGCAGCCCTACCCCTGGCGGTGCAGGTCGTGCTGCGGAGGCTTGGCCTCCCCCGCGCCCCGCAGCCGCCGCAGGGAGCTCAGGACGTGCCGCAGCTCGGCCTCGAAGCTGTCCACCACCGGGTTGCCCCGCGCCACAGGCCCGAAGAAAGCGGCGTGCGGGGCCTGCGGGCCGGCGGCGGGGACCGGTGGCCCGGCGGAGGGGACCGGTGGCCCGGCGAGCTCCGCCATGCTCGGCCCGGCCCGGGCGCGGACGCGTCGCTGTCTCTGGGCAACGGCCGCGGGCAGCGGCCCCGCAGGGCCCCCCTGGGCAGGGCGGGACGAACGGCATGGGACGGGTTTTCCACAGCCTGTCTCACCGGGGACGGCGCTTGGCTCTTACTGATTGTGCCGCTGTGCCTACTGCACGGCTGCGCATGAAAGAAAGTGTGTTTATCCTCTAAATGGCTACGTTTGTCTATTATAAAAAGAAAAACAAACACAAAAGGTGGTAAACTAGGAAACTACCAGCCCGTATTTATGTTATAGGAGGTGCCTATAAGCAGCCTATGTGCTTTGAAATTCTTTACGGACACTGTGGTAAAGAGGTTTGGGACGGATGTGAAGGAAACTGACTCTGTTGCCATGCTCGTCATCACTATGAGCGTAAGGGACAGCTGAACTGGAAACATGAAAGTGAAAGATATATGTTAAGTGAGCAGTGTCCTGGCAACCAGGGCCTTTGGAGGCAGTTTCTTGACCGTGAATGGAAAAGGATCAATAAAGATGGGTAAAGCAAAGAAATACTTGAAAAGTGCATCCAGGTAATTCATAAGTGACAGCAAAATAACTGTCCTTCCAACAGCTGGAGACACACAGCATCAGCATGCTGAATTACAGGAATCAGAAAATATTAGCGAGGTCAAAGAAATGACATGAGAATCATCTAGATACTATTCATCCTTGGAAAATTGGGAAGATTAAAAAATATTATTAATTTATGACTAATGTGTCTGACTCATTTTACACATTGATTTTGTATTGTTACCTGCTGGGAGTTGTGTGGATCCATTGTCCAACAGGTATTGTGAGACTGTGGGAAGATCCAGTGACAATGGCTATGCATTTAGGTGGGAGCAAATTTAGACAAAGCACGAGAGGGAGTGGGTTCCTCAGATATGTGTGGAGGAGGTAGAAAATGAAGTCTGCAATGAAAGACATGGCAAAAAGATTTTGATGCAAGAATAAATGAAATATGAGAACTTGGCTTGGAGAGCAGCTACTGCAACATCTAAAGATTTTGCCTGTGCTTTGCCATGCTAACCAAAGAATTCCCCGTGATGGATACCAGATGACTAATAAAACACTGGACTCTTGGGAAAAGTGGCCTGTGCCACTGTAAGTATTGCTGGTGGCATCTGTTTCAAGTTCCTATGAGGTTCTGAGCTAGTTTGTCTCACTAGATGGTGCTGCATCCCAAAGGGCTGATATTCACATTCATGGAATGCAGAGAGTGCTGTTCTTAAACCAGCAGTGCCTAGAAGTTTCAAGGGGAACTTGAGAGACTGGAAACGAGACTGCTGAGTAAAACTTTACATATCTCTAATTTTTGGGTAGCAGATGGTGGAATGAATATAACATTTGCAATCTGGATTAGCTTTTCAGCCATAGAAGCAGAGTCAAGGAAAACAGGCGAAAGGGAGGATAGCCATTCCCCAGAGGGCAAGATTGCAGAACTATGTAAAGATAAAGCTTTAACCACTGGGTGGTTAACCAGGGCGTAGTTGGTCAGCCAGCTCATGAAGTGTTTAGTCTAAAAATCCTGGGTCAGAGTTCAACAGGATCAAAGTATGCATTCCCTGCTAGGTGGAGGTTTAATGTATGGAGGGCAGTTCTGACTCTCAGCACCCAGGGTGGACCATAGCAAGGTCCACAGACCACAGACCTACACCACCACAGACACTATGGTGTATATATTATTTCAATTTTGGAGGCTTACAATATTGACTCCTATTATACTGTTCTGGGGAAGACTGGAGTTTAAACTTCAGATAGTCTCCATCTAATATTTAGTGTGTTGAAACATTTAATTGGGTCCAAAAGGCAAAAAGGCTTATAGAGAAATGATTAGAACTTTTTTGACTTCAGAAGGAGTGTAGATTCTTCAGAAGCATTCAGCTTGTATAACCTGATCTTTACAGAGAAAAGGTTGGTGTATACAAAACAGTAAGAGTGATGGCTACTGAAGTTTTAACTGTCGTAGGATAATTTCTTCAAAAGATAGAGCATACCTGTATGACTTGGAAAGTTTATAGCAATTTTTTGAATTACATTACATTAGGGTCCCTACACCCTAAAAATATGTGATCTGTTGATTGGAAGGCTAATGATTTATTCATCATTGGTAGGTGAACATTTAGATAGTAATTTGAACTACAGTAACATTAGGGATTAGAAAGTAGGTTAGATTATAGAGCATTGGCATGGAGAGGATCCCAAAAAATTGAACTTAGGTAAATCCCCTGACCCAAACAGAGAGGGTATAGCAACTTGTGCTTTAATACCACCAGGTCAGATAGAAGGAAGCTGCCTCAGAAACAGAAGAACCCCCAAAGAGTTAACTTAGTAAAAACCCATATAGGAAGTGTCTGCTCTCATGGACGTGGGGCCAAGAGTATGCTTGAGCTGTAAAGGAGAAAAACATGGCTGTTAACTCCTCAAGCTGCCTGCTTACTTCTCCTGTGTCTATTCCACTTGGGTGAACAGCAGTGGTTACTAAGAGCAAACAAAGGGGGGAAACACTGCATGATCACAGCAGAGTTGGGCAGGAAGAGTGTGCAGTGATATCTGGGTACAGGGGCTGAGGTAGCGTCTGCTGAGCCCTATCTAGAACATCAATCAAAGTTTGTTTCCTATGGATACTTCGGAGATGCATGTTCAGATCCCTTTCAAGGATGCTTGTAGAAAATATACACCTGAATTATGGCGCCTCTAGATTTTTCTGTTTAATATTCAGAGACAAGAGGCAGTTATGGATGCTGTATTACCAGACTTCTGCAGTGTAACTTGACAGTCCCCAGAGATTTGAAAGAGCTACATTTATGTCATATCTTCCTTGATGCTTTCAGGAAAAATAGTCTGAGCTGAAATGATTCTGTGCCATCACTTAGTATCTCAGGCTGATAGGATAATGAAGACATGAGAATTTAAAATAATGCTTAACACGCTTATGTACTACATATTCAGAACTGGGATCTGCATTTATTCTACTTGCAGTATGCCTGCTTGGTCCTAAGAGCCAGTGGGAATCTACTTTGAGTAAGGTATTCTCCATTGAATAAGAGTGAATTGTTGGATTCAAAAAAATAGAAGAAAATCTAGAGGAAGAAGCAATAGCAGGTGTGTAGTGATTGTTATGGAGAAATTCACTTTGTTAATGAGTCAAGCAAAACAAGGTCAAGAAAACACAACGTCTTTTATGACAGTACAGCATTTGCTATTCACATGCTATAGGGGAAATCATATATAATACAAAGTAATGGCTCTAAGTTACCTGATAAGGCTCCATAAAAAGCCATCAGACAGCTAGCTGGAAGAAGTGAACTAAGCTGCTGAAGCCAGGAGCACTGGCACTTTATAAATACAAAGAAGTTGCCCGATGGCAGGGGGAAAAATAATAACTTGTCCTAAGCTTACAAGAGGCAAAAAACATGCTGGAATTAATGTACCTTGCAAATAACTAACTGTACAGGAAGCAGAGAGGTGCAGCAGACCTGCAAACTTCTTGCTATCACCTCCTGTAGCACTTGTCTATATCTACAGCTAATGAGATACATATGGGAATCCTGAACCTTTATGGGCAGCTATGAGAGATTATAGTCAGAATTTCCTTCCCACCTCCTTGCTTCTTGGCTGGTTTTGGTAAAGCTGCTTGTGGCTTACTGAAAGTGTCTTTAGACTCAGATGCCTTACTTAAGTCTGCCTTTACATTCAAGCAAAATTTGTGGATTCCTACCCTTATCTAAGGGCTACTGACTACCTTCCCATAGGAAAGTTATCAAGGAGATGAGAGATACACTGTCCTGTTTTGAGAGCATTTTTATTTTTTTTGCTGTACCATGAAGAAATATGTCCTGAACCAGGAAGCTACATGCCTGATTGTAAAAGTAGGGAAATGTGAAAAGATGATGGGAATGACTTACTAAGGACACCTTTTCAAACAAAGCAGAAGTTCAAGTCCTTTACTGAGACAGTGACACATATTTGTAAAATATTTCAGTACTCTTCCTGTCAGTGAGCAGTATACAAAATTTGTCAGACAATGACATGGTCTCTGAACTCTGGGACATAGATTAACAATAGCTGAAGCATGTGTGTCTTTTGACAAGCAATTGATGATCTTTTAATTTATAATGAAAGCAGATCTGGGATAGTTTCAATGCAAGTGAATGCTAAGAGAAGGAAAATGCTAAGTTTTTACTTGAAAAACGTTCTTGGCTTCCTTTCTGATCTAGATCATCAGTGTTGTAAGAGGAAGGGAAAAGAGTGATCAACACAAGAAAGAACTGCAATGACTGAGAACTATGCCAGTGCCAGGTTCTTACAGAGCTGTGTTCAAGCTTGGGGTGACGGCTGTGTCTGTGTTTCCATTGTGTTGTATGAAAGGCTTCAGTGCCAAACTCTAAAGATTACATGAGAGCTTACAAGATTACAGTATATGAAAGTGTTTTTTTCTTTTAAAATCTGAGTGTGAATGCTCACAAAAAGATTTTCTCAGTTTCCTTTTATCATCAGGAAAATTTTCCTAGGTGTATAAATTAATCTCAGTTGACTTGCAGAAAATGGAAGAAATCTGGGAGAAGTGATCTTGTTCAGCTGATTTTTTCCCCCCACTGCAAAGAAAGTGTAGGAGTGTGTAATATTTGTGTGAACAATCTGTGAGATTGGACTCACCCACTCAAGTTGTATCGTTATGCATTGAGTGGGTTAAGCAGTCTTTGAGGAGGGAGATACAGCAGGGGTTTTATATAGCTGCTTGAGTTTGTAAGAGGTTTAAATTGAAACATGACAGATTCTGAGGTCTTCATTATGGACTTAGATGCCAAAGGTAGCAGTTGGAAATATGAAAGTCCACGAATTACTTTCCAAAAATGGAAATATTGCTTCAAAGAGAGAGTTTGCCTACAGTTCATGTTATTCTCTTAATTTTTTTAAGATACACTTCATTCCAGCTTACAAGTAAATTCTATTCA